TTTTTTATCTCAAACCTTCGGATAAATAACAATGAACTTTCCAATTTAATAAAAACAAACAAACAAAAAGCACATCTACGCTATAAATTCACATATATGGGGTGGCCTCTAGTCTAGCAGCAGGAGAGGTGAACCAAGAACCAGAAGGGTGTGGGTTCAAATCCCAGGACTGACTGGGTATTCCTGTTTTTGCACTTGGGCATTTAACCCCCTCACTGCCTCAGGGGGTGACACTGTGCTGCTCAAAGGCTGGGCATAGTTAGGCAGTAAAACGACAATTTTCCCTTGAGGGATCAATAAAGTATATGCTATAACACACAATGCCCTTAAAATAGCAGTGTCCCTGTCATTCTTAGCTTTTTTAAACTACTTTGTGTATTTTGTCAATGTTATTAACAACCTGACAACTGTAATGCATGTCCTTTAATGAGTGCTTTAGACTGTTCTTACAGAACAGTTTAAAATCTATGAAAACTAAACAGGTCGCCTTTCTGGAAAAATGCTTTCTGTCTGTTTAACGTTTACTGTGCCAGGTTCCCTTTGGTGTCATTTTAATAGTGCAATCAGAGTGAGCTATGTCAGGTTTATAAAACATTTTTAGCAGCACCCAGAAAGCATGGGATCATTAACATTATTAATTCAATCTTATATATCATCTGATACCCTGACATACTTGGAAAACACTACATTATTTTTTACATAAATATATCTTTGCATAATTCGTTAGATAGTCATTGATGGTCATCAAGATGTAAACAAAGTCACTGAAGTGCTTCATTCTAGAGACAAGTCAGAATTATTCACAGTGGTGGTGAATTCTGATGAGTTTTGAAAACTCCCTTACAGAAAGCTTGAAAAAAATGTTTTGATGTTTTTAAAAAGATCATTCATGGAGAGGAGAGATACATGCAAAATATAATTTACCATTATTATACCATTATCATCATGACATATAAAACCTCAAAAGTCACATGTAGGTTCACTTGTCATTTTGAATGGCAAAAAAAGGCTACATTTGTATTCTGGCTATACTAGACATAGTATACCCCTGGTTCCCATCATCACCACCACTGTAAAGAAATCCAAGTCAGTAAGTTTCTCTTCAACGAACCATTTGAATCAAACCACTCTCAATGAATTTGCTTACATTTCAATAACTGAAATATGCTGAAAATTAAAAACCCATAGGAGGTCTCCTTTAAATAGCTCAGCACTATACTACCAATTAGCATCATGCAAACTGTAACACATTGTACCATAGCTAAAACAGCAGTAGCAGCAATTCTGAAGCCTGTCCATAGAATACTTTGGTCCATGTTTATAGATACAGTAAAGACAGTGTACTTCAAAATAGTGTCCTGCATACTAGACATCTTGCCAGCACGACTGAGCTGTCAGAGTTTTAATACAAGCAGTTTCTGACTGTCGGTGAGCTGTGGCTTTGCCTATACACATCGACCCAAAGCAGAAATCCATATTGGTACTCTGAATTATTTAGTAGAAGGGGTAGTCTGGGCACATCAGCAGAAGAGAGGGCAACCACAAACGAGCACGTGTCTCTGCATTCACATCCAGGCACACACACATGCTAGTGCACATGTGGTTTCAAAAACACCCCAGGCCTAAAGACACAGAGACTACAAATGTCTGTATAAATATCAAATGACTGTATGCCACCTGTACACAACCACTCAACTTGCAAAAGACAGCACAGGTGATCAGCACCCACAGCTTTTTTTCTGTCTTTTAGTCTGTCTCTTACAAAGCAACAATTCAACGAAATTTACACCAAATGTAGTCGATCTGCCAGGACATGTTTAGTGTCTGAAGTGTGCATCTTCAGTTTTGCACTGAAGCTATGAGGCTAACGCAGATAATAGCTCAAGGAAGCCAACAGCCCACCAATTAACACAGTGCAATCTGCATGCTTAAATCATTGTACACTTGCCTCAAATCATGCCAAATTATTAAAAGAGCTCTTATTCTACATTTTTCCTTGTACTTTTTTGTTTTTCTCCTTTCATGACATTTGTGTTGGTTTTATGTACCAAAAACATAATTAATTGTTACATTACCTTTTTACCATCTCTTTATTTTAACGTATGAATAGGTGAGGCTAAATAGGTGTATATATGTTAATTCACTGATTTTCTCTGCATCACAAAAAACAATGACTTTAAAACATTTTTGTCCATGATTTGGCCTTTTAAAAAAATCTTTAACAGTCTTTCTTGTGGTTTTGACGCTGCATTGCCATTGCAGTTTGAAAGACTGCAATTTTAATTATGGTCTACGTTATCAACAATGTTGGTTTAAGTTTTAAGTGGAGAAATGGAAATGTAACCTCATAGAAGAGTTAGACCAATCAGTCAAACACTTTTATGAACAATCTCCTCTTTAGGTACCATCCATGAATATTCACCCTTGTAAAGAGAATCTGCCTAAAGTCAATACCCCTAAATGTGAAAAACTATTGAAATAACTGAAGGACATATGTCATCGCAAATGCAATATGTTAAAATTCATTGGTGAATCAATAATGTTACAATAAGGTTAGCTTTACTGGCCTGCATTATTTTGACCAAAACCTTTAACTTCTGTTGGATTACATGAACATTCAATCAACACCCACTCATCTGGAACTGTGATGGGTTACACTAAAGACATTGTGACTGGTCAAAATGCTCATTTGTATGCTGCAGCCCTCAGGAATAACAGTACTGCAAAGGCCAATAATATCACATTAACAATTAATAAACAATATTTTGTGCAGCCCTGAAATCAGAAATTTTACAACGTTCAATGGTGTTTGCATTTCAGGAAGGATGCAGTACATCAAGCCAATAAAGGGTTATTTTTTATTTACAGAGAGACAGGGAGGTGTGTGTGTATATACACATATATATGTATGTATGTATATATATATATATATACATACATACATATATATATATATATATATATATATATATACATACATACATACATACATATATATATATATGTATATATATATATATATATATATATATATATATATATACACAGACACACACACACACACCTCCCCATCATATATATATAAACAGAGAGAGGGGAAAAAAGCAGACTGAAGACCCTCAACCCTCATTTCCTGCTGGTGGCTCTCAGCACCCACTTGTGCTGCCCACTCATGTGAGATAATCCTCCCTTCATTTCCTGCTCCGATAATGAGAGTGAGAGATACACAGGTCCCCTACCTAAGCAAACATGCACACAGATGCTCGCTTACTCGCTCACAAAAGAAGCATATGTGCAAACACCCACAGACAAGACATGTGTACGCATCCTTAAAGCCAAACATAAAACACTGCCTGAGAAGCGAGAATGTTGTGGACATAAATAAGGTGACATAACTAGGGACAACAGAGGTGAAAAAGCTTTTAAAGATGTCAGTCTGAGCTTTAAAATGAATGGTGAGTGTGTCATTCTGCATGCAGACAAAACATCTACACAATACAAAAGTCCATTTTATGACTAAAAATTCTTCAGTACTCCAATTCAACTGAAAAAAACACTGCTGTTTATCTTTTTATAAATCTACACCATAAACTATGTGAAGAGAAAAGCCACCAACAAGTTTCTTCTGGTCATCACATGTTCAGTGCCTGAGCCATCTGTGGCCAGGAGTTCATAATAGCACACCTTTCAGAAACAACTGCCCAGTCAAACCCATTCTATGTATACAATGGTTTGATTCAATAAAAAGAAGCAGTTTAAACTTAATAAGATATGCTAATATATGAGATTGTGGGATTTTGTCTCCAGGAATGGAATTCATTTCCTTCCTGAACAGACAACCAAAATCCATGACAAATCCAGGAAAATTCTAGACAGGTGGCAGCACTATGTGCATCTGAATACAGGTGGGGTGTTCACACCTGTCAAAACAGACTGAACTAAAGAAAAAGTTCAATCAGTCCACCCCAATCAAGGCACATGAGAAAGTGCCCTAAGACTAAGCTTATGTTTGCTATTGGGCTTTGTCAACATTTCCTAATACAGGTAGTTAGTATGACTAAACTTTATGTGTATAAAGGTTTAAGGAACCTCCACATGATATAAACACTCCATATCAATTAGAGGGTTTTCTTAGAACCGTATGTCTAAACCCAAAGCCAAGGAGGAACTTTCCTTTAAGAGTATATAGAGTGAAAGACTGGCTAAAGATTTGGCTCAAGTATTTCCACGTCTCTGAATGTCTCAGACTTTACAGGAGTCAGCAAAGCCTATAGAGTGAAGTCCAGAAGGCTATGCCAGACCAGTTTTCGATTTTCAGACAGAGATTTTCAATGGGAGAGAGGCTTCAGTAGAGAGCTTTCAGCAAGTCAATTAGCCTTGTCACTCAGCTAGAAGATGATTCAGGGTTGCTATTTAATAGCACATACCCGTTCTTAGACACAAATATGCATACTGTCGCTGTTGTAACAAAATCTCTCATCTTTGAAATGATAATTTTATAGCTGAAGGAAAAAACATCTTAACTTTACTGTATGTTACTGCAATAATATTTTATTCATTTAAGATACACTGACTAGCTACTATAATTCTGAACAACAATTACAGGTGATGCAGCACGTGATTTGCAGCTCACCTGTAAAAGGCACTGAATTTCAGACTGCAAACAAGACTAAATATCTTTTTTGTATTTTTTGTCATTTGATAATGAAGAGAGAAGCTGGTAAATGCAGTCTGAGCAGAAAGTGAACCACCATTTGTACATTCAAATCTAATATTTGAAAACAACAGATCTCTACAAAATGACAAATCTAAATCATAACATTTCCATTCGTATCAACTCAAAAGCCACTTTAGATGTCTTGCAAATTTCATCATACCAAAAAGCGCAAGAAACCATAAGCCTCTATAAGCCTTGTGTACAGTGGTATTGCATCACACAGCCGTAAATAACAACTCATTAGAGCTCTGCTCCACCTGCTGTGACCCCACAAGGCACTCACCATGGTGACGATATGACTGGCTGATAGAGGTGTGTTCTCCACATGAACCTCATGGTCGGTCCTGGCTAGGAAGCTGACACCTGAGCGATCATGTGGTACCTGCCGGAAACGTGACTCGAGGAGTGCGGAGGGCATTAGCTTGGCTATATGGGCACGAGACTGGGCACGAAGAGATGCACTGTTAAATTTCAGTGCATGCTCCCGGCCCTGAGAGTCCACGTGTCGATACACAGGAGCGACTGGCACCATATGGCCATACTGCCGTGACCGATACCTCTCAGCATCCCCTGAGAAGCCTCCTGAAAGAAAGACAGAATGCAATACTTAGCATGGAAACTCTTTAGGGTCCAAAAAAAAAGCAAAAAAAAATAAATAAGTATATGGTTAATAACCTCAAGCATTTTAATTAAGCCATAGGAATTTTATTTTTGATAATCCATTGATTTTGAGTGGAGGGCTTAATTTTATTTTAGTAATCTTTTATCTTATATCAGAACAGATAACTGTCTAGACTAGGCAGACTACTGTTTAGCTCCTACAGTTCTACGAGAAATTATTCATCTCCCACTTGACTTTCTATAATTTTGGGTAGCGCATTCTGCGTTGCTCGGGTTTATAGGCCTACATCATCTAGATGACACAGCTGGAACAGGACAGAACATCAGCTGCTATGAGCCCTTTGTAGTGGCCCCAAAGAGTATTTGGACATTTATTAATCATCCATTAATCAATTTTAATAAGCTTCTTTAGGTTTCTTAAAAATAAACAAAATAACATTTGTTTCTGAGAAAAACACTTTTAGCAGGACAACAAACTGACTGCAGATTCGTTTTGTGGAGATCATTCTAACCAGACTGCACTAACGGTACTGTAAAGCACAGAGGTGGAAATGTCAAAGTCTTGAAAATCCGGGGCTGTTTTTCTTACAGTGGTGTCGGTGAGCTCATGTCCACTTACGGGATCGTGAACTTTAAAAATCGTACAAATAAACTGGTAAACGATAACGATCGAAAATACACCAGCCGACTTCTGAAAGAAGAAGATTTTGGCGACAGTGAGTCTCGGAATGGTTTCAGATAAATGGCACTTGGTACGACATTTTGTTAAAAACTGCTAACAAAATGAACTTCGGCCATTTTTTAAGCACAAATGCCTAAATACATCACAACACATACTGTACAAGTGTTTCCCAATTGTAGTCCTGTAGTCCACTTGCACCTAAAATTGCTGTGTTTTTCTTTTCTCCATTCCATTCAACCTCACTGAGCTTGAGAAAGACTTGAGCAAACGCTTTGGGAAAACACAAAACTGCGCAATTCCGGAGCGGGACTAATACGGTTGGTAAATCATGAAAACACAAACACGTCATGACGTTCAGGGTCTCAGCGAAACTGGCCTACGAGACTGGCTTGTCAGTCCAAAGGCAAATGCGTTGGGTTGACAAGAAAACATGGCCAGAAATACAAAAACGTAGTAAATACGGTTATTCTACAGTGTGAGCACCTCTTCGTTAAGACAACAGCTCTCACGTTTTCTCCCCGGCGACCGAGCCATTTCCGGTCGAGGACTTGAGGCAGCCAATCACGTGCGACTAGGGGTCGGAAACTGAAGGCGCCATACGGATGGATATGAAATAAGCAGGGTACCTCCTTCCAGTAAACCTAATACAATGCAAATGTGTTTATACTGCAATCACATGTTCCCGTGTTTACATATGCATGTATATATATATATATATATATATATATGTGTATATATATATATATATATAGAGAGAGAGAGAGAGAGAGAGAGAGAGAGAGAGAGAGAGATTCATTTTAGGTGACGATGACTGGCTGCACTGGTACTTAAAACACAGATTAACAATGACAAACGTTACCCGTTATGGTGCAAAATACTACAATGTCTAATTCTAATTTACGGATAGGTTTTCCTCTCCAGCGTCTCCCAGTGAATTACTAAACTGGGTAGGAGTCACCTGCCTGCACAGATGAACCGTCGACGGATTGAAACCGTCTGAATAAAAACAACACATAAAAGATACCATAAATGAATGAAGAGTAAAACAGAGCTCATGCACCCACCTGCAGTGTGCACTCTAAGCAGGAAAGAAAGGAGGACGCAGATGCCGTTTTGTCCATTCATGTCCTCGTGCACTCACCACACCATCGAAACGAGCGTTTGGCAGTCTACGCTGAGGATGTACTGAGACACGCCTTTTTTATCGCGCTTGACCTCAGCAACGGGAAAATGCACGCTTCTATTCAGGCTTCTACACCGCTTATAATGTTGACTGAAACCTGAAATCCACAACCGATGTGGCGGAGGGTCTCGCGTCCACGCCGCTGTATCACAGATACGGTCATGTACAGTCAAGGGAGGATGGCGAGCATCAGCTGCACGCGCAGCTCAGACTTGCTGTGTGTGTGTATGGCTTTGTATTTAGCTCTTTGTGGGACCAATGCCCCCATGCTGATGGTAAACATTAAAGAGCCTACATTTTTCTTGTATTTTTTCATCGAGGTCCTCTTATGACCTTCATGTGATTCTATGTGCCAAAACAGTCGTAATTCATTTTTTACATAATCACTTGCCAGCCTCTCTTTATCCCTTTAGAATGAAACAGGCTGTGTGAGTTACTGTGCCTTTAAGACTGATCATGCAAATTGCCAACTGATCATTGTCGATTCACCATTAATGTATTTGGATATCTTTTTTTCAAAGCAGTCGAGGTTAACTGAGTAATTGCAACAGCCCTGCAATTGTAAATGAACAGGTGAGACAATGACAGCCCTCTCCAAATACAATGGATGAGTATGAAGAAAGAGAACCTTTTCAATCCAATATGCTGTCTTGTTTGTAAAGCACTGTGGATGGGGTCTTCGCTAAGACCTCAGCTTCTGAAACTGGTCCACTTAGGTGTGTTAGTGCTGTAACTAAAGATAGCCGTATTATAACGGCTCGAGAAGTGTATAGAAACAATCTAGAACAATCTTGCATGCCCTATTCTCTCTCTCTCTCTCTCTCTCTCTCTCTCTCTCTCTCTCTCTCTGTCTCTCTCTTTCACCAATGGGGGATACTGTTAGCAAAGCAGCATAGTAGATCTATGTCTCAACTACAGTAATATGGTTAGAATAATGGTCTCCTATGAGAAAACTGCATGGGAGATTGGTGTAATACCATCCAGGCTAAAGGTGTTATTTTACTTCAAAGTTCATGTAGGTGAAAAAGGTATGATTTTTCTGTAGGAATTTGGGCAGTTTTACATCTCCGCAATTTAATTGGTTGCCTTCTCCGTCCTTGACAGGGTCCGCGAAGCATCACATGTCCACCCCGTCACCAAAATAGGATTTTTATTATTTTTTTTCATTATTCACATAAACGTTATTTACAGAAAAGACAATATACTATGATCTGTGTCAAATTAGTGTGACCATTTGGCATCAATCTTGTGGAATAACTAATACACATTTTGCTGGGATGTCAAGAAGTGAAACATATCTGTCCCACATTTTTCACTGTATTTGTAATTTCTGATGCATAACACTGACCATGCAGTCCAAACCACGCTGCCATAGTATTGGTTCAGACTGTTTGTTTCTTTGGGGTGAACATGACTGAAGAGTGGTTTTAGAATTTCAAAAATTTCGGTACTTGATGGCCATGCTTTCTCGTCTCTTGAAAGAAGCTTAGTTGTAATGCCATAGCACTGATTACTGAAGTAAAAGTTAGATAAATGAAACCAGCACCAGGTTCACAATTATTCCGTGTTTGATATAAATATATTTGTACATAGCAGAGAGGATTTTAGTGTTGTACCCTAGGAGTTTTCTTTTCTCCCGTCTGTGTCTGTATGTTGTGTATATTTTGTGTATATTTAGTATATTTCAGTTTTAGTATTTTCTTGTATTTTTATTTTTACTTTGTTTACTTTCTGTAGAGTGATTAGCTGAGCCTCACCACAAGCATTTCAATGCATGAATGTCCTGACATGTTGTGCAAATGACAAATAAACTTGAAACTTGAACTTGAAATCCATGTGGAAATTGTTGGAGATTCTTCACCTAGCAAGCTGGAAGCCTTGTTTTAACATCAATTGGATGTGACAGCTACCAGATGTGCATCTACAAATTATGAAGCCAGGAAGATAAATTCCTGGAAGAATATTTTAATTTAGAAATGTAACCTGCTGGTGGACATACCCCTCAGCACATTAGGGATGGGTGCTGATGTTCAGTTTATATTAAACTACTGCTTGTAAGATACGCACTGTAGTAGACAGTGAACTTTTACTAACATGTATAGTTAAATTTAAAAAGATATAAAGTTCAATTTGCTGTATACCCTAACTGTACAGTGCCATTGTTTAGTCTACCATTGTGTCAGAAATCAAAGTCACACACTGTGAAAGAAAAACAGAATGTCCACCTTCATACTTTCTATTCAGTAGGCCATCAAGGTCATTATGCCTAACATAAGGTTTATGAGCATTAAGCCTGCTGCCTCCATTAAGGTGTGTGGAGGAGAGTTTATTTATGCAATGCTGAGCAAAGTAGACAACTTTTCTAAATCTTTCAAATTTTTAAAGGAGGGCAAAAAAATGGACTGATTATCTTAATAATAATAAGCATTAATAATAACCTTTTTTTATAGCACTTTTCATACATTTAAAGTGCTTGTGAGCTTAAAAATAAGAAAGATAGAAAACTAACAAGAAATAGAAACATGAAGTAGTAAAATCTACAAACAGTAAGATGTAAGTGATAAAAAAAGAAAATTATAACAAAAGTAATAATTTCTATAAGAACACCAATTACTTTTCTTTTCTAAAAACTTTTCTAAAACTTCCTGAAGAAAATGTAGAGTGATTGTGCAGCTGACGCAGTTCTCAGATGGTTGCTAGGGTGTTTATACAGTCTTTTAGGTGGTTGCTAAGGTGTTGCTAACCATTTGTTAAGGTATCCCAGGCGATTGCTAAGGTCTAGATCTTAGAGGCATAATGGCCTTGATGGGTAATTGAAAGGAAAGTATGGAGATGGGCATCCTGTTTTTCATTCAGCTAAGCGGTTGCTATGGTAAAGTGTAAAAAACAAAATGCTTCACCGTTTGCTTTAAATTTCATAAGTGGAATATGAAGAATGCTAGCACTGAATGATCTTAAGAAAGGGCACAACAAGGGGATGGAAGATCAATTCCAAGGGCCTTCACACATTGTCCCTTTCTTTTTTTGCATATGACTTTTACGCCACTCTCTCGTCTCTTCTTCTGTCGTTTGGCTTGGATGAAGTACAAATTAAAACCAGAATCAGTCCATTATTCATTGACTGAATTTCATGGTCTTCACCTGGATGACTGTAGAGATTTTAGTGGGCTTTTAATGATATTTCTCTATTATATTAGGCAAAACAGTTCTTTTTGCTTTGACAGCCAATAGGCAGTGCTTTTGAGAAGCATTTTTTTTCTTGTTGTATACAGTAGATTGACAGCAGTTATGTTGCTTATATTCATATTCACAGCTTGAGTAAAAGTTGGAATTGTGAAGCTATAACAAAATAAAGAGTAGGCTTCTGAAACTTTTGGCATAATGTTCTGAAAGGTTCTGACCTTAATGCACAATTTAAAACATAGCTTAGCAGACATTCAGAGATGTCAGAAGGTGTTGTACCCTTTAAAAAAAATTAATAAAAGTTTGTAATAAAGCTGTACAGTAGTAGTTTGTTTGTAATCCTGTTAGTAATGCATTCCAATAGTAAAAGAAAAAACAAAAGTATGGATTGATTTCTTGCCATCTTTTAAGTAGAGGGTCTCAAACTTGCAGCATTCCTTAGATGACAGAAGGCAGTTTTAGAAATGTTATTAATAAGTGGTTTAAAAGTCCACCAAGAATTTTAACTTAAGATGTTGTTTGTAAAGCCAGAGTTCCAAGTCTTTTCTAAAACTTTTTTTTTTTTCTTATTGCTTCATTCTCACTTACAAGCACTTCTGGCTTGTTTTCATTTAGCCCAAAAAATGCTATTCCTCCAGCTAACAATGCTGGACAGACAACTATAGTAGTGATATCATCTGGCGCTACAGATATGTATAGCTGTGTCTCATCTGCAAAACTATGAAAACTGACTCCATCAGGTCTGGAAGGCCAGAACAGTTTAGTAAAAATGCATCAGGAGAACTTTCACCCAGGATAGTTAGCAGAGGGAACATGTCAAGTCAAGTCAAGTCAAATTTATTTATATAGCGCCTTTTACAACAAATGTTGTCACAAAGCAGCTTTACAGAGAATCCGGGTCCACACCCCCAGTGAGCAAGCCTTGGCGACAGTGGCAAGGAAAAACTCGTTCAACAGGAGGAAGAAACCTTGAGAGGAACCAGACTCAAAAGGGGAACCCATCCTCCTCTGGTCGACACTGGATAACAGCACAGAACACAAACTTTGAGATGTGCCACAAACCTTGAGAAGGAGATGTCTCAACATATTTCTCAGCATGGTGACTTGGAATGTCTTTAAAAGATCAATAAAAAGTCCTTCATGCAAATGGCAAATGGCATGGTGTTGTGAATCAAGAAGAGGCCTTTTTTCTTAGTTCATGGTAGCCCTGACGAAGGATAAACACATACACACAGCCAAAAAAATAAACAAACAACAAAAAACCATCAAACAGATGTACGGTGTGGATAAACAATATCAATTACTCAGACACTTTTGTTTTTGTTACTTAATGTAATTCCAGTATATATATCCACTTCAAATTACACACATAATGTCTTTTGACTTTGTATTTAGAAATAGGAACAAAAGGTATGTATTCATAAGCATACACGAAGACTGTGTCGTAAAGCCATTGTAGCCAATTACAGATGTCTACTGCAAAAAAGTATTTAGCTGTTTGCAGAATTGAGTTTCAGTTTTGATCTATTCGTCTTGGCAAACCGTTTTCAAATGCCCTGAAGTTACGAGGCTTCCTTTGTTGGACTTGCCATTTCAAAATCCTTCATAAATTTTAATGAGGTCCAATTCTGAAGATTGGCTAGACCAGGCAAGCACCTTTATCTTTTTTAGTAATTCTTATGTTATTATGTCTTGAGTTATTTTGGCTGTACATTTGGGGTCATTGTCTTGTTGAAATGTCCATCTTCATTCATGTTGATAACATGTAAATGTCCCAGTACTGTTTGCAGAGAAGCAGCCCCATGTCATGATGCACCTACCTCCATACTTCTCTGTGCAACTCTTTTCATGTAACTGCTTGCTTCTCATCTTAATGAACTAATTGTTCTGACAGGGATGTTTAGGATCTTTGCTAGGGCTCTGTTGCTTTTTCCATTCATGTGTTGTTTAATAATGTTGTCCCTGACAACATTAGGAAGCTCCTTCACCTTTACCATGATTGCTACACATTGCAGGAAAACTTCCCAACCAATGGTGATTTTTATAATGACACCAGGTGTAATTTGCACAATAACATTTTTATTTTTGCAACAATAATATGTAAAACTGGATTTCATTTTTAACATTTACATATTTGTGTATTTTAATATAGTGTCTGAACATACTTTCCCTATTAGTATCATTTTAAAGCCTATTCTCATTGATGCTAATGAATACAAACCATTTTGCTTGTATTCAAAAGTACAAATCAAAACGTGTGTAAATTTGAAGTGGATATATGCACTGGACATATATGAAATAACAAAAATACAAGCCCATCTCGTGTGTTAAAAGAGAGAAAACAGATTGTGGGGTTCCCAGGATTGGGACTGGGAACCAAGATTCTTACTGTTTCTCTTCACAGCATCCCTATAGGTGTATGGAGTAACACCCTCCTTCTAGTTGGACCAGACCATGGACAGGGTGGGTCTGTCACATTCTTTAGCACCAGACACTTCTTGGGGTATGTTTGAGGCTCGCCACCCCAAGGCCTTCTTGTCTGCACAGGGGAAACTGCAAAGAAACCAGCCCAAGACCACTACGTACTGTGCTGGAGTGTGAAAAGGACACAGACTAAGCTGAAATAGACAACATGTTCAATGTGACATTTAACACCACTCACTGTAATGAATTCAAGACTGCCATTACCTATTAAATTCATCTGAAATAATGTGCTTTCCTTCTGTGCTGGAACAAATTAATATCCAAATTGGGTGAACGGTATAGAAATTAAAACCATTTTCATACACAGCCCCCCTATTTTTAGAGCTTCAGAAGTAATCAGACAATTGGCTGCTCAGCTGTTCCATGGCCAGGGGCGTCACTAGAGGTTCATGGATAGGGGGCTCTGGGGGCATGGTGCCCCAGGAGAATTTTTTAATGGCCCCAAAATGTCTGTTCATCATAAACATGATTAGCAACAGCCAGAAAATGTATGAAAAATGGCTATTTGGCCATTTGGTCAAATTGGCACAAGTAGATCTGTGTCTTCGTATTCCATATTAAGCACAGAGCTATGACTTAAACACTATATCTATCCACTTAGATAGGCACAGATAAAGAAAAGGTACTGAAGTCTTGCAATGCTACATCTTCTGTTTTAGATATTCTGCAAGGTCCTATACTATTCAAATACACAGATTATAGATCAGTTCAATCTCTGTTGGTGCAATCAGAAAGAGCGTGATTTTGCTCTGTAGGAAACTAGGTAACAGAATTTCCTAATGAAAGCCCAAAGTTATCTAATAAGCAAGTGAATAAAAGACCTGATAGCTAGTTATACTGACCATAATTTGCCTCAAATCCACATTGTAGGTGTGCATATTTACTCTTGTAACTACTTACTGTTTCTCTCTGTGTTCTGGCCTAGTCTCTGTGTTGCTGACTGATGCTACTCTGCAAAGATAAAACCAGAGAACCTCCCATAAAACCTCCCACAGACCTGATATGATTGCCATACAACTTATTAGGTCTGTTATGATTGGCCTAGTCAAGTGTTCCACTTTTCACTCTGGTAGCACAGCAGAGGCAGTGCTGGAATAGAGCAGCAGCACTTCCTTCCCCTTGTCAAGCCCTGCTATCACAATATATTTTGACTGAGAATAAACTACACATGATTTGAACTAGGCCTAAAACTGGCCTAGTAACACCCATGGCTGGGTGTGTGTTATTCCCTCATTCTTTCACTTACAAGTAAGCAGGGAATAAAAGTCTACAGTTGATTTCAAGCATGGCATTTGCATTTGGAATCTGTTACTGTTAACTCTCCAAAATGCAAAGAGGTCCAAGGACCATCACTAACAAGTCATCATTAGACTGAAAAACTCAAAACAAACCTATCAGATAAATAGCAAAAACATAAAGTGTGGCCAAATCAACTATTTGGTACCAGAAGACACACCAAGATTCAAAAACACCAAAAGTCATACAAAGCATACCACCTCATTACATCTGTCAAGCATGGTGGAGGTAGTCTCATGACACAGGCATGAATGGCTGCCAGTGGAATTGACTCCTTTGATGATATGACTGCTGTCAAAAGCAGCAGGATGAATTCTGAAGTGTATATGGTTACTATCTGCTCAGATTCAGCCAAATACTTCAAGACTCCTTGGACGGTGCTTCACAGTGCAGATGGACAATGACCAGAAGCCAAGTCAAAACTGATTGCAAAACTGAAGGTAAAAACACACCAAGAACAAGTTGGAACTGAAGACAGCAGCAGTAAACAAATTTGTAAAACAATATACGGACATATATTTTTTTATATATTTGAAATACATTTCAAATACATTGCAGTCCATGCCAAAATACATTCCAAACACTAACATGCACTTCAGAATAAATTGCCATATTAACCGAATATATTTTCAAATACATTTATTTAAAAATCTATAGATAAATATTGCACATAAAAATGTAGCATACAAAAATTGATGTATGTATTATATTTATTAATGTATGAATATATTTATCAAATACATTTGAAAATGTATGAAAATAGCCAAAATACTGGATTAATGCATTGTTTGAAATACCTTTTGAAATTAATTTGTATTCCAGTATCTTAATTTTAGGTATTAGCAAGTAAACCTTTAACATGGCAAAAGCAAGTGTCGTAGTATTGATAGGTATTGATAAACTGTGAAAATTCATTTCGATGATTCGATATCTTGTTTATCTTAAATACATTTTGTGTGAGCGCTGTCTTACCGCATACGTACACTGGTTAAGTCAGTACATTCATTTAGTTCATGTATATTTAGTTATACCTGTAACTTTCTTAAAACTGCATAAAGTTGAAAAATATAATAAAATTTATCTAACAAGATATTTAACAAATACATGTTTTTATACATTGCAAAAATATATTTGATAAATACACTTGGTGAACTGGTTGTAATTGCTACACTATTCACCCCATTTAGATGTAAATACCCTCAACTTAAATCTGCACTTTGAGCTCATATCCATTATTTAATATCAACTTTAATATGCTTTAATCTGTGGTTGACAACTTTGCTGTCGATCACATGTATTTTTGGACCTGACTGTATTTCCTTTATGTGCTGATACTCAAACAAACTGTACTATTGCCCAGATCTGCCCAGATCTGTATAACAGTGATCTACATCTGACCGGCCTGGGCATGTGCCCCCTCTTTACGTCAACTCAAACTGTTTTGAATATAGCAGGGAATTCCAAGGAGCAAGAAGAAAGCTTGCGGTATTGAAAGTGGTTTGTACACACAGTGCTGGCAAAAGTACAAAACTTCTGTACTTGAGTGAAAGTAGAGAAAGAAAGAGCTAAACAAATTGAATAGGTACGAGTAAAAAAAACTTTTGTCCTATTAACAAGACCTGCATGGCTGCAGAAATAAACAGCTAACACAGTTTTTATTTAGGCGTTAGAAGTCGTCCAGCAAAATAATATAGCATAAACCTAATAACTAACTGTACTTTAACTTTTGACACCTAAGTACTTGTAAAAGGATGTACTTTTGTACTTTAACTCAAGCGTACATGTAGTGTGATGGGGGTGGTTCTCAAAAGAAGCTTAGACAAGTCGAAGTTCGTGGCCATAGCGTGGCTTTATTTAAAACCTGAATCGGCGGAGTACAAAGCAAAGCTGCTCTCTTAACTGGTAGCTCAAGGGTCTTACTGCTCTCTGACTCCAGCTGACTAGCGCACTTAGGCCTACTACCACAGCAGCTCCTGGATTTTTTTTTACTGTGCTGTGGCAGCAGGATAAAGTAGAATATGGGCAAATTCAGTGGCGTTAGAAGTTGTGAAAGTGGTTTAAATTTATTTTGGAAACTTAGTTTTTGCTACCGATAAAAGTTGATTCCTCTTAAATCTTACACAATGTAGTCTACTACTCAACTAGTACGGTGCTATGTCTATTGAGCAACAACAGACATTTTTGAACGTAAGAGATTTCCTATAAATCGTGTGACCATTTTCTCCAACGCTTACTGGAAGGCCCGCCCTAAGTTTGTGAAGTTCAGCCCACTTCCCCGTATTCATTTTCGGAACATAGGAATGTAGTACCATCCCACAATCAGTTGGTTCTCCGTTTCCGTCAGAAGAGCTGCTTTGAAAATGGCGAAAATAAACCCATGTTTTCGGAGGATTTTCGTTTTCTTTAACGTCCTTTTTGCGGTAAGAGTTGACAGTTATAGCATTACGTCGTTGGCTGTGGGAAGCTGGTCGACTGGGACTTTTATGCAAACTTTTAAGTAACTGTTGTGCTACATTGACGTGGCTACTTTACGCTAAATTGAGATACTGTGTATTTAACCATTCTAAAGCTCTGGTTTGTTCTTCAGTAATGTGATTATAATGACCGTTGCTTGATTTGTAGATATTTGGGGCTGTGGTTTTGGGCCTGGGCTTGTTGGTACATCTCCAGCTGGATGAGGTAAGAGCAACGTGAAACGCTGATAATCTAGAAAGTGGATAGAGAATGATCCATATCAGTACCTCAGCATGTAATCTGCAAAAATCTACTGTTAAAAGCAGTACTTCGCCTAGGCTAGATATCTGGTTTGCTGGTGTGTCTTCACAGAATGTGCTGTTTGAGGTGTTTTTTTCTCTTCTTAATAAGCATGAAAGCAAGTTGTCTGCAGTCGTCGTCCTGGTTGTTTTCGGAGCCGTCACCTTCATCCTTGCTGTTCTGGGAGCTTATGGCGCTCAGAAAGAGAACAAGAATGTCCTGATCGCGGTAAGTTAGGAATCTGCGTCACACGGCCAAACGTTCAAGTGCGAAAGTAGAGGAACCTGCTGGATCAGACTGTTAGTACTGTTAGCGCTGTTAATTCTGAAACACAAGTTTTTTTTGTCAGCATTCTGTCGGAAAGAACACAGGATGATTCGTGACGCCACTTTTCTGTCTCGCAGTTTTTCGTCTTCATGTGTGTGGGGACAATTGCTCTTCTGCGCATGGCTATTGTAATGGCGATCTCACGTCCAGAGGTATTGGAGCCACTTCTCTGTATTTAAAGTAATGCTAGTTTCATAGGCACTTTGTAAACACTTAGCCACAGTGGGATTTGAGAGATTTATATGGTGCATAATTCAGTTCTTGAGATGTAAACAAAGTCATTCAGAGTGGTTTGGGGTGGTCAGTTGTAGAGAAACATTTTGACTTCATATATTTGTCTTCATTTTATTTTATTACATAAGTTTTCTTTTGGGTACTATGTTGCCATGAGTGAATTTAAAAAACACTTGCGGCCAAAACCATGTCCCAAAACATTATTAAACACTGTTCTTGGGCATCATGCAGCCTATTTGAAGGGTTTTGTTTTGGAATGCATTTCAAGAATTTTCATATTTTTTGTTTAATTTTTATAATTAATGTACATTGTTGGGATTGTGCTTTACACACACAGGAAATACCAGTGCTATTACATGTCAGCCGTTATTGTTTTTAAAAGTAATGGACATGCAGCATTTCGGAATGAAACTCTGCTTTTGTAAACATTTCATGTAATAGCTTTTTGGGAGGTAAATTTTAAAAGCATTTAAATCGTCTGAGATATGGTTCGTATCACCACAATTGTGAATAATTCTCACGCCGTAAGTTTCTGTACAACAGAGCATCTTGCCGCGCTTAAACCATGCTGAATGATTTTGTTTACATATTAACAATTAGGAAAAAGCACAGTGATGCAATATTGTATGCAAGTATGAGCAAGCATGGTAAGCACTTTGTTTAGCTCTAGATGGAACTGGTTTTGACTGCAGTTCTCGCCTTCTCTTCCTTCCATCCATCCATCCATCCATTTATTTATTTATGTTCATATTAATTCAGGTGACGTCAGTGATGAAGCAAGAACTTAACAAGGCTGTACCTCTGGATGCAGCCAGTGAAGATGTCAAGAACGCTATGGATTATATTCAGAAGCAGGTATATCCAAATCCATTTATGCATCTTACAAGCTCATACGGTGGTACGAATACTGCAGTGTTTTTTCAACCCAAAAAGGTCTATCTACTGTATCTGTTGCATGTGGTTGATTAGCCCAGACAAAAATTTTGATGCATTTCCTTGTACTACAAAACAGAAAATGCTATTACTCAAAATAAACTAATAGGAGCCAATGGGCATTGCTTTTAATGTGTAGTGTATTCCTTTAACTTTTGTTAATGTTGCTGAGGATGATGCAGCTGGATTCTTGGAGTCTTTTCACAGAATTCTATCTGTTTTGACCAGGTCAAGTGTTGCGGACTCTTTAATGGCTACCAGGACTGGGGAAACCAAGTTCCTGAATCATGTGACTGTGGAAGTGATGAGGCCGATCAGTGTCAGAAGATGACCCCCAGAAACACTTACCTGAAGGTGCAGATTAATTCAGATATTCAGAGCTTTACTTCAGGATGAAGACTAAAGTCACCAACAGTGTAACAAATAACAAAAAAGAATGACCACATAGTTTTTGATTAACATACTGAGATAGTTTCATAAGTGTTCAGCAGTTTTCTGCTAATGTGCAAATTGGAAAAAGGAGTGTGTGCATGTGTAAATCCATGCTGCACCACAACACAAACAAACTGTTGGATAGTGTATATTCATGTGGTGTCCTGCAATGTTCATTATGCTTCCTGCAGATATTTGAGGTGAGGAGCAGGATGGTCTACTCACAGGTGAGATGTCTTATCTTTAATATCACTTCATATCTCCTTCAAAAACTCCTTATTAATTTTTTTTTCCCCAAATTCAGCCGTGTGGCTTCATGATGCTGCAATATATCAGTCTGGTGTTTGACGTCACCTTGGGTGTGCTCTTTGGCTTTGCAACTTTGGCTGTAAGTACACTGTTAACTACTTTTTTTGGGTGGAGATGGGTTCCTATTAGGATGAAGCTAGGATACCTCCAGAAAGGGAGGGAGGAAACATTAACTAAAAGAAGAAGAGATGCACAATGATATTGGGAAAAACATCAGCATTGGCATATAAATAGCAGCATTAGACAGATTTTTTTTAATCTGACTGATGTTTCAAACTGATATTTGAGAGAACATAATGTTTAGGCAATGCTGGACTTTGCATTTGAATCCCTCTACAAATCAGTGTTATAGTTCAGGGTAGTGTTGATCCAGCTGGATTCAGTCCCAGTTTTTCCCAAATTCCTATATCCTTAAAAAAGTAAAGGCTATATAATGTTGTGCTTGTTAAGCCATTTCATTTATTTAGTAATACATGGTTTTTGTACAGTAACTCAAACAGAGTAGATTCAAATACTATAAACTAGACACCAGAAATTTTAAGATGTTTTATTGACTAATTAAAGTTTTATTAGATTATAATGTTCTGTAATTGTTTTTGTTAATTCCTTTACATTATCACCACTTTTTAGACGCGAGGCATTCCGGGTATTATTATTATTATTATTATTATTATTATTATTCATTCTTAGTTCTGTACAGCTTTTCCTGTCATTATGGAATCATTTTATAACTCGGTTCGACATTCAGAACACATCTTCATCCCTACAGTAGTAGGAAGTAGTTGAAACCAACAAAGTTGTAGCGAGGCAGCATCTTAATAGAATAATTTTGTGCGCGTACCTTTAGAAAAAATCTATATTATTAAGATCAATGATTCCAAACTGCTGCTGGCGATTTCTCCATTTACAGTTCTTACAGTCTGAGACAGGGTTAAATTTGTGGTAAAAAATCAGGTCAGGTTGTTTTTTTCCGACGTGGGTCATCTTGCATGTGGTTTTACCCCCATGTTGCATTTCCTGGGCTTGTGATGTGAAGTTTCCAAAATGGTTCTCAGACTCAATTGTATTAGGGACTTTACGTGTAGTGCTTCATGAATACTGGTCCTGAAGAAGTCTTCATCTGAATCAAAGCCTTATTTGTCGACACAAAACTGAAGTATTCCACAGGCGTCACCATTTCCACACTGAATTTCACATTGAATTTGTGTGCGTGTGGGCATGTGCGTGTGCGTGTGAGTGTATGTGCATTTTCTGCATCAGCGGGTAGGGAAAATAATATTAAGCAGTATTATCATGTCACCTTCCCCACCTCCCCTGTTTATCCCATATGGTGGGGAAAAAATCTGTGTGTGTGTGTGTGTGTGTGTGTGTGTGTGTGTGTGTGTGTGTGTGTGTGTGTGTGTGAGACATTTTAAATATATGCAGATGTCAATATATTGAAAAATAAACACATGTAAATCGAAGTCATATACAAAAGTTTGGGCACTCTTGGTCATGTTTGGTTGATTAATAAATGAAAAGTACACATTCTCTACAGAAAAGACATTTTAATGCACAATTACTGTTTATTTGCTAAATTTAACATATTGGTGGAAATACATAAAATGTGCCTTATGCAAAAGTAATGATTTATGTATACAACTGTATATGCAGTAGTGTCATTTATGTATGTGTCAAACATACATGGAAATATGTTGCAAAGTTGATAAACATTTAAAAAAATATATGGAAATATTTTCTTTGCATTAAGCAACAAGTTTAGCTACCCCATTACCATGTTTCACTCAAACTGTACAGAAGAAAAGTACGTTATGATTTCAGATTCATATTGACTTTAAAGCAACCATTCTGTAAAAATCACATTTACACAGATTTTACACCACATGTAGTCGGCCAAGACATGTTCAGTGTTTGAAGTTTGCTTCTTTAATTTTGCACTGGAGCTAGTGTAGCACCAGTTACAACTGCATTCTTAGATAATCGCAACCATGTTGAGTTGTTTGTCAGACTTCAAGGGGGCTGCTTTTGTTTGTATGTTTGTTAAATGTTATGCAGCATTTTTGTCTGCTTTTGTTTTAAGGGGAAACCATACATTTGTGTGAATTTATAAACTGTAAAAAAAAAACTATGCAGGCATGGAAACCAGCACTAGTTTTAGTCTAGTAAATCTCTCTCTCTTTCTCTGTTTGTGTGCAGCTTTTGGGAGGAGTGATGTCACTCGCAATGATTATCTGTATCACTGCTATTCCCCGTCCCAAGTGTATCAGCAGTCCGCCAATCTTCTCTGTCAGCCCTCATCCACCAAAGTACTCTGAGCTCATCCAGTCTGCCTAGTAAGAGCACTTTGCTCTCAGAGTCTCATTTGCTTAAACATTTAGCCCAAAGAGCTTTGCTGGCTGCTCATATGGATGATACAGATTTGATAAATTGCACTTATCTCTGACATTAGCGCTTTTTATTTGTTCATTTTTCATTTTCAGCATTTTGTTTGCTCTACTGAAAAGCGTTGTAAGCCAGGCTAATAAATCAACTTGCATTTCTTTGTTCTGAAACATTTTCTTGAAAAGGGGATTTTTTTTTTTAGTTTAAAGCTTTACCTTTATTGAAAACGGATCTCTGAATAGGGTTTTGGGCCAATTTTATATATATATATATATATTTTTTTTTTTCTGCTGTTGTACTGTTTGTAAATGACCTTCTACTCAAGTGCAGTGGCCACCAACCCTGCTTCCTGCCTCCTGAGTTACAAGATAGAATATGAATGTATTTCCTGCAGTGACCTTTTTATATATATATATATATATATTTACTATAAGAGGATGTGACTGTAATAAATAACTTGAGTGTTTCCTACAATAAATCTGACTATAACCATAAGCTTGATGGACTTGTTATTGACTCACTAAGGCTGTTTTTGAATAAAATGCAACAGCTACTGTTTGTGTGTTTAGGTTTTTGTCTGTTGTTATAAATGACTTTCTAGTTTGCATGTGCGCTCACTGAGTTTCCTTCCACCAAGGATAGCCTAGGGTAAAAGCTGACACTTCCTGGTTTCTACACGATCACTAACTGCAGCTTTAAGAGGTCACACATCAATGTGAATTTCTAAAATGCATTTTTGAAAGAATGATCCATTTTGTATGTGTTGCCTATTGTGTTGCATTTGAATTATAAAGTCCCTCATAAGTGTTCCTGAATGCAAATCGACATATTAAAACGAAGTTGACTGGTTGGAAACATTATTTTTCATTCCAGTGTGCTCTTTATTGTGCGCTAGTTCCTTCTCTGGAACCTCTCTCCCCAGGTCAACCTGACCAGCTCATCTTGTACTTGTAAATCAAGCATAATCTTATCATGCTTTTGTGCGACAACAGAATGTCTGGACATAAAACAAATGATGATGTTTCTTGAGGCTTATCCTGAAGATTCTTTGTTCCATTAAAGTGATTTTTTTATCGTAAACCCTAACTCTAAATTCGAAACATTTACTGATTTTTTTTCTGGAGGTGGCGATGGGAACCAATGGTCTCAGTGTCTGAAACACAGATATAGCCATTTTGTATAAAAACTTTCTGTGAGGGAGCTTTTAGAGGCAATAACCTCTGCAGACGTCTGGTTCCTTTCACCACCACTGTGAACAATTCTGAGTCTGTCGGCTTCTCTAGAATGGAACATTTCACATTAAACCACTCGGAATGACTTTTGTATTCATGTTAACAATATAATTATGCAGAAATTTTGAGGTCCTCTGTAGCAGGTGATTTCAACTGGTCCTGGAGTACCCGCTGCCCTTGCACATTTTAGTGTTTCACCTGTTCACCTGCTCAATGTCATATTATCTAGGTGTTACAGCATGTTACTATGTCATGTTTGTCATGTAGGACAGCATACTTCACACTGAATAATTGTGGTCATACAGATGTAATGGGTAACAAGTTTGAAACTTGACACCACAATCGGCAGATTTGTTTTTGTGATGAAATCACATTTACAACTTTGCACCGTTATTCATATCAGAAAACGGTCTCATCACGACATTCTGCATAATTCTGTTGTTAAAATGTAAACAAAGTAATTTGGAGTGGTTTGTGAAATGTTCTGTTGTACAGTTTAATGGACATCACAGAAAGCTGAAGCATGAAATAACATGAAATGGTTATGAATAAGCTGCCTGATTCCTGAGACATTATTTTACAATAGTTTTGAGAATGTTTAGGCCTAAAACCCTTTGTTTAAAAGCCATTCACCACCAATGTTAAGAGCTGTTAAGTTTCTCCACAATGAACTATTTTACATGTTTACATCTCAAACACAGATATGTTGAAATTTTGAAAAAAAAACCCACTGGAATTCCCCCTTGAGATCTGCTAGGATAGCAAGATTTTAGAGCAACATTTTAATAAATCATTATTTTAAATAGAACACTTAAAACGCTATAGAATGTGCGATGTGTGATTTGACTGTCCCTCTACGCATCACTCATGCAAGCACATGAAAAAAATACATTTTGATATGTAAAAAACAGCAGATTAGAAGGACTTGTGTTTTGCAGTTAATCTGATAATCTGCTGGATGCAACACAACCGGTGTAGATTGAAGTATTGATTACAAAAGATTATGTCAGATGGACAAATAAAAAACACTTCAGGAATACATCCAGTATGAACTGGCTGACTTTTCTCATTTTTCGATGCAAATCACCTTACTGACCTGGCCTGTAACTCACTCAAACGCATACAGCAGCTGAACTACATTTTGTGTGGATCACTAAAACAGGATCTCTCAAGCGCATGAAGCACTTTGTTTAGTTATATTATTATTATGTTATATATTCATCATATTTTTGAATGTACTGATCTTGGACAGGCAGTTAATCCAGTCATTTACATTTACATTTACAGCATTTAGCAGACGCTCTTATCCAGAGCGACTTACAAAAAGAGCTTTGTCTATCTAGAGAAAGTATCTTTGCTAGTTACCAATAGGTTAGAGAGAAAGCTATGGCAGTCCATGGCTTTATTGATTCTGGATTGATTCTTTATTGATTCTTGATTCATAACGGAATGCATTGATCCTCAATAGTTGGTTAACCCAATTCATGACTGCATTGATCCTGGAAAGCCAATTAATTCAGTTCATGACTGCAGTGATCCTGAATAGTCAGTTGCTCCAGCTCACAAGTGTACTGAACCTGGAACTGTTTCCTGGATAGACAGTTAAGCAATTTCTTGATTGTGTTGATCCTCAGTTAATGACATAAATGAAGGGGGACAGTCAAACTGTATGAAATGCTAGTCTGTCCTAATTATGACTACAACTGATCCTGGATGGTTAGTTAGTCCTACTCATGACTTTTGTTGACCCTGCATAGGCAGTTAATCTACCCGTTAATACAATTCACAATCGTGTTGATACTGGATACCCAGTTAATCCTATAACTGTACTGGTTGTGGACTACATTAAATCTCATGTAAGTCTTAAAGACAGGTTCATCCTGACAATAAATGTTCATCATTGCACTGATCATAGATAATTAGTTAATCCACTATTATAATTAAGGTTTGACATTGTAATGTCTTGCATTTATGACTTATTATACACATGATAAGAAGCTATGAATTATTCAGTACTATAAATATAACTATATATAAATATATAAAAAATGTATATAAATATATTAAATATAAATAAGTATTTAGTATCTACTATGAATAATTATGTATCTACTATGAATTATTTGGTAACTACTATGAATTACTAGATGCTTTTATAAATTATTCGGTGACTGCTATGAATTATTTTGTGACTACCCTGAATGATTCAGTAACTGCTATGAATTATTCAGTATCTATTATGACTTGTTTAGTAAATACTAGGAATGATACCTTAACTAATATGAATGATTCAGTAAATTCTATAATATAGTATAATTCTCAGTAACAATTGGAAACATTGAAATATTAAGATCAAAATAAGACAACAAAGGCCCTGTACAGTTGCACAGCTGAAGACTTATATGACAGAAGATTGTCAAAAAAATATAGGATTTCAAAACTAATGAATGAATTTGTGTCTTCAGTCTCCAAACAATTATTAAGTGTTATTAAAAGGAAAGGTGATGTAACCCAGTGGTAAAATATGCTCCTGTCACAACTTGGAATGTGTTAAATGCACCACATTTGGAAGGAATATTTATTTACAGTTATGAACTGGATTAACTAGCTATCCAGGATCAATATAGTCATAAACTGGATTAACTGATCATCCATTAAGAACTGGATTGACTGGCTATCCAGGATCAATACAGTTATGAATTGGATTAACTAGCTATCCAGGATCAATGTTGTCATGAACTAGATTAACTGGTCATCCGGGATCACTACAGTTATGAACTGGCTTAACTGACTATCCATGATCAGATCAGTCAGAAACTGGATTAACTGACTATCCAATATCAATATAATCATGAACTGGATTAACTGGCCATTGTGGTAGAAATGTCTAAATAAAACAGAAAACAGTAAAATCTCAGAGTCAAAATTAATGCTCCAAATGAATATATTTATTAAAAAAAACTCTTGGCCATGGTGAAATCCTTGGCAGATATCCAGAGATCTCCAAAGATAGGCAAAAATTACAAGCGGTTACATATTTCCCATGTGGGCTGCTGTTACATTTGATTGGTTAACAGAGAACAAGTTACGCTTCGTTGGTTATATGTTCAGGGTCCATCAATTGCCCGAATGCCAGGGGCAAGTAAAACGCAACGTAGAGACAGTAGCACAAAATATAACAACCTGGTGCTAGCCACAACAACCTGGTTCTGAATACAACAAAAACAGTGGAGATGACAGTGGACTTCAGGAGGAGCCCTCCAACCCTGCCAGCACTCACCATCCTGGACATAACTGTGGTGGCAGTAGAGTCCTGCAAGTTCCTGGGCACAACAATCACCAGGGACCTGAAGTGGGACAGCAACATCAGCTCCATCACCAAGAGAGCCCAGCAGAGCATGTACTTCCTGCGTCAGCTGAGGAAGTTCAACCTGCCCCAGGAGCTGATGGTGCGGTTCTACACAGCCATCATAGAGTCTGTCATCACCACATGCATCACAGTGTGGGGCAGCTCAGCCACCAAGCATGACCTCCACAGACTGCAGCGCATCATCCGGGCGGCAGAGAGGACTATTGGGATTAAATTGCCCACATTACTGGAACTACATGCCTCCAGAACCAGGAAGCGTGCAGAGAAGATCTCCACTGACTCGTCCCACCCCGGACACCACCTGTTCTAGCTCCTTCCCTCAGGCCGGTGCTTCAGCCAGATGAGGATCAGGACATCCAGGCTACAAAGGGGCTTCTTTCCACAAGCCATCACTCTTTTGAACAGTTAAAATATTACACATTGAAATGTTCCAGCTTCTAAACTGCACTTCTAAAATTGGTATATAGTATCACTCTCAACTCCATCCTCTGAAACTACCAACACAGACCAGTGCTTATTCTAGCATCTTACTTACCTGCCTTATTAGCCCACTTATCTGACTGTTACCTCATTGATCCCTTTCTCTGCCACTATACACCCTTTAACTGCTGCTGCACTCAGCACTTTAACTTTAGACCCGTACATTGCACAATGTAAAGGTTACAGGTATGACTGTGTGTGTGTGTATGAGTAAGTGATGGTAGGGATGTGTTATTTTATCTTATTTTATTTTTTTGTATTTTATCTTGTATTTTAAGTTTATTTTATTTTATTTTATTCACTACCTGTAAATGTTTGATACTGTGCACTGTGAGCTCCTGTAACCAAAACCGGCGGGGTGCACAATGTGTTGACGGAACAACGTAACTGAGACCAAAGTCAACTTATTTGAATGTCTAACCCCTGACCATGAACATGTCTTATTCGTTTTTGCATATCCAGTCAAAACAATCCAATGGTATTATGTTGACAAACGACAGGACAATGTCGACGAAGCAAAGCTTCGCAGCTTCAGTCCCTCATGGAAAAAAAAATATCGATTTGGACTCCTCTGTACCCGACATGTTATGTAAACGTTGTAGGAAATATCCTAACGAGGCAGATAAAAGCGAAAAAAGCCGATGGCGCGTCTGGGCCGCTTGACAAGCGCTGCGATGTTTTGTGGGAATCTCGTCTGAAAGAGTTCCAGTCGTCCAGCTTTTAGTAGCGTTTTGGCTGATGCCTCTACTGATGCACAAGAGACTTCGCAGGGGTGATGAGAGGATCTTAAAGGATGGAGAGCAAATGATAAACACAGTTGTGGCTGTGGAGGAGCTGCAGCACACTGCTGCTATTATGAAACGTTTGCTTATTTAAAGCAAAAAGAAAAGTTTCGTGAACGTATACTGTGACAATGTATACTTAAGAGAAAAATAATCTGAACTAAATATATTAGCTTAAATGTTCTTATTTATATTTGAATAACACTTCAAGATACAAGGATTTGTTCGGGACAGTGTACTTTCAGGTTGCTTGCCTAACTGATGTTATTTTCATATGAATAAACAAGAGTGCTAACATATATGCATAATTAAGGACAAGGAAGGAAATTCATACGTGATAAGATAAGTCTTCTCACATCTGATCCCTTCGAGATGAGCTAGCCTGTAACCTGTAAACAGAAACTGGATTAACTGACTATCCAATATCAATATGTTCATGAATCTGGAATCAATTCAGTCAGTAATAGGATTAACAGGTTATCCAGGATCCTTATACTCAAGAACTAGAATAACTGACTCTCCAGGATCAACTCTGTCAGTAGCAGGATTAATTTTCTATCCAGGATTGATACAGTGAAGATTGGAATTAATTTGCTAGTTCATATCTCAGATTAACACAGTAAGTAAAAGGATTACAAGCAGGTTTCAGAAGAAATAGAGTCATGAACCATGTCCAGTTGACTATCCAGGATCAGCAGCTATTGGCCTCCCAGGACAAGCAGTTCATCTTGCAGTGCAAACTTCTAAATTTGCTAGCGTGCTAACTAGATAAGCTTTAGTTAGCTCATAAGTCAATCAGTTAGGTATTGTTGATGTTATCAAACAAATCCTTAAAAAGTCATGTTTTTCTTGGTTTGTTTGCTAAACATAACCTAACTAGTCGGTTAGCAACGCTACTTGGTAAAATAACTGTCTAGCCCGTCTGAGACTCAACATTATCAATCCACACTATCTGTTAATGGATGGAATGTCTGTAGTAAAATTTTGTACCTGTTTGTTTTAAACTAATACATTTCAGTATGGATATAGCTCATAAGCAATGTATCCGTGTTTCTCAAACACTACAGGGCACACCTGAGCGAGTCCAAAATGAATGGGTTAATATGGGACCATTTGAGTAAAATCATAGTTTATAAATGCTTAAACATGTTTAATACAAAATAATACATTCAAATCCTGAACACAGAACAGCATAAAACATGTTAACACTGCTGGTAATTTTTTAAGAGCTTTTGAACTTGAGCTATAAGAGTTTAAAAGGGCACCTCATTTACGTCCATGGCGAGAGTGACCAAGAACAGCCAATTGAGCTGCTCCGCTCGCCAACCAATCAGCACTCAGTAGCAGTAATGCCAGCGTCCTGCTGCTCAAAACCCATTTGTTTTATAAAAAGAAAACATGCAGGGACGTTTTCTTTGCTTTTTTAGTGAAATACATCCTTCTACTTTCTAAAATTAATGGAAAGTTTGGGCAAGTGATCAGAAACTATTTTTTCGTTTTTAGCCATTTAGCTCCATTTACTCCTATTCATTGAGGACTCGCTCGCGGGCGCCCTCTGCTGTTTTGTTGTCCTGTTTTTGATATAACGGGGGAAATAGGAAGTGTCCCGGCTCCTCATAAACCAGGAATCGGAATGGGGATGTGAGACTGGGCCAGGTTCTGCTTGGGCTTCACACCAGCTCTGCTGGTATAGACCACTGTAGTCGTGTCGTCATTTTGTAGTCGGCGCCATGTTGTTTATACCCGTATTAGGAACTCCGGGTCTAAGCTCCATTTCTCTTTGCGCAGAATGAATAGGGTTTTCGAAAAATCGCCTCGGTCGCATCCAGTGGTAAATAAAAATGTTCAGAACCCGATACGTTTTGTCCTGCGTACATTTTTCTCCCAAATACCACTGGATCCTCCGAATTACGAGGTCGTTAAAGAGTTGAAAATGAATATTGCTACACGTGAGCTAAAGCTACTGCGCACTGAGTTCACGTCATTACACTGTCAGCCTCCTTAAGCAGGTTATCACCCGCTGATGAACTGATTTCGGCTATCAGAATATCCTAATTTTTATTTTGAAGCTGGTAACATTTTTTTCTGAGGACATTTTCTGTTGTTTGTGATAGCTAGTCACAGCTGCAGCACCATTTAATGGGGAACGGGAACATTCAAACAAGAAGCTGGGAAAAAATAAAAAGCTAAATAATTCAGCCTCGTATTTTTAAAACAGTATTTTTGATAAGGAGTTTTAGTATATCAAAATATCCTACCTAGAGGTTTTATTTACGGGTATACCAATAATTATGCGCTACTGTAGACGATTTCGTTATGGTAGCACAGCTCGTCAGAGCACCGGCACAGCCCACCTTAGTTTCGTGTAGCTTAGTGACATCAAATTGATGCGCAGTAGCTTTAGCTCTCATGTAGCAATATTAGTATTATAGCTCTTTACAACCTCGTAATTCGGAGGATCCAGTGGTATTCGGGAGAAAAATGTACACAGGACAAAACGTATCGGGTTCTGAACATTTTTATTTAACACGGGGCGATAGAGGCGACTTTTTGAAAACCCTATTCATTCTGGCCATAGAGAAATGGAGCCTAGACCCGGAGTTCCTAATATGGGCCTAACGAGGACTACAGAATGACGCACGACTACAGTGGTCTATTTGGAATTTGAAAAACGGCAAAGACGCAGACTGATGTCAAACCGGTGATTGGATGAAGGCGGTGTTTATCCAGAAGAATAAAAAGAATGATCATCCAGGATGAGTTGCCACTTATGAAAATCATAACGTGCCTGTTTTTGCGTTTTGGCCTCCTCCTGCTTATTCTACACTCTCAGGATACATTGCAGTTAATTGTTGACATATTTGTTGATGTTTTAATGAAAAGAACACATCCTGTATAAGGAACACACTTAAATAGGGAGCACATTGAGGGAGCAAAAGCCCAATTTCTATTTATTTGCTGAATTTAACACACTAAAAACAAATAAATAAAACATAACATTGAATGGGTCATAACCTTTGTACATGGTACATATTATGTTTTATTTTTTCCCCAATATGTTAATTTCAGCAAATAATCAGTAATTGTGCGCTAAAAGTGTTTTCTCTGTGTTCTCTGGAAGAAAAATCAAACTTCAGCAGGAAAAAACATATCGTTCATACAAAAACACTGTACCACAGACATTATAAAAGGAGATCTTTGAAAAAATATTTTAAAAAACCCTCTCTAATAACAGTGGGGGTGCTCATGCTCCACCTGCTCCTCTGTTCAGCGGCCTACGGGAGTTCTCACTGTAGTTCCCTGGAGCTCCAGCAGAGAGTGCCAAAGAGCTGCTTACACTGCCCCAGCACTTTCTATTGGCCATTCTTTAACTGTGCTGCATTCAGTTGGCTCATATATTAGTTCATGTACCCACAGTAGTACGTGAAAGGGATTGAAAAAACATTGCGTTAGCATGTTATTTTCAATGAAGAGTATTTTTTCTCAATGTATATGCAATGAGGATTTGCTCTGGTTCCCGACAAGATGTAAGAAGTTGATCTCAAGTGATCATGCACATTTTTATATAAATGCTTGGCAAATGTTAAGTGTCAGTGTCTTTAAATTCTTTAAACTGGTAAACCGGTTATCTTAAATGAACATTCATTTTATTAGCAAAAAAAATAATAAACAAAAATAAAAAACACAAAAAAAAAACCTTTAAAACTTTTAGCGTTACACCGCACTAAAGTAGAACTGATTTTACTTGTGATGCAAAGGCAGAATACAAATGTTCAAAATCCATCTTCCTTTTTGTCATATCTTCAGTTTGAGGTTATTTAAACTAGGTCTAGCAGTTAATTTAGAGAATGTACACTCTTCAAAAGGTAAAGGCAATGGTTATATACAAAACCAAAACAACTTAAAGAAAATTAGCTGAATGCTTAAAGTGGTCTTTTAATGCGTACTATTCTTCTAATGGTGCTACCATTCCATGCACAAGGTAATGATGGTTGACTGCACCAATTATAGTCTATTATTATTATTACTGTGTATATTCCTCATGAAGAACCTGTTGAATGTAAAGAATCTTTTTAAATAGTTCTACATAGCATCAAGAAGAATTTATGTATTAAACACCCCTCCCCCCCAAAAATGTTGTTTGATTTCTTCAGTAAACACTAAGCACATAACTTTTACAGCTTACTTTTCCCATATAAATTCGTTTCAGCATTTGTTTCCTGCAAAGTGCATTTTGTCAGTGTTTCTTGCTGATACATCCCCACGTTAATAAAAATTTTGCAAATGTCAAGCTCACCACCTAATAATACTTACATTACTTTTTCAAATAATGATACCTTCAACACCTAGTGAATTGTTATAATTGTTCTATTACAAAACAATGACACAAGCAGTTAAATAATAAAAAATACAGTTCCAAAAAAGTGTGTTTTCACCCATAACTGGTATTCTTCATTTTACAATCATTTGACTATTATACAATTTTCTAAACAGCTGCTTAGAAAAATATTCAGACCCCCAGAAATCATTGAAATGTTGTATTTCAAATAATACACACTAAATCAACAAATGCAACATTTTCATGCAAAAAAAAGAAAAAAAACATGGTGGGTATTTCACAAAGCAGCTTTCCTAGTTAGCTGGATATTTTTAGCCAAAAATCAAGACTGTTCAAAAGAGACATCCCTTACCCATTCTTCTATAAAAAAAAAAAGAACAGCAAAAAACACCCTCATGAAATACCCTCCATTTTATGCATCATGACATGCTGACAAATGTTGTTTGCATAAGTACTCAGACCCAAGCGCTCTGTCAAATTTGCTACAGGTTTATACTATTTATATATACGTGTGCGTGTGCGTGTGTGTGTGCGTGTACACACACTCAGCATGGCCAGTTATTTTTCAGATTGGCCAAAACATTTTGTATTCAAGGAAATAGTGGTTGTAACCGTTTTACCAGGGTCACTGGGTACCACATTTTAAGGAAAGACACAAAACATACTTGTAGCTTCAGATGCTTCTTTTAATGCAAGAAGAAACTAAAACTGCCTTAATTCATAATCAATAACCGTTGAAGAAAACCAAGGTCCACTTTGGCAACCTGGGGCAAATATATATATAGATAAAAAAAAAAAACAGATACCACATCCATGTAATTTGTAGAAAAGTGCTAGTTTTCATTTTTACTACTGTTCATTTACTTAAAGTCTGACCATGTGAGCTTTGCATGGAGATTATGAAAGAAAAAATAATAATATAAATGTGTATGTATAACCTGAAACAAACTTTGGAAACTGTATTGGGATCTGAATACTTTTGCAAGTGGCTGTATATAAGATTTCCCAAATAGTTGTAAAAGCAGATAAAATATTCAATATGTATAGTACTTTTTTTTTGTACATACAAGTCCAAAAGACAAGTAGAGAGCAAGTTTAATAAAAGTTCTGATTAGTGATGGATCAAATGGGGAAATAGTGGGGAGGGTTTTGTTTTGAAGGAAAACAGAAAGATAGAGAGCTCACTAATTACCACAAGTACAGAGGACTTAAGATTTCAGTGTATATGTTTAAGTTATTAAATAATCATCTTTTAACTAAAAGAAAACAATGCTTTCACAGAAATCAACCCATCATGTACAACATCCTTGCAAAAGAAAAAAAAGCCTGAAAAGTCAGATTGTAAGGACAGTGTGCTGTTAAAGAGTCAGAGAAAGAGTATGTGTAGGGCATTTGATGGCCTTTGGCATTTGGCATTAGACTGCCATGGTCAGAAGCAACTGACAAGGTCCACCAGCTTTTGCAGCTTTCCAGCTTTTCAAATGGATGAATCACTGCGAAACACACCCGCTGAAGTGTGTGACTTCAGCAAGTAGATAACCAGAGAAGGATGACGAGTGGCTGTCTTTTTGGAGAGAAAAGGAGAAGGTGAGAGAGCGAGAAAAAGAGAAAGGGGGGAGAGAGAAAGGGAGAAAGAGAGAGAGGGTTCCTAGCCTGATGAACAGCAGCCTCCTGCAGCAGTAGCAGCCTGGGGCTCATCATCAATGATCTGAACACCTCTGCGCCCTGTGCTTGCGTTATTTGCCCCGTTCCCCTTCAATCTCTCCTCCACCTGAGCTGTCTCCATCATTCCTACACAACACAGCACGCAAAGTATTAGAGAGTGCAAGAGTATTCGCTAGTGAAAGCATTACAGCCTGATCAATATATTGTTTGGTCGATAAAATTGGCTGATATTAAAGTTATCTAGAATTACTGGCATTGTCAAAGATACTGTTGATAAAATAACAGTTCTCCTATATGGCTTTATTTTGTAGTTAATTAATATACTTCCTTAATTTGAGGACAACTACATGCTCTCATGTCAGTTGGTACAGACTCCTACAATGGTTAAAAAATAAGAAAGATAAAATATATTCTTGTAATTTCTAATTGGTTGGCTAAAGGTTCTAGAAAACATGCATGCACTGCTTCAGTCCCTCCTGTAGTTCAGCAAAAAGTAATACTGTTAAATGAACCACATTTACTTTGCAGAGTGTGTTACACTTACTTTTACACAGGTCAAGGAACAGTTCTTCAATTCCTTTGTTCAATTTTGCTGATGTGTGATAGTGTTTTGCCCCAACTGACTCTGCATAGCTATAGAGAGAAAGAGAACAAACAGTTACAAGAGAAAATCCGCTAACCAACATGAATGTCTTGAAGTGAACATGGGAGTAAAACGGGACCTTAAAGACTGACTCACAGGTCACTACCTTTGACAGGCCAGTTTTCATATTGAAGCCACCTGTAGCTATGCCAAGACATGGTGCCTTGGTACAGCGGCCCTATAGGTTTTGCAATATGGTTTACTCCCAACTTTCTTTACAGTGGTGACGATAGGAACCAGGGGCTGTGACGTCTATAGTACAAATACAGACATTTTATTTTTTTACCCAAAACCACCAGTTAACCTACACACGTCTTCTGAGTTCAAAAAGTCTGACTTAACAAGCTTCTCTAGAATGGAGCATTTTATATCAAACCAGTCTGAATGACTTAGTTTACATCTTTGTCTTACATCAATACGTTTTGAACATCAGTAGAATTCCCCTTTAAGAAACGCTACAGAGTCCTTCACCATCATAGAGGACAAAGGATCATTTCATTCCTAATGTCCACACAAATTATATAAACTTCAGCACCATAGGTTCTTCCATTTTCCATGACAAGCATCCTGAACATGTCCAAGCCTAGATTTAATCGAGTTTGCAACTCCTTTACATTTCTTGACTAACTGCCAATCTCAGAATTCCATTAGAGAAGTAAATCTGTTTCACGCTGAAATGTGGTTCTTCAACTTTGATCAGCCACTGTACAGTGAATGACTGATATTAAAAGACATTCATATACTATTATTATTTGCGTGAACAGGGTCGCTCAAGCCCTATTTCAGTTTTGTTTTTGTTAAATGACACCAAATGTCTTTCTTTTCATGATACACTTTCAATAATATTATTATTATTGTTATTATTATTTTAACATAGCAGTGCTATTCAAGTAGTCCAGAACTGTTTGTATTACAGGCTTGTGAATCAGTTTTGATGCACGGAGAGTGAGAGCTGGGAAGTCAAATACTGATCTAGAAACAACAAAATGAACTGTGATGGGCCTATATAGGTCAGTCAAAGGATCCAGTCTAACAGATTCATTCATGGCAGCATTTGTGGAAAGATGAGAACAAGCAGATACAAACTACATTCTAAACTAAAGGTTTGTAGCTGCTCATCCAATATTTCTTCAGAAGTGTATTAATAGGGAGTTTGTAATAACAGCCTCTAATATTCTGGGAAGGCTTTACACTAGATGTTGGAACATTGCTGTGCGGATTTGATTGCATTCCACCGCAAACATTAGTGAAGTCCAGGAGATTAATCAGAAATAATCATACAACTAATGTGGGATAATTAATGCTGGATCACAAACATAATTCCAAGTCATCCTAAAGGTAATGCATGGAGCTCCATCACTCCAGAAGACAAAGTTCCACTGCTCCACCGCCCAATGCTGGGGGGCTTTATACCTATCCAGCCGATGGTTGGCACTGGACATGGTGGTCTTAGGCTCATGTGCACTGTGTCCCACAGTGTCCCACTCTACTGATTGATTATACAAGCTTTGTGTGGGCAATTAAGTACCTCTGTCTCCAATGTGTGCACCTTAAAAGAGCTGAAAAGCTAATTAGGAGTGTCTGGATTCTTACCTCTCAGCTTCTTCCACTGATACATGTCTCTCTTTTTCCAGATCTATTTTATTACCTAGAAAGAGAAATAGAGAGTTATAGTTTTACAGTAGATCGTATAATTACATATCAGCTAATAACACCATGGCCAAAGCTAACTGAATGAACATATTTTAAGGCTATAAGAAATACGGTAATCTAATTATGATACGGTATAAACATATACATGAAAAAGGTATGCTGCGTATGTCAATGTTTCCCTTTCCAGTATTTGGGGACCCCCAGATATTGATAATTTTTTGCTTTATACCAGCCCTTGGACACACACACACACACACACACACACACACAAAACAGTAGCTTGAATTTCAGAGATGGAATACAGTAAAAATGTGGAACCCCTGGGGGTCTCTGAAAGAAGGATTGGGAAAACAAGTGTTTCAAGGTAAAACCATCACATATGTCAAGGGCAACTAATAATTTTACATTAATTATTTAAGCAATAGAACACACGGCCTTGTTACGTCGCGATAACAGACAACCTTGAGTGTTCTATTGCTTTTATACAACAGTTAAATAAATAAAGTAAGAAATAAATAAATTGGGCCGTGAACGTATCGTTAATATGTTTTAATGTTAGCAGTTCCTTCCTCCAAATTATAGTTCCTTAACATGCAGTAACAAACTCCGCCCACTCGCTGCACAGTCTGCCATAAGCCTCGCCTTCTGAAGTACAGACTGAGCCATAAAACTGCCGCAATATCAAGTTCAGCTCAGTGTTGTCAATTTTTGCTAGATCAATATTAATGTTGTTTTGTTCCAGCCAGTCTGTAAAGCATCTTACAGCCAATTTTATATGGCGAATGGTGTTCGGTTCATTTCTGGCTAATTCCAGGTTGTTCTTGTCACAGCTGCCGACTAAAAAGCTTGCTCAGTGGTAATGACAGTTTCTGAACTTAGCGTAGTCTCATCTTTAGAGTCTGACCAAACTGGCTGTAGGTCAAATGTAATTTTAAAAGTATCCATATTCTGTTTGTGCGCATAGTAAGAAGTAAATATGTTTAAATGGCTTGAGCGTCTCCCACAGCTGTCAAAGTCGTTGCTTAGCAACGGCGTCTCAGTGGTGTGATACAGTACGAAAAAAAGTGAAGCATTCTAACCTTGCTGTTATTTCGCCATAACAGCACTAACGCTTCTCAACTAATCAGCTTGCGTGCCAGGAACTAACTGTTGTATAATCTGTAATAACATAACCTTAAAGCCAGGGTCAGGAGTCAGCAGAACACTTTCACTAAGCTTCATTAAACAGTCTTTTTTATTCTTGGTTCCTAATAATAATAATAATAATAATAATAATAATAATAATAATGATAATAATAATACTAATAATAATAATAATTATTATTATTTTTATTATTAAATACAGTTCACATAAGGCCAAAACCATAAATCAAACAATGTACGATATTCTGTGCATTATGGATCACCAGAGAAGCAACTCCGTAGTAGCAGAGTAGCAATGTACCGCAAGTGTCCTAGAAGAATTAAAAGGTTTTGCTTGTATGTTTTTGAGTGAGAAGGAGAAAGAGAAAGACAGATTGTGAGAGAGTAGAGAGACATGTATGCTGTTTTTTTTCTAAATCACATGAGAGTGAGCAGTGATCAATCCTCAGGTTATGTGACTGGTTCTTACAGTGCTCAAATCCTTCCAATACAACATGCACAATTCAATCAAGCTGCTTCTTCCTAAATGACAACAGCAACATCATTTGCAACTTAGCTGACAGTTCACACGGTGCCTAAGAGTCGTATTCTAATTACAACAAACTCGCTATTAAGGAAGAAAGACTTACCTACTATACATAAACATATTTCATTCCCCAACATTTTCCTTAATTCTTTCACCCAGTTTTTCACCTGTTGAACATAAAGAGGGTTAAAAAAGAACTTACAGAAATCAGTCTTGACAAGACAACATGAAAGTAAACTGCTTGTTGCTAAAATTGTCTACTAACAGACTTATTAGTGATGCAATAACTATACAACAGAAAGCCACCTGATTTTTTTTTTTTTTAGAACCAAATACAACATTTTGAAATATTACAAGCCCACAAGTCCTTTCCTCACTTTGTACATTTACTCATCAGTGGAGTTGATGGAATTGACTTTCATTAATTTCAACTAAAAGGACCAGAGCTGAGATTAACCCATCCTGAACATATTTTACAGCTCTGTTGCAGCCAGCCTGTTTAGTCATGTTACAGTGCAAAGGTAAGCTACAACTGTTTTTTTTGTTTTTTTTTTTAAAACATCATGGTGCTTCTGTGCAGCCTTAAAAAGCAATGCTGTGTTTGGTGTTTTCTTGGGTTCAACAATTAAACACTAATAACAGTTGGTTATTGGTCAAAAGAATGCGTATGTGCGTGTGTGTATGTATCTATGTATGTAGGAACGCAGGTATATTATTGGCAATAAACAAATTGGGGCCACACTTTATTTGGATGGTCCCCTGTAGATGATCTACAGATACTTAAATCATTAACAAACTTTCTGGTGACACTCAGTTGATTATCAACAACATTATGGTTAGGATTAGGATTAAGAGTAGGTGTAGGTTTTGTCTTGAGGCTAGGGTTAGGTTTAGGGTTAGGGATGGATTTAATAAAATCTTTCACACTGAACTTGTTTTTAGTTGAAAGTTACTTAAAGACAGACTGAGCATCCAAATAACACTCAACTTCAAGCTCAGTTGCATTTAATGGATATTTAGTTGAATGTTACCTAAATATATACTGCACATTTACAAAGCATCTACAGTGGACCATCCAAATAAAATGTTACCCAAATTGGAATCTGACATAAAAAAAAAAATCCCAGAGCACATAATTTCAGTTAAAATCAGTATTTTTATGATGCTTCACAAAATAATCCCTTTGCAAGGCAGCACATTTGACGTTAACAGTGTCATCTGCAATCAGGCTTTTCTCTCTGCATTTGTAACAAAAATGTATATAATCCATCTGTATGAATTACATTCATTATTATATTTTTATATCTTATATTTTCAGTATGCTGTTTAGTCACTAATTACATTTGAGCTGGACAGGCTGGGCCACTTTAGCTTTTACTTTCTTTTTATTTTTTAAATTTAAGCATGAACAGCCTAGAAAAAGCTCTGAATGCAAACTACTTGCAGTATATTAACACTACATGTTCATGTTTACTAAAGCTTTCTTGGATTCTTATTAAACACAAAAGCATGGCTCTGCAATATTTATACAGCAGATGTTTTCAAGAAATATATACAAATACAGTATATATTATTGAAAATATATGATTTAAACCTGAGCCAAGGACTGTCAGAAAAAACTAACTACATAATTGTGTTACTCAGACTAAATTAGAATGTATAGTTTAAAAAAATATTATTTAAAAAGGGAGCAAATAATTTGCCTGTTATAACACATCATATCCCATTCAAGGTTTTCACAGCAATGCTTTAATGGGGTCTTATACTGTGCTCACACACTGAAGAACAAGCACTGTGTAAACCAGCACAACAATAAGAGAAGACTTCACCTTCTGGAAAGAATCTTCATCTGTAATGTCATAGACCAGGATGGCTCCATTGGAGTCTCTGTAATAGATTGGCCCAAGAGCATGAAACCGCTCCTGTCCAGCGGTGTCCTGCAACAAACACAGAAATTGTGCAGGGTACTTAAAGGTTAAAACACCCAGTAGTGCAATGGCTTCCCTGCAAAAAAACAGCACTTCTAAAGTAAGACACACCTCCTTTTGTAGACAGACATCAAAATTATAATACTGACTTGCTTACACAGCACTGCAATAATTTCTAACAGCTGTGCTATTATCTCCATCTTTGTCAGGTTTGGTAAAACCTGATGAAGAACAGAATGCATGAAACTGTGCAACTCGGCAGGGACTATCTTGCAGCACTCTGCCCATCTGCACGCTGGGCATTTCTACGGGACATAATTTTCCACTCATTTCTCAGATGAAGGTACAAGAGTACCTGAAGCTAGCATGGACAAATCACAGTCTAACAAAAAAAAAAATCTATACTAATAATGTTCATGAACATGATAAAACACTAAACTATAAAGCACATAAGAAACTGACGATACTGAGGATAGGTCTGTGGGAGGAAATCTTTGCCCTGTTTCTTAATTTAGAAGCACAAATCACACTAAATCTAAATAAAACCTAAATAAAATAAACAAAAACATTTAAAAACTTACCCAAATAGCCAGATTAACTCTCTTTCCTGTGATGTTGAGTTTCTTTGTAAGGAATGAGGCCTTTAACCGAGAGAAAAAAAAACAAAAAACAAAACAAAAACACAAGGGTTATTGGTCTCACTATAGCAGGCAGCATAAATGTTCCAAACTTTCATCTTTTATTATCATGATAACTCATGAATCTATATGCATGGCTGCAACGAAACACTGCAATGGTAGCATGCTGACCTCAGTCTAGGGCACATCACATTGTGCGGTCCATCAACGTGTGTTCTTATGTTATGTTACTGTGGTGGTTAAAGTACTCAGTACTTTAATGGGTGATAGAGTGTTGGTGAATGGAATCTACTGTTATTCCAACAGCCACAACAATTAAACATATGAACAGTACAAGAGAGTGTGTGGCTTTACTTGTCTTATTGGAATGAAGAGGCTATGATACATACACAGCTTTGATACATAAACTAGTTCTGCAGGAGAGTTATCCGAATGCTGGTCTGCCAAGACAGTCGCCAATAGGACGAATGACCAGATGAAAGCATATTGGCAGCACAAAACAGCTTGTCTGTCACTACAGCGCCCCTGGCCGCAACGCTCAGAATTAAACATTTTAGAACACGTCGCACAAAGCTGTGTTTTTAACACCAAATCAGAATGTGTGTAAACGTGAACGTTGGCTATACTTCTGGGTGGAGAAACCACTCAATCAGTCGTAGAAGCAGCTTGTTAAGTAGCAACAAATACAAACAGAATAGACTGAACCAAAGTTTGGTCAACATTGGTAAAATACTGTGATGTTCGAGGCTGTACTATGAAATGTTTAAGGGGGAAATAGGGTCCATATGCCTTTAAGAAGTGTGAAGGTGCTGCATTTTTCCTGCTACTGCAGAGGCAGAGAGACCTCATGGCTCCTCCAGCTCTCCTTATTTAATGATAAGTTTAATTTCAGTGTATGAAACTGCCACCATTCTTTGGAACTCCACCTTGCTGCCATGATAAAGCATGCTAAAGTGACTGGATATCACCTCAGGGCAGCTAACCCTGACTCTGACATTTTTAAAGTAAAAACATTCCCCTCATCCCCACCTACGGCCAGGAAACAGAATCAGAGAATGAGATAATGTGTATACCCAAGAACATACTGGTACAGGTTTAAGTTTTCCCATTTTTCAGCTTGGAAAGCTGGTAAAGTTGCTGAAAGTAATCTGAAATCCAGTGAATGCATCATTAGCTTGGCACTGATGCAACAGCTGTCAGCATTATCATAGTAAATAAAATAAAGTTTACTAATGAAGTTACTTTTATTTCATTAAAACGCTGCATTGAAAATGGATGGCTGGTGCATACTTATGATTAAATGATAAATTTACCCTGAATGGCCCAGGTAAGGGTGAAGTTATCGGAGTGGGAAGGTGAGTTTAAAATAGAATGTGATGGCGTCAGAACAGTTTCATTAACACACAAGTTTGCCAATGTCAACAACGACAAAATTAGGAGCATACAGTTTGCCAGTATTTAATAACATAAATTTAGAGGTATACACTATCTCAGTATTTAGATGTTTCAAAACAAGCTCACTGAAAATGATCTGTTTTCTCCAATACTCTAAATGACTCTCAAATAAGTATCAGGATTGGTACAAAATCCTGTTGTACCAAGGCAGCACTACCAGTGTTATCCACCCAGAAGTAACCTCTTCGTTGTTGTAACATTACGCTGATTTGTCGTATAGCATGAAGCGTTTCTGTAGGCATTTCGACATCGGAATATATGTATATATGCTAGTCTAACCACCAAACCCACCAACTCTGTACTTCTGCTGGAGGTTTTGCATATTGAGGTGTGGAAAATTTTCCACATAACAGCCCTCAGAGTCTATATCCCATGAAAACACAAAACTATTTAAAAGGGCTGCACTGATAACCTCAATGAAATGTTCACTTTATAACACAAACGTTCTGGTAGAAAAAAAATGCACAGCAAAAACTTCTAGGGCATTCTGCTAACACTGTTAGGACAATCCATTAACACCTGTGCATCGCCTAGACCTCTAGAGTTCTCTCAAGTCCAAACATAATGAGTCCACAATGACTCTCTTTTGAGGGAAGATGTATCGGGTGCACTTCTCCACATTAGTGGCATCCTTTACTTGAAAAGCTGAACGAATGAAAGTCACGCAGTTATAGAACAAAGGACTAAAAACAACCATAACACATTCTAAATATTAACCATAAGTCAACTACTGCTAACATAAAATGGGCCTTGCTGTAAACACATAAATCACTTGCATGTTACACAAAGCTGTGTTTTGTATCTGGGGTCATTACTCAACCTTGACCGAGAGTAAAAAGCATTACCACTCAACTCAAAAGCCGTTAGCTGACCATGTTTTGTTTTTTCCAAAGTCTCGTTAAAGACCTAGCTCTACACCTTAGTAACCACTCACACCGTTACATACAGCTATATCAGTCAGTCTGTTTTGCTCCAGAAAATAAATAAATAAAATTATTATTATGATAAACTACAAAAACGACAACAGCAATAACTATTAAAATAACGCCTATTATTAAATATTATGTTTATAATAGGAAGAACTCATAATTATTGTTATTACTACTAACATTATTGTTATAATATTTTAAGATTTTCCATGATGGTGATGATGATTACCAGTAAAGCAGCATCAAAATCATCAATCCGTAACGTTACCCCATCATTTAACACTGAATCTTTTTTTAAATCTAAAATATTAAGTCAGACAAAGATAAAATGAAGGTACAAGAGTCAAGAAAAAGGATCAGACTAACACTAACTTGCTTTGCAAAAAAATGAAAGTGATTCGGTTTTCGAAACGCGTAAAACGAAAGTTCGCCTGACCGTGAGCAGGAAAACGGCCTTTAGTGCTAGGAGGCTGGACTCGAGGTTGCAACATGACAACAGAACAACAGCCAAACAGTTAGTTAGTTTTCAGGTCGACCATATTTTCCCCCAAGTCTGTTCAGTCTGTTGTTGTAGGAATGTGAAGCTGTTAAACAGGTTTCACTTCACTTGATTTTGACTTCCACTGCAAACACGTCCTAGCTAGTTAGCAAACTCTTTTACTGTCGATCTGTGACACATCGACGGACGAATACTGACGAGTCATACCTCTCGCCAAAGCACCGGAGAGGAGAGATGACACGCGATGGAGCTGTCAGTTCTTTTAACCGTAGCACTGACAGCGTTTAATAACGCGATTTGATATTCGGCCCTAAAAAACACCACAATGCAAAGCTTTCGCAACTGAGGTTAGCTAGCTAATGTTAGGCAGCTAGCAGGCCAAGTGAGCCACGTACCTGAAGGGTGGTGATGTGTTTGTCGTTAAATTTATTTTCACAATACCGCAGCACCAGCGAGGTCTTGCCGACGCATCCTTCCCCTAACAAAACAACCTTGAAGGAATATGTTTTGTTACTGCCTGCTGCTCCGCCAGCCGCCATGGCGAAGGAAGAAGCCTTTCTTCAGCTCGGTGAGACAGTAAACCAAATATTCTCCTTCCGCGGGGTTACATGAGATATCTAAATAAATGTAAGGCGAAATGGAAAACGAGGGGGTTAAGTTCCCCTGATCGGCAGAAAACACCGAAAGACAAATCTATATTTCACGTCTTTCGGTCTCCCGTCTGTGGCCCAGCCTAATGGCTTCCTCTGCGACGTCACACACTTGGAATCATATGACAAACAGGAGTTTCAAGAAGACGACAGCGTGAAAATCGCCCGACCGCAATACATTTCAAAATAAAAGTCTCAAAACAACACGCTTTGTCACAATGTGCCATGACAAAAATGAAGTCATTTATATAATGATAACATATAATAATATGACGATTACATGTGCCTAGAGTACAATATGAATATAAAAGAAATTGGAAGAAACATTGTCTAGGTGACAAGTGGGACATTTTAGTGTGAGCTACAAGGTAAAGTAAATCAAAACAGTTAGTTGCTAGAAACACCACCCTCAAAAGCACCTGCTTAAAAGGGGTAGGGGATAAATACTATGGTTCACATACATACATAGGTGAGAGTACTGTGCTTTGTCAGGGATCTTCAACTCAGTATAAATCTAATGCTGATCTTAAAAGTCCTGTTGAAAAAAAAAGGTGCTCAATCCTGGTCCTGGAGATCTACAACCCTGCAGAATTGTCCTTTTACATTTTTCAAATTCTGTAGTCCATGTTATGCCCGTATTTGTTCAATGGCCAAAATGAATGGGGGGTTTCGAAAAATCACCTTGGTCACACCCTGTGGTAAATAATGTTCAGAACCCAATATGTTTTGTCCTGCGTACATTTTTCTCTTTAGAATATCACAGGATCCTCTGAATTACGAGGTTGTTAAAGAGTTGTAATACTAATATTGCTACATGCAAACTAAAGCTACTGTGCATTAATTTCATGTCACTAAGCTACGCAAAAGTAAGGCGGGCTATGGCGGTGTTCTGCCTTATCAAATGTCATACCGTAGTGCATATTTATAGGTAGCTCTGTACATAAAACCTCAAGGTAGGATATTTTGATAGTTATAAATCTATTAAAGAATTCTAGCAGCATTAAAACTAGGAAGCTAAAGTTAGCTTCTTTTTTGCCAGCTTCTTAGCTTCTTGTTTAAATTTTCCCGCTCCACCTGGAAAGTTGAACACAAGTCGTGCATGCATCACAAAGTCAGTGCTGCGCAGGCGACCGCAACCAGTGTTACTCACCTGTCGAGCAGAAAAAGAGCAACATCCTCATTTTTGATTATCACAGAATGGATAGAGGCAATTTTCGAAAACTTGAAAATTTGTGAGTCTGAAAGCTGTAAGTCTGAAGTTTGAAGTGTTTGAAAGAGAATTGAGGAAGGCAGCTATCGAGGTAAGTAAAAAGAGGGTATTTTGCCTTTTGCCTCTTACCTTTGGCACTTTTTACCAGGGGGCGGGTCTTAGAAGAGGGCGCTCACCTGCACTTTCTATTGGTCAACTGATTTGGAGTAACAGGTCTTCTGAACACATAGTCTTGCCCACTCTTCTTCAAATATGGTGGAGCACTTTGTACTCAGTGTAGTATTGCCTGAGACAGTTTGTGAGGAGCCTGACCACTTCCAGTTTCCCCCCCTTATATCAAAAATAGGACTACAAAACAGCAGAGTACAACAATGGTAAACCCCCAAAAATATGTTTTCTTTGGGGAGTTTATAAAAACGGATCATAAAACAATGTCTGTCAGACTAAAAAGTTAAGACAAAGGCAATTTGAGACAAAAAACAGCCAAAAAAGTGATGCACTCATGGTGGGGTATAAAAGGAGCATCCAGAAAAGGCCTAGACCTTTATGAGCAATGATGAGTCAAGACTCATTTTTCCCAGAAATGCATCAGCCAAAAAAAAAAAAAAAAAAACAACAGTTTAAAAATAAGGGATTGTCAGTGATTGAAAATGTTTTGTAAGTATTTCACCCTTTACAATGCATAATATCAAAAAATTCATGGAATCCAGAAAGATCTTCATGCATAAAAGGCAAGGCCAAAAACAACAAATGAATGGGTGTCGTTTTTTTGGCCCCTCAGAAGGCACTGCACCAAAAAACTGGCATGCTTCTGCCATGGATATCACTACATGGCCTTGGGAATACTTTGATAAACTGCTATTAGTAAACACTTTCTGTCGCTGCATCCACAAACGCTCGAGCTCATCTTAAATGGACTGATGCAAAGTGGAAATGTGTTCTGTGGTCTGATAAGTAAACCTTTCAGTTTATGGAAATAATGGACATTGTGTTCACTGGGCCAAAGAAAAAGTGGTCCTTCCAGATACCAGCGGTAAAGTTCAAAAGCTAGTGTGTGTGGAGGAGCGTGGGGCCTAATTTTAACATAACACCACCAAGAAACATTTTGCATGTGTTACAACAGCATTTTCTCAGTTCTTTCTAGCTGTCAGCGCTAGATTGAGAGTTTTTCCTTATTTTACACACATACCTAATAAAATCACTTAATTAGTGTAAGTTTTGTGTAGGCTATAACGGAATGCTCTGACTAAGGCATTCCTCTCACACAGGTTCAGGTTTCTGTTGATAGATTGGCACAGAAGCATTAGGTATCCTAGCAATAAAGTCTATTTAAAGTTTTATTTATTCCCATTTCTCTCTTGTTAGGATGTTATAAGCATTTAACATGATGTCTGTTTATGCTTCGCAGGAAGTTCTGTCCATAGGTCACTCAAAGCATCATGGGACATAAAAATAAGGTGGATAGTTATTAGAAACTATCATGATTCAGGCTGTGCTCAGAAGACGTATTTTATTAAACATTTACATATTAACATCATACATTTCAAACAGACTGCCGTGATGCATCAAACCTGAAGAGAATGCTGACTCAAGGAAAAGGCATGGCATATGTCTAAATAATATGGTCAATATGGTCAAAGCAGTATGCTAGAGCTAATGTTACTATTTTATATTAGGGAGGAGGAATAAAAAACATGAACACACTTTAAAGAGGACAACTTTAAGGACAGAGATAATTCCCCTTGCACCACTGTTTAGAAAAACATCAGATAATTTCAGAGGAAAAAAAAAAAAACAAGTGACATCATTATGTTTGCTAATTTGATATTCTTCAAAATCCTATGTCCCACTGGTGGCCTTTTGCAGAAGCTGGAGCATGATAGGATAGACAGGTGCAAAATTCCTCCCTTGTCTGGCTCTTACAGACTGCACGTATGCCTCCAAAGCCCCCCTGGATATAAAAAAAAAAGAAAGACAAGCACAGTTCCTCACTAAAATGTTTAAAACAGTAAAAAGAAATACAATGTCAAATTAATGAACACATTTAAGTCAGTGAAAAAGCCAAATAAATGATCATGCAAAAGCAGTCTCTCAACTCTAAAGAGTTCCACACACTTGACATACAACCTAAATGTGTAAGTATAGTGACTCCCTTGAAAAGTCTAGTGGCAGAAAGATCAAAATGGGGTAGCATAAATGAAAATATAGTACTGTGCAAGGCAGAGACACTAAAATCTGAAAAAATTAAAATTATATTTAGTTGTTGAGGCTTCTGTGTAACTGTGAGCTGTTAAATATGTTTTCTTTCTTCTTTCTGTTAAATATGTCTGTGCTTTCTTTGTGGGAAAAGGCCTAAAGAAAAAACAAAAGATAAGTAGTGATATGCCAAAGCACAACAAACTTATAACAAAACAAATAATACGAATGCTAACAAAAAATAGAAATGGTGAATGGTAAAATCATTGTTTATTTGTTTTCAGTCTCCTGTATGAGCCAGCGTGCACACGTTCAGTTTGAGCAGCAGATCATCGACAGTGAAAACCTGGTCCACTGCAGCTTCGACCCTCGCTCTATACGATCTTTAGCTTTCATGCATTTTTAGCTTTAACTGATTTTATAAAGATCTTTTGAAGAGAGTACATAAATAATACAGAGGAATGAGTAATACAGCCCTGCCCTTTCACATTCACAATGAGAACAGAGGTCACTTTCATATGTCAAAGTAACAAAAAGTGAGAGAGAGGTGTGCAAATGGTCATGTAACAACAAATAACTATTTGTGGTACATAAACTTACAATGTCCAGAGTAAACCTTGGGGTAGGGCTGAACAGTTTGGGGGGAAAATCGAATTGCGATTTTTCTGACCGTTATTGCGACCATGCTTTAAACTGTGATTTTTTATTTTTTGTTTTTTTGCCAAGAAGACCAGCATGTCCAACACTCTACATAGTCTGCCAAACTGCCAGTTAGCTGTATACAGTGTTATCATGTATACAGTACATGTGTAGTTCAAACTACAATTTCAATATAAAAACGATTCATCTTTCAATAGAGACATTATAAAGAGAAGATTGATTGCTGGTAGGAAAATTGAATGGGAACGCTTGTATCGCTCAATATGGTGTCTGTTTATGAGGAAAGTCCTGCCCCTCAATAAAAAGAGACAGTCAGCTTGCTGGAAAAGCCCCCCTCAGTTGTGATCTGTGCAAACACAGCAGCCATAACAACCTGAAAAAAAAACGTTTGTGTTATTTATGCCAAACGCTACAAAGTATTTAAGGCATTTATGGCAGGTTTTACCAGTGATTTTAAATATGTTTTTGAAATGTTAATTTGTCCTTCTATTTAGAGTTTTTAAGTCTTTCCCCATTTAGGAGATAGGAGCTTGGTCTTGTACGACTGGAAATAACAGCACTATCAAGATGGCTACCGAGCAAACAGACTTTCGGTTACCCAGTCCACACAGGACTAAGACAACCTGAGTCAACTAATTATTAAATAACTCAAACTGTACTACTGTTAAAAAAAATTGGAACCACTCGTCATAAACAGAATATAAATTAATGTAAATAGCTTACAATGTGCATTTAAATACTAAATTAAAGCTAGACACCAAATAAAAAAAAAAAACATTTTAGATGTTTAAGTATTTTGATATTTTTAAGCAAGTTGTCAAATGATTATCATCATCATCAAATGATTGTCAAATGATTAATACTGTAACTACGTATTTACAATTGTCTTGTCAATTTATACGCTTTGAGCCTTAATCAACACTTTTGAAATATAAGGCATTCTAGAAATTAATTTTATTTTATGCATTATGGGGCCTGGCTCTGGTCCAGATGATGTACCACCCTGAACAATTTATTGCCAACTAGGGTTGGACTGACAGACAATGCCACCGTCCAAACCTAACCCTCCACCCAGCCTTGTGTAGTATTTACAGTACCTTTGTAAGACTAAAGGCCTTTTCACACTGAGTCTGGTTTTTGTGGAAGAAAAAATGCATATAAAGTTTTAAAAAAGACACACTCGTACATTAAGGCTGTCTTTCAAACCGAGCACGAAAGCGACGTACTACGGCACTGCGTAATTTTTGAAGTCAGAGCCTGCTCCATTTTCTTCGCTTTACGAATGCATTAAAAATCAGGCTGACCAGAGCTCCGTTGTCATGGTTGCAGCCCAAACAAAGGTGCATCAGAAATGGCAGCAGATCTTGCTTGTAGCAGAGCACAAAAGCTTATATGACAAGCAAACACTAACTAAAAAGCACATAGGTTAAAGAAAATAAGTGGCAGACCACAGCTAAAAGGCACTGCACTAACTGTATATGATTGGAGTTCTTTTGCTTCTCTTCAATAAGAGGAGCAACAAGCAGAAGCAGCACCTCTATTCCCCCACTGACATACCAAAATACCTGCAAAATCGTGGAAAATCATTGTGAACTCCCTGTGAGGTCTTTTTTGTAGAATGGCATATAACGTTACCTAGTGCATTCACTGTTTAGCTGCAATGCTTAAAAAAAACATTTCAGAGTGAGACAGAAAAACGCTTCGAACTAGGTTAAAAAAAATCGCATCAGTTTTATTTACCCAAAAAAAAATGTACCTAGTGTGAATGAGCCTTTTCACTACTACCGTTCCCACCTGCCCGATTTCATTGTCTGTCTTGATGTTTCCCTGTAGACATAGTGATATGCCAGTGAAGTAGACATGACCCAACCCTAGTTTCAACACATCTGGCTCTAATAGCAACAAATCTGGCTCTAATATTCAGATGCTCCTGAAGGTCTTGATTAACTGTACAAGGTATGGTATATTCAGGCATTTGCACCAATAGACCCCAGGAGAGGCTTGAGCCCCTGGGTGGGAAGGTACACTTTTTAGGGTGGGAAGAAAACCGAGTGGGAAATTGTGAAGAAGGTGGAGCGTAACGTAGAGATGATGGTGCACTCGTCAACACTGTCCAATGAACAAGGCTGTTGTTAGCCCATGGACGTAAAGCAAGTCCAGTTGAGTACTTAGATGTGTGTCATGTGTGCGAAAAACACATTACATGCTGTGAAAATAATAAGAGAAAAACTGTTTCATTAACTAAGGATAGCAGTTTGCTAGCAATTTGCTTACTACTTCTTGTATTGATAGTTTAAAAAAAACATGAAACATGATTATACTGTCTCTCTTGAAAAGAGTGTCCGCAATATACTATATATTAACGTAAGTTTAATTCATAGTCGTGCTGCCCTTTCCCCTCCTGCCTGATTAGATTAGGCTTGGAACTGAACTCTGTAGAATGGTAGATCTCTATGATTATAGTTAGCAACCCTGCCTTAAGGGTTTTGAGGTTACCTTAGCCAACTATTGCACAGATCACACAGTTTACCTGATCAGAGTGAGGCGGTCCTTCTCGGAGGGGTGATCATCAAGCCACTGAGAGTAACGCGCAATAGACCACTCTACTCTCTAAAAGAGCAATTCAAAAAACATATTAGTATAAAACACTTTTTCTTTAAAAAACAAAAGTGCTAGGCTGCACAAATATGCTAAGTATTGTGCCCAAGTATGTCATTTCATGTGTGAATATGTGTACCTGGTGAGGAGATTTCAGTTCAGCTGGGGCCCGAGTGAAAAGGAAGTGTAGTATGGTGCTGTATGGAATCAGGTCGCCCACTGTCTGACTGCTGGCTATATGCTCACTGGTCTGAAACAGAAGAGGCCTGCAACACATTCATGCACGCACACACACGCGCACACACACACACACACACACACATTACACAGCAATCAGAAATCAGGTATGAAATAAAGATTTGCAGCACACAAATGACCGACAACATATTAGGCAGGTGGTCATAATGTTTTAGCTCACTCATGTATAACTTCAGTGTAATTGAGTGAGGCCGAACTGCTGTAGGCTGAATAGATGTATTTATGTAAATTTGTTTTCATGACTTTACAAAAACACTGAATTCAAAACAGGCTGTTTGTGCATCTAGATTCTATATATAGACTGTATGGACTAAGACGTGAACTGTACATTTTGAAACCTTATCAGTGTTTACATACAATATCAATCTCTTTCACTCAAAAAGTGAGGACAATGTGGTTTTCTATGAAATGGGCCATTTAACTAATCATTTTGCATTTCTACTAAAATACATCTCTCTTGGGGCTCCCAAGTGGCGCAACTGTCTAAGCGTTGGCCCCATCATCAGGAGATTGTGAGGTCCATCCCTGGTGATGCTACAGCCATGGCAGGATGGCCCCCATTCTCCCCAATCACTCAATGCAATGCTAGTCTGCGCAGCCGTCTGTAAGCTGATGTAACAAATCTGGCAGTTGGCGCTTTCCTCCAAGCACGTTCAGCTGTCTAATGATATTGCATCAGCGGTGGTTCGAAAAGATGCGGTGGCTGGCTTCACAGGTCTCAGAGGAAGCCTGTACTAGTCTTCGCCCTCCTAGCGCTGGTAGTCTTGTGTGATTGGAGGAGTCCTAACTAGTGGGTGGAATTGCAGACGATTAAATTAAGGAGAAAAAAAAAAATGACACCCCTCACATTTCTCCTTTCCTATATTCTACTATCTCTAGATAATAAGTTTTAAGGAAGGATGACTCTTTTAATAAAAGAGAAAAGCTGCAGAAGTGAAAGTGAGAGCAGACAAGTATACACAGTCAAGTATAACACAACTGAATCAACCACAGCTGATACATTCCTTATATGTTTAGTTATGTACACATATGCTCACCTAAACGAACGCAGCAAGCGGTACGCTTTTCCCAGGTCTGATACTCGTCTGCAGAGAGGAGCAACAGCCAGCTCCATCTAAAACATATCACAGAAATTCACATGAAGTCTCTACGATAATTGTATACAGTAGAGCAAGTCAAATTCACGCATGCAGAAAAACAAAGCAGCTTTTGAGTTGCTACAGTCATTCCTTCAGTCGTCAATGCTTAAAATCTCTACTGTTTAAGTCTTCTATGCAATGTGCTGGGACTGGCAGAGCACTCTCCTCCTCATACCCCCCAAGTCTTCCTCCTCTCTTAGTGACACAACTGAAAAGGTTCACAAAGTCTTCAGAAAACAGAATATTAAGAAAGATGCATAGAAATCCAGACTATTTTTGAACTTTTCTATGCAACTTCAAATGCTTTTGAGATTGTTCTATTCAGTTTAACTATCATGGCATTTTTCTATCTTCACACAGGGAGTGGTAGAGCATTGCATGCCCCCAACTAATCCTTATCTCATACTGACAAAACTTCAGAAAAGCTTTGTCAATAGGAAGTTCACAAAATATTCACAAAACAGAATATCAGGAATGCAACTAGACTTAGCGTTGCCTCTCCTGACACTTTTATGCCAATATGCGCCTCCAACCTTTCCTAAAACATCTGGACTAACATATATGCCACAATCCTATTCAAGAACTTTTGCTCTGGTTTTAACAGTCATCCCAGGGCTGCTCCACATTCAGACATATCTCTGCAATGCATCTCTAATTTCTACACAAATAGGAGGCAGTATGTGTGGCTATGCCCTGAGCTGTGCTGAACCTCATGTCTGTATCCACAAACGTTACTCAAAGCTGCTTGTTCCTGCTTGTTCTTGGGCCGTTTTGCCATCAGTTTTGCTTCCAGTCTGTGAGATGCATGCTCGATTGGATTAAGTTCACATAACTGACTTGACCATTGCAGAAAATTCTATTTCTTTACATTACAAAATTCTTGGGTTGCTTTCATAGTATGCTGCACTGAGAAATAATGAATGAATCAAAATACCTGAGGATGGAACAGCTGAGCAGTCAACTGTCCCATTAGTTTTAAAAGTAAAATGAATATATATGAAATATATATATGAAAATAGCCTTAATTCCTACACTGTTTCCCTGATTTGGATGTTAATACTCTCAAATTAAAGTTGAAAGTCAACTATGTATTTCTATTTTTTTCTCAAATTGAAGGATGTGTGCTTCTCTTGTCTCTGCAATAGCCTGACATCAGTACCATGAGACTCCTGATTCTAAGTGAGAACAGAGAGAAAAATTAACAGAGATTTCCACTAGTAAGGCATGGTTTGGTTACAGATCACCGTTCAACCGAATTTGTTGGAATTTCCATTGCAAAGTGACCAGTACCACAATCAAGGACCCGTGCTGAACTTGGTTATCCTACTTGCCAAAGTACTAAGTTCACTGACCACTGACATATAGGGGGAGCTAGAAATGGTGAGACCACTGGATTGGTTAAACACTTTCGGTGCAGAATCATCAGATCTCCCGTCATACAGTGGGAAACAGACCCAGTTACGAACAGTTCTGGATTTAGGATTAGTGTCGGCTCCATGTTGCATTGTTATTAAAGTCACTACAATAAATCACCATCCCTATTCACCATCCTCACCTGGGCAAAGTCAGCAGCCAATCTCATCTTTCCACCCTCACCAAGTGGCCGCAGCAGGCAAGCATGGCGAATGAACAGGGTGATGGCACGTTGGGCAATGGCCTCTGTGCTGTCATAAAGGAAGTCCAGGCACTGCAGTGGGCGGAAGTAGTCATTCATAACCCGGGCCACAAATCCCTGCAGCTCTCGCATATACAGAGAGCAAGGCATGTCTGGTTTATCTCCTGCAGGGAGGGGACTGGAGTGCACATACACAGAAACACAATCATTTGATCACAATCATTCTGTGACATAATGAAGAAAAGAAACAAAAGCAAAAAGAGCCAAGCTGTTCGATGGGATAAATAAAGATAAAAGAAAATACAATATATCTTTCAAGATGAAAGGCTGGGCAGAGGTGGTTTTTATAGTGTAGGTGTTTTATTGCAAAGAAAAACTGTAATTTTGTAAACTGTATTTATTTACATTTGATACGAGACTAATTAGGTAATGTTAGCCTGTTTTATATATAATTGTTTACATATTATTTATATGTAACTGCTTTAACAGAATTTGATGGATGATCACTGGTAAGTGTGCTCAATAAATTTTTGTTCAGTGTTTTTAAAGTAGAAGTTAACAGTACCTGTGTAATACATTTGTTGGACTTGGTTAACTTTAGACCACCAACCAAATTTCACAGCTAACTTACTGTAATACTTCTGTAATATATACAAATCTTAGGTGTTGTTTTGAGTGCAAAAGGCTTTATCATGTATTTTGTTGAGAGGCTGTGAAAGTCCTTCGTCATCTTGTCTTTACCGGTTGGAACAAACATGCTAGCTGAGAAAAAACATTGACAGATTTATTCACTGATGACACAGCTAATGTTAACCTTACCAGTGCTGATTAAATGTAAACATATATTAGGGGACCTTATTTATACAGCCTGTTGGGCTATTCACATACTCCAGCAATGATGGGTCAGATAAAACAAAGTATGTGTTCTGTTATACAGTGGCTTGCTTTGTACATGGTTTGTTTTCATGTCTGTGCAGCTGGAGAAATGTCTGGCTGCGTATTTACCCAGAGAAGTCTTCCTGGTGCATAGTAATGAGAATGGCTTCCACGGAGTCTGTGACGGACATCAACAACGGCTGGACTGCACTGCCCATCAGAGCCTGCACTGACTGAAACACGACACACATCATAATACTATATTTGCAGCTTCTAAGCAACACTTTGCAAAAATAAACAAGAAAATAGAGAAAAAATTAGGGTAACAGTACAATACTTTGCAAAAATGTCTGATTAAATTAGACATCAACAAACAGGTCATGTTGGGTTGGTTTTTAGAAAATCAACTTGTTTGGAAATCCAGCTCCTTAACAGGCCTGCAGGTAAGTGAAATATGTTTAAATTCACTGCTTGGTTGCATACTCACGGTCAGTAAAATATCTTTGGCTCATAAATATGAGTGAAAAACAGTTCGGACTTGCTGGCGAATCCTGGCCATTTAAGATGATATGCTGTATTGTTCGATTTCCACAAGAAGATTTTGATGGGTGATGTGGAGTGTTTGTGGACTGAGCACTACACTTGGTTTTGAGAGGAAAAGACCTTTAGACGTTAGAAGACGCCATCCCCACCCCACTTCAAGGGGTCCCTTAAAATTACCCCACAAATAAAATTTACTGTTATTTTCCTCATGAAGACAAAAATTATTCACTAGAATAACTGACTTACTAGCATTAGTGTTACATGCTAACTACAGTAAACATTAGCTAGAATTGGGCTTTGCAGATTAACAGAGTTACACGCACACCTGATCTGTTCTGTCATGACTGTATACATACTACTAGATAAAATTAAATGAATGTTTTTCATAATTTTAGACACCTAATTTCATCTAAAGGGTTATGCTTGAAGTACTGAATGTAACTATGTATGAATTTATTTAGTAATGTAAAAACAGAGAGAGAAAAAAAAAAAAACCTTATAAGCCCACCTAAACCAAAGTAAACTTTTTTCATTTGAATCATTTGATGTTTAGTGAAATATCTTATAATGAAATAAAATTTATAAATGATTTTTTTAAGCATAATTAAGCCACTTTATTAAAAAAATTTGTTTTACTACTTTTACCACTTGCTACAGACCATCCAAAGGGCTTGTTCTAGAAGTTTAATACTGGACAAAATATCAACTTTGACTTAATCCAACTGACACTTAGGACAGAGTTAAAGATTTTCTTAGGGACACAATGGTGTATGCAAAAGGATTGTTTTTAGCCATTCTATGATCATAGGAACTCTCTTTCCGTAGGTAAGTCAGGTGGTGTCTGCTTGCATAGAGTCTACTCTAAAATATGTGCAGAGTCATTTATGCAAGAAAAGCACTTGTTTGCACAGTACTTCTCATTTCTAAGAAAACTGAGCTTGTTCTGCTGCATATCTACTATATATCCCATGCACATGGTGGAACTGCAGAACATTTTTCAACATGCAAAGCCAACTGTGCTTCAGTTTCTGAAGGTTCTCTATGTTAAGGTAGACAACAACAACAGCAGTATTTCATTTGGATCTGTTACATCAGAAAACCTCTTCAGCATTGGGCGCATTCACAAAGATGATGATCAGAAAATGAACTGTACAGTTGGGAGCTGCTGTGGGATAATTTCTGGTTCTCGTCTTGGTGCACCATGTTCTGACTGTTTCTAAATCTGTAGTGAACTGCTTATTCTGATTCTGATTCTTTGGTCATCCTTAAGAGGTCATCAAATCTGTAGCATCTTTTCTATTAGGATGAGAAGTTATATGCGTTTTTAAGGGCTCTGTACACATTAGTGGAATATACTCAGGCCAGTTACCTAGTCAGATGTTTCCAGCAGGACAGTGCTGGTCCACTTTTATTAAACACTTGCAACATTTATTTACTGATATCATGCTACAAGTGGTACTCCCATAATGTCAGTTTCAGCCAACTGTAGTTATATGCATAAGTGTGTGTGCATGTAAGTATGTAGACATTACCTCCAAAGATGCTGTGAGTGCTCGCTCTGCATCCAGAGGAAGCGCAAGTCCAGAAATCACCTGAACACACACATACATAGAAAAGGTCACGTCAGTCTGTTAAGAAGAATATTAAATATAGTTATGCTGCTTTTGACTAGAGCTCATTACTCTGAATTTCTGACCTCCATCTAGGAAAGATTCAAGAAAACACCACCTTAATTTTGAAATTATACACTGCCTGGCCAAAAAAAAAGGTCACCACCTGGATTTAACTAAGCAAATAGGTAAGAGCCTCCCATTGGATAATTACTGCATGGGTGATTATGTTTCAGCTGGCAATAAGTTATTTAACCCTAACTGATGCAGTGAGTAGCTTCTCATTTGTAAAACAACCATGTCGAAAGACACAACCTGTGGTCGTGGAAAAGATGTTCATCTGTTTCAGAAGGGTCAAATTATTGGCATGCATCAAGCAGAGAAAACATCTAAGGAGATTGCTGAAACTACTAAAATCAGGTTAAGAACTGTCCAACGCATTATCAAAAAGTGGAAGGACAGTGGGGAAACATCATCTTCGAGGAAGGAATGTGGTCGGAAAAAAATCTTGAATGATCGTGATCGGCGATCACTTAAACGTTTGGTGAAATCAAATCGTACAAAAACAACAGTAGAACTCAGGGATATGTTTAATAGTGAAAGTAAGAACATTTCCACATGCACAATGCGAAGGGAACTCAAGGGATTGGGACTAAACAGCTGTGTAGCCTTAAGAAAACCACTTATCAGTGAGGCTAACCGGCAAAAACGGCTTCAATTTGCTAGGGAGCATAAAGATTGGACTCTGGAGCAATGGAAGAAGGTGAGTCCAGATGTACCCTGTTCCAGAGTGATGGGCACATCAGGGTAAGAAGAGAGGCAGCTGAAGTGATGCACCCATGATGCCTAGTGCCTACCGTACAAGCCTGTGGGGGCAGTGCTATGATCTGGGGTTGCTTCAGTTGGTCAGGTCTAGGTTCAGCAACGTTACGTGCCCAAAGAATGAGGTCAGCTGACTACCTGAATATACTGAACGACCAGGTTATTACATCAATGGATTTTTTCTTCCCTGATGGCACGGGCATATTCCAAGATGACAATGCCAGGATTCATCGGGCTCAAATTGTGAAAGAGTGGTTCAGGGAGCATGAGACAATTTTCACACATGGATTAGGCACCACAGAGTCCAGACCTGAACCCCATTGAGAATCTTTGGGATGTGCTGTAGAAGACTTTGTGCAGTGGTCCAAATCCCCCATCATCAGTACAAGATCTTGGGGAAAAATTAATGCAACTCTGGACAGAAATAAATGTTGTGACATTGCAGAAGCTTGTGGAAACGATGCCACAGCGAATGCACGCCGTAATCAAAACTAAAGGCGGTCCAACAAAAAGTGTGTGTGACCATTTTTTTGGCCAGGCAGTGTATATTATTTGGAAAGTCAAGATAGTGTTCTCAACTCCAAGTTCAGCATATGATGTCAAATCAGCATGGCTGCTTACACAGTTGACAGTAATAAAGTAATGCTTGTCTCATTTTAATGGGTTTGTTTTAGGTTAATCAACATACAGACATTCTAGTTTGTTACACCTATAACACTGACCACTGGCTAGCTTGTTGCTGACAATATTTGCTTTTTTAACAGCGATGTCCATATTTTTGTCTACCTTGCAACTTGAACATGCAGTGGTTGAAAATGATGTAATTCCAAGCTCTAATTTCTCACTCCCCAGTTAAGTCACATGCAACATTAGGCACAGATGCAGCAGTTACAAAGAGCAAGTTAGGTAGATTGCAAGCTGAAATTTTTAAATTTAAACAATGATTCTTGCCTGCAGCAAACTGCTGATGGTCTGCCAATAATAATTTTAGAAATAACTTAAAGGTGAGAAAAAAGTGAATATCCATGGCACTCTTCATTAAGTTAAAAAGCCTTTATTGTAGCACGGCTATGGACACAAAATCTCAATGTGTTTTGGCATGAGCCTTCATCAACGACAGTAAAATACCCAGCTAACATAGGAGCTACAAATCCACTTGATTAGTCACATCTTTGTTTAAGAAGGGGAAAAAATAACCATAGAGTGCACCAATATTACTAGTCTATAAAAACTGACTTCATGATCACTTTTTTCCTCTTTTCAGTCATGTAACTAATCAAATGTTATTTATAGCACCTGTATTAACTTGTATGGATACACTTCTTGATGAAGGCTCATGCTAAAACATGCTGAGAGACTCTGTGCCTATTGAAAGGCTTTTTAACTTAATAAAGAGTGCCAAGAATGTTCAGACAAGCTTTTGATCCACACTCCATAGAGCAGATTCAATATTTGTATGTTCATTTCTCTAACAGTAGTACTCTCTATGTTTATATCTAACTTAAAGATGAGTCCGGTGAGCCAATGAACGAATATGAATTATTGCTTCTTCTGAATGATGCTTAAGACGTTCTTAGAATATACTAAATGAAAACAAAACAGAGCAAATTCATGATCTTTTACAGAACTCGTTCCCAGATCTCAGATTCTTGTGGCATTCATACCTAAGGAGCGGATGTAATTGAAAGAGTGTCATCCTACAAGTACTTGGGTATTTGGATGGATAATAGGCTCTCTTTTTAGAATGCATATTAAGAACCCAGTGAAGAAGATGAAGGCTAGGCTGGATTTTTATTATCGTAATGGAACCTGCCTGAATTAAGCAGTTCGGAAAACACTTGTACAAGCTACATTTTGATGTGTTTTAGACTACAGGGATATTATTTACATGCATGTTAGAATCTATGCACCACAGTTCTCTACGTTTCATATCCAACTCATTGTCCCGTACACATCACTGTGTGCTTTATGATGTGGTGTCTTGACCTTCATTAAGCTTAAGGACACAGCAGCACTGGCATATCTTTATTTACAAATTCTTGCTGGGTAAACTCCCTTCTTATACATAATTTTCTAGAAGGTTGCTCTACAAGGTATATAAGATTAGTTCAGAACTGGGCTGATATATTCTACCTACAACAATCTAGTAAAATCTCAACTGTTGAAGTGCTGCATAAAGAACTACAAGCACTATGTGAAAGCCTAGAAATCAGCTCAGACTAGTGTCTTTAACCAAAGACAACCAAACACTACAACACTCCATTACAAAACTCTACATTTCCCTATATTCTCTCCTGTCTCTCATACCTCGTCCCACCAAATGTAATCATTGTACTGCAGAGTTGTCTAATGCATGTGGTTAATTGTACTACTATTGTTAATCATAAGCTGCCACAACTCAAAAAAGAGGTGTATTTGAGAAAATATGCACAATAAGGAGAGTGATTTGAGACAATTCAGCAGTTGGAGTTTCTTAACCGTATAATTAGTGTGTGGTACTTACTTTAGATACAGCCTGCTGCAGTTGATACAGTGAATTCACCACTGCTACATTCCTCCTCTGCCCCTCTGTCAAAGGCCCAATCACCTGACTGGCATCACCCTGTGTACAGAGCTGGGAAAGACGTAGACAGACAGAGAGAGAGATGGGGAAAAATAACAAGCTGTTGCTACACTCAAAAGAGGCTCAGAAGTCTGGACACTGGACAAGATAAGGTTGAAGCTTTTGAAGCTGTGTGATGGAGAAAACACAGAGGAGAGACTTATTTCATAAAGTATGTTCAAGTAAGTCAGGGTTCCTGACTAATTTTCAGCATCACAAAACCTAACTAATATGTATAAATTCTACATTACCATTGTTGCTACAATGCAAGACCGAAGAAGCAAACCTCAGACATCAAACAGGTCATAGCTGATCAAATAAAATTGTTTAAAAGGGTATTGAGTCCCCTTATATATGAGTTACATAGAGTATAGAGCTATTCGGATGCGATTCCAAGCCAATTCCATTAAAGTTGGAACAATAGATAAAATGCAAAAACAGAAGGCAGTAATTTATAAATCTACTTTAACCTGTATGTGGACAAAAAACGTACAAAGACAAGATATGTAATATTTTACCTTATCATCTTATCAACGTTCCTTCCGAAATTGATGCCTAGAACACCTTCCAAAAAACCTGGGGAAGGGCCAGTTTAAGAGTAGGAACATTGTGAAATGTTCAAAAAATAGCCTAAACAGGTACTGCAATCAAGCTTTGATATAAAAGGAGCATCCAGGAAAGACCTAGCGCAAGGATGGGTCAAGGCTCACCACTTTCCCAAAAATACCTCAGCAAAAAATCCAACAGTTTAAAAATAAGGGATCAGCCAGGCATTGCAAAGGTTTTGAGTATTTCACCCTCAACAGTGCATAATATCATCAAGGAATCTAGAAGAATCTTCATAGGTAAAGGGCAAGGCCAAAAACCACAAGCAAATGAGTGTCATTTTTAGCCCCTCATAAGGCACTGCACTAAAAACTAGCATGCTTCTGTGATGGATATCACCACAGGTGCTCAAGAATACTTTGAAAACACACTATCAGTAAACAATTGTCATCGCTGCATCCACAAATGCAAGTAAAGACTGTACTATGCGCAGTGGAGGCCATAGGTTAGCAACGTCCAGAAGAGCTGCTGACTTTTCGGGGGTCTAGTTTATCTGAAACGGACTGATACACAGTGTAAATGTGTCAACCTTTCAGATTATTTATAAGAGAGGACATTGTGTACTCTGGGCCAAACAAGAAAAGGACCATCCAGATTGTTACCAGTATGAAATTCAAAAGCTAGAGTCTCTCTGTGGAGCTTGCACATCTGTGAAAGCACCACTAATGTTGCATTTTGTAGCAACATATACTACCCCTTGAGATGCAGTTTTTCGTTTTTTTTTCAGGAATGTGCATGCTTACTTCAACATGACATCACCAAGAAATACTGTGTATGCGTTACAACAGCATGGCTGCATAATCAGAGAGTGTCGGTGCTAGACTGATTTGCCGGCAGTCTAGAACCTCCCACTGAAAATGTGTGCCTTATTAAGCTCAATATATGACAGCGAAGGCCTTGTATGGTTGAAACAGCTGAAGACTTGCATAACAGAGGAATGGCAAAAAAAAATCCAGTTTGTGTCATCAAACTGCAGGCATCAAATTTATTTACAAAAACAATGAAATTCGTAAGCTAAAACATGAAATATTGTGTTTTTGCATCAGTTTCAATTTAATACAGGTAAAACAGAATTTACTAATGACTGCTTTCTGTTTTTATTAGCATTTCACATACTGTCCCAACTTTTCAGAAATTGGGTTTGGTTTATTTTTGCCGCTGTTTCTCATTGACTGCGTGATCCTGCGTCACTACAGATTTTACCTTCTATAAAACAAGCAGTAGAAATAATACCAGGTTATGTTAATCCTGGGCAAATCATTTTCCATGTACAAAAAGAGTTTTTTTAAATGTGGAAGCACTCGACAAAGCATTTACTTGTTCTCTGTGGCTAAAATTAAGCTATGTTCTGTCCTACCTCACACCTACACCTCAGAACATTTAATCATTAAAAATTTACAGAAAAAACAGCTTGATTTTATGTGGTGATGTTGACTGTTCACTGTGAATTTCCAAGCTAAAGACAGTGTCCTCACCTAAGACAGCGAGACATATTGTTAGGTAAATTAAATCACAGCTAAAATAAATTATTTGAAATGTTTTCTACTCTTTTCTAGAGTGAAGGCAGTGTGTAAATTCAGTAGCAACTACCATCTCTGTCATTTATACTGAGATGTCTTATTGGTTTTAAACATTTCAGACATCCTGTAAGAAACTAGCATTACCTCACCTCTACATGAAAACTAATCCTGCCCCAATAGCGCTTGAGACCATTCTGTCTCATTACATAACTCTCAGTTCATAGATTTCTGCTGCCTATATGCTGCTATGAAGCTTGTGGTGAAGCATGAAGCAGAGAGTCTCACATTTCACATACAAGAGGTCATGATTATGTTCTTACCAGCTGCTCAGACTTCACACAGAAGAGCTGCACTGTCTTGGCGACGTTCTTGGCCACAGCAACAGTCAATCCAGGGTCTACTAATGCTACATTCAGCTCACTGCAAGACCACAGAAACATCTGGGTGTGGCTAACAACTGAGCATCACAGCTAGTGATCACAATCTATATAGTTTAGGAATAGCTTTTACAGTATGTAACTGAACCAGACTAACTTTACTAGACACAGCCTATCACTGTAAAAAGAAAGGAGCTGAGAATCATTTAGTAACAGAAGAATGACCTTTCTAAATCTGTTCTGTCAATCAACAGATTTATAGCTAAAATATTACAAAAGAAAAAACATCTAATGAAATAAACTACTTGTAACTTGTATTACACTAATCTGCACAGTTCAATTATACAAAACAATATAATCTATAAATGTTACACAGTATGTAAATTAGCAAAATCCATATTTAGTTATGTTTTTTTTTTACCTGATTTTCTCCCCAATTTAGTCGTCTCCAATTCCACCCGCTAGTTAGGACTCCCCCAATCACACGATACCATCAACGCTAGGAGGGTGAAGGCTAACACAGGCTTCCTCCGAGACCTGTGAAGCGCCACCGCTTCTTTTCGAGCTGCCGCTCACGCAACGTCATTGGACAGCCGAACGCGCTCGGAGGAAAGCGCCAACCGCCAGATCTGTTACGTCAGCTAACAGACGCCTGCGCTGACTAGCATCGCGCTGAGTGATGGGGGGAGAAGGAGGAGGCCATCCTACCCACCCAGAGAGAGGCCAATTGTGCTCTCTCGGACTCCCGGCTACGGATGACTGTTGCATCACCAGGGATCGAGCTCGCGATCTCCTGATGACAGGGCCAACGCTTAGACGGTTGCGCCATATTTATGTATTTTAATGATTTAATGATTTCCTTTTCTCAAGCACCTCATATAAGAATTAATTCCAGGCTCATCATAGACAAAAGATTATACCATTTGGCATACAGTCACATGTAAAAGTTTGTGTGTTCTGGTCAAATGACGTATTGCTGATTTTATTCTGCACATTTTAATGCACATTCGCCGTTTATTTGCTGAATTTAACATACTGGTAAAAAAAAATACAAGATGTGGCCTGTGCAAAAGTATGGCACATTATTTTAATATTATTAATTTTAGGAATTAATTCTAATAATAATGATATCATTTTTTCCCCTTCCAATACTGATCACCTGATCCATAAATATATGCCGATACCAAGTATCCAACCTAACTGACCTAAAAATCCTTTTATTCAATTACATTTTAAAAAATATTTATTTACATAAAATCTATGTTCGGTGTCATAAATAAAACATGGTAGATAAAAATAAAAAATTGCATTTACTTGTAGGATTATATATATTAGATGCAGAAGAAAATCTATTTTTGTTCATTTACTACACCTATTTTTATTATTTACTATTTTTATATATATACACACATGCCAGACACTTCCTCATCGCTCCGACGCAGGGGCATGTTCGAAGCTCCATGTACTGAGGAGGACATTGCATGTTTTGCATATACATATATATATATATATATATATCATATATATATCTATATATATATATATATATATATATATATATATATATACACACACACACACACACACACACACATACATATACATATATATATACACACACACACACATCTGCACACAGCAGATTCTCTCGCTCAGTAGAACCGGGACTCAATGTAATTTCACATCCGAATTTCGCAAGCCATTTGTCTGATACATGTGCTTCCCTGCTGCTAGTGGACACACAGGCTCGGCTAGCAGGCTGCTATGATAAAGGGTAGATCAAGCTAAATGCTGTAATTACACCCAGAGTCCAGCAGTTCCTTCTGCTCTCTAAATAACAATCTGGACTAACACTAACTTTAACTCAGACTGTAAGTGACCACACAGCAGCAGATGAGTAATTACTGAAAGAAGCCAGGCTCAGCGATTAAGGTAAAGGGCTCCCGTTAGGGTGTTTTTCCCACAAACTACTGCCATTACAGATTTTGTAAGTATTTTTACTGCTGCTTGTCATTTCACACTGCTGTTGTGTTGTTAAGTTCTGTCTACTAGAGTGCATGCATGCATCAGATATTTCTTTGTGGTGTCAGTCATAGGTATCGTTATTCCCATCGCTGATACCGATACTGCGTTTAAGTGCCAGTATCAACACGATACTGATACAGTATCAATGCAACACTAATTTCAAATGCAGCGCAAAGTGCTTTACAGCAAAAAGAACCAACAGAGAAAGAAAAGAACCAAGAGGTTGTCATATAAAATCAGTAAACAAGAAGATAAAATAAGATAAAAAAGAAAATGACAAAATATTGAAAACTGAATAAAATTACAATAATTAAAGTAAAAAAAAAAAAAAGTTTTTAAGTGTGTTTTTTGTTAAAACAACGACAGAAGGAGCCTGATAAATATTTATTAGTAATGTGTTCCACATATTTGGTGCATAAAAATAAAATGCTACTTCTCTTTTTAAGTTTCTTAAGTGGAGTGTGGAGAAGCCCAGCACTAGATGAGCTTAAGGTACGGTATGGAACATAGTCTTGAAGGTGCTATAACATTCAGAGATTTAAAACTACTAGTTAAATCTTAGTGTAAATTCTGAAGGAAACATGCAGCCAGTGGGGTTAGGTTAAAACTGCTCTTATGTGATGTCGTATTCCTAGTACACTTTTAATATTCTGCTGAATTTCAAACAAGTTGTAGTTTTTTTGTAGTGGCTTTAAGTTTTTGCTTTTTTAATGTGTTAAAATTTTTCAATGTGTTACCTTATTTTTACTTAGAAAATCTGACCAGGGTGCTTAAACTTTTGCAAATGACGGTATACACACCAGTCAAAATACATAGGCAGCTCTAGCTCCATTTCATATCAATAAACATCTCATAATATCTGTAACCCTTAAAAAGTATAATGGAGGCACAAACCTGGCAATAGTTTTGATGATACTGTCCATCTCATCACTGGAAGGGGGACTGTACCCCCCTTGAGGGAAGACCAGGTTGATTGGATCAAACAGACGTGAGAGTGACTTGGAGAGGTAGGCTGCTTCATACGGCTGCAGGGAGCTCTTTAGGGCTTTCTCTGGACTAGAGAAAAAAAAACAAGAAAAAGGCTGAGATCAGCACCGGACTAACTCGGTGATGGAAGTGTACAAGGAAGCATACATGGTCATATCATATCATATCATAACATACTTAATACATAAATTAAAAGAAATAAAAAAAAAACAAACAGATGAGCTACTGTCAGTAATTGTACATCAAAGTGCACATATGTAGCACAAGCAATAAGTACAAGGACAGGTACATCTCTTTTCTCTTAAAAAAGTACAAATATTATTCTTACATCACTCTGTGTACCAAACTCAGTACAAATAGCTCTTAGGTTGTCACTGTAGAATAGAAATATCCAGATGACGGATTTAAAAAAAAACAAAAAAAAAGCATTTTAAGACACAATTGTGACTGTAAATAGCTTAACAGTGCTGTGTTCACGGTATGTTCTGTAAAACTCTTGGGTACAAACATAATTTTAGAAAACAACCATGTAAGACTTCACAAAAGTCTTCTTGATCTGTTATCCTGAGGTATAATGGTCTGGGGACTTTTTTCAGGTTTAGTTTCAATGAGGGGTGATTGTGACTGTGCCCCTGTGCGCAAAGTGAGCTCCATAAAAACATGGTTTGCTGAGTTTGGTGTGGAAGAACTCCAGTGGCCTGCAGAGTGCCCTGATCTCAGCCTCACTCAGCACCTTTGGGGTGAACCGGAACATTAATTAAGAGCCAGGCCTTCTTGTCTTTGCGAGGTGTCTGACCTCACAAATGCTCTTTTGACTGAATGGGCACAAATTCCCACACTCCGAATTCGTGTGGAAAGCCTTCCCAGAAGAGTGGAGACTGTAAGGGCCACGGGGGGGGGGGTAACTCCATATTAATGCCCCTGGTTTTAGAATTGGATGTCTCAAGCTCATATAGGTCTGATGGTCTACAGTTTCTACATACTTTTGGCTGTGTATATTCAGTGTTTCTTTTTTATCTCACTTTTTAAAAAAACCTTCCTTACTTATGCCATTAACTGCAGTCTCACCTGCTCCAGTAATTTTATCACATAATCAGTCATGTTTCTCGTAAGCGTGTGTATGCAACAGCAGACTCACTCATAATCCTGTTTTGTACTTGTGAAGAGATCCTGAATGTCATTCTCAGGTGTCGTCAAATCTAATTCCAGCCCTGAGCCACTGCCCACTGGCGCCACCTGTATGTTGGCACTGTACTGCTGCAGCCGTTTCCACAATTCATTATACAGTCTCAGAAGCTTTGGGAATTCTCCCTCCAGAGCCTGTTTCAGGAATGTGGAGGCTACAGAAAAAGAAAATGAAAGGACAATCGGGGGGTCAGCACACAAGAGCAGGTTTCATTTTTCTCTCATCTTTCTTTCATCAGTAGATGAAACAACATGATTCCATTTTCGACCCCTCTGAAGTAGCAGTATGGAGATAGAATGGAAGAGACACATTCTTTATCAACACACCTGAGAGAAGGTGAAAAGAAAATAAGTGAATTAATTGAAAATGGAGCTTCATTAATATAACATTAACAAAAGTTCAGACATGACTGATTTCTCACTAGAGACAGATTCCTTGTATAGATTAATTACTGTTAGAGCTTGAAATATTTGTCCAAAGCGGAAGGACCCGACTGCTTATATTGAGTTCAGACGTCATTTCCTAAACCTGTGCTTGGGTCGAGTTCAACTTTCACGTTCAGGTTCTCACAGCCCGCCTCTCACTTTTAACAGATTTTACCCTGCATTTCTCCCTTAGTTTTACTCCTTGCATTGTTTTTCCTCTCTGCTGGAGTCACCCACTTTTGTTGACAGAATTTTGCACCGAGGTCCACAAGGCCCAAGCTTGAGAGAAAATGGAAGCCTGGGACATAAAACATTGAATCGATTCAGGAGAGAGCAGTACAGTGCAGCCAAAAGGACACCGGTCCTTTTTCATTACTATGATGTATCTATATGATCAAAGTCAAAAAAACACTTGACTTGCAGTTAACAAACCCATATATTTTCAATATCACCTTTAATAACAATAACAATACAAATATAACAAATGTGCATAATGTACACAAATATATTACTAGTAATTTGTGCATATGGCAGTCCAGTTCAAAAGTTGATGCATCTATTTTATACGCACATCGGTATAAATAAATGTTACAACTATTCCATGTTCCACATAAAGACAGCTTACATTGTGTTTTTGTTTTATACTACTGTCACTGGCCCAAAAAAAAAAACACAAAACAATTGTGCAAAGCATCTCATACACCGCAATTATATAGCGTTTAAATATGTTACTTTAAGAAAATTATCACATTATATAATCCCATCATTCTGTTTTGTTTATTTCACATTTTATTCTCACAGCCACAGTAATTTTAACACCACAAAGTTTGGTCAGTAGGGAAAGCAGTGCACTCACTGCTTGACCTCAAACACTGCCTCCGAGCACAGCCACTGGCTCACGAGCCACTGAATGCTGTCGTTTTATTGGCTTTCAGGCAAAACATTTGCATGAATTTGGCCATTCTTGATGTAAATGACATGCATGTGATATGAGGTGCTGGTAGACTGGTGCTCGATTTCATGCACTGAAGACTCATCACTGGCACTCCTTGTTTCTTGTTAGATCTCCTTGTTTCCACATCATACAAAAGTTTTGTGAATCAGACAGCGTAGTTTGTACATCATTATAGGCTATGCCCTTTTTTCACACAAATTTGATGAATATAGGCCATTATGTTTATTTGTTTGGCCAAAAATATGTTTTATGTTACATGCAACATGCTAGATCAACACAACACAACATGAGAACAGAGCATTAAGGAATGTTATCCAGACTGAAAATGTTTGGAAAGCATTTGGGAATGTTTGGGAGGCAGTGGAATGTCAACAATTCTGGACAGTAGATTATTTTTCATATTATTTTATAATGTTTTTTCTATCATGATCTAATGATGGCTATTATTGTTGCAACATGGTAATTTAACCACCGATATAATAAGACGGGTTCAGATCAGTTTCTAATTACTGCAATTACTCAAGATTTTGTTTCATAATGGTTACCTCATATGAAAAAGTACACCACTGAAACACACTACACCAACCAATCAACCATCTATACCAACCTACAAAGTCACAAAGCTCAAAGTACAGGCTGGAGTTAGCAACTCTCTCCCATAGAAGCAACCTTTCCCAGCTGCCTGAAAAGCCTCTTGGAATTCCAGCCCTTTTCCTTTGTCACAGGATGATGCAATCTCATACTAAAATCCTATTTAGCCACCTTTATGGGCAGAACTGGCACTCGACTAATCAAAACAGAGAGCTCGAGCAAACCAATCACAGTACACTGGGCTCATGGGGAGTCGGGGCTTAAAGATACAGACACTCTTTAGAGTGTTTCAGACACAGGGTGAATAGAGACGTACAAGAAGAAAAATAATGTGTTTCTGGAACACTGAAGCATGTAAATCTATTCTACTACACCCAAAAAATAAAATTATGAACAGTGAAAATGAGCATAATAGATTCCCTTTAATTTTACCCATGCTTGTGTGATATTTTGACAAGGTTTTCATAGAGTAAAAAAGTCAAACTCTCACCTCCCTTCAATTACAAAATAAGCTTTTTTCCAGCATGGAAGAACAGGGTACACTCAAACAAACACTCAAACTGTCACTTACCTTCTGTGGTTTTTTGGAGTTCCACAGAAAGCATTTGAGTGATGGAGTTCCAGAAAATGTACAAGATGTCTGGATGACCATCCTGCAGAGAGAGAAAAAGAGAAGTGTTATGATCACAAAGGTTTAAAAAACAAAAAATAATACCACTACCGTAGTATAGTACTATATATACTACATAGAATCTCCATACTACTACCAGACTTGCCGATTTTGCCATATCATCAAGACCATGCACAAATATGTAAACACACACATAGGTTACATCCCATCAATCTTATATTTCCAAGAAGAAAGACATGCCAGAGAAATTATGCTGACTGTGTTAAGATAGTTAACGCCTAAACCTTCAAGTGTAAGATGACACTTGGCTTTTTATGTATTTTAATCTCACAGGCAGACTGTGCCCACCTCACAACCAAGGGCATCATGGTAAAAAAAAAACTGCTCTGCAAGCATATCTGCGTTAGCTATCTAGTTAGCATTAGCTATCTAGCGAACAAGCAAAAAAGCATGTTGTGAGCATGTGTTATAGCACCCAGTTAAGACCATGTATTGTTTGTCTAAGACAAACTAAGTGAACGTGTTTCTTGCTTTCTTTTATTTCATCACAGTCGCACTGATCAAAAAACATCTACTTCATAGTCTACGTGTGATACGATACGGAAAATAACTGCAGTCAGTTTAAATAATTACGATTATCTCATCACTGCAATCACACGATTATGTAAAACTTGTGACATGTCTATATATACACACAGTATCACTTCTCCTACGAGAATCTTCTTACATCAAGTACAAAATTCACCTTTAAAAATTTAAAGCTATTTCATCCCTACAGTCCCTACAGTAGAGATCCTCTGGCACTGGACTTCAGTTAGATTTTGACACTTCGGAGTAAGTCCTATTTAGTCCTTTTTTTCGCAAGCAAAATATTCCACCACAGAACAAAAGTGCCACTTTTGACCATTTTCATATTTTCAAAATGTTTCGGTGGCCGAATTTTAAGCATATCTACCAGTTGCTTACTGCGGTATAAGTGCAGGTATATCGAGGGGTTATCAAACACTCAGTCTGACAAATTTTTCTCTGTCTTATTATGGATGTCGTACTACTTAATCAGGGAAAAAAACAGAACAGTAGGGAGAGCAAGGATATTTTATAGAATAGTTTTTCTTCACCTTGACAATCTCATCAATGAAACACACGTGTGTGACAGGGTCTCTCTTTTTGGTCAGGACCTTCTGAAGGTGCTGCACCTATAAATTGAGACATAGCATGAAAATCTAGGACATACTGCATACTAGAAAATTGTACATTACTAAGAAAGGACAAATGTATACACTGAAACTACACATGTTGGCCTATCATTTCTAGTTAATATTAAAAGACACTGAGAATGATACAGTATTTCTCCATACCTGACTACAAGCAGCACAAATATGGTCCATCAGCTTCTCCAGGTTGGTCCAAAGAGCAGCACGAAAGGTAGCTGTGTTTCCTGGAACAGGTATTACAGCCCTACCTGGAGCACCTAAATGGAAGACAAGTATATGTAAGAATTAGAGCTGTCAGAATCTGTTATACAGATTTTTTTACAGTTCATTGGTTCATCCATTTTTCAAAGTCCAAACAATAAAAACAAACTTATCAAAAGTATGTCTTGCATTAGCATTATGGACATTGTTGACTAATCACTGCTGATTCATCAAGAAGGCACAATTTATTAACAGATTTTTATAAACTGAGTAATTGAATTTGATCAAGAAATCTCAATTTTTATGCTGAATCATACAGGAATACAAAACAAACAGCTCTGATGGACACATATGAACTAACACAAACAGACACAAAAAAAACAAAAAAACTATGTAACCTCTAGTGTTAGCAGGCTGAGTGAGGACTTTAATGTCAAGGGCACTGGTTATGCTCTCCTGGACAGATGACTTGTAGCCTTCCACCACGCTGATGATAGTCTCTCTCAGACTGCCCAAATTATAGAAGACCTGCAGCGCAGTGCCCACCTGAGATGGGTTCTGGAGTCAGAACAGACAAGAGGACAATGAGAACAGCCATATATCCACTTGGGGTCTACTCACATAATGGACCTCATTCACCAATTTCTTCTTAAGTTTTTACTTAAATTTGTTGAGGTAGGTCCTAAGAAAAAGTCTACATCAGATTCATGATGTGTTTTTAAACCGCAGAATTGTTTACACCTTTGTGCTTTTGAGTGTGTGTAGATTCTGTTCTTACCTAAGAACAAATAAGATAATAAATCCCAAATAAGAAAACATTGGTGAACGTCACAATCTTCATGAAAAATGCATAAGTGGATTTTAAGAAGAACTTTAGACACTGCAAATTAATAACATTAGTATTTTCCTGTAAAAACATTATTGGCAAATACAGCTTTGAGGCATCTACCGCAAAAAAGCTAAGAAATTACTAGCTTTTTCCAGCATTGTGGTTCAGTTTTGGTCAATTCACCAAGCTTATGATGAGGGTCCCTCAAATGTCCCACATATTTATGTGTGTGTGTGTGTGTGTGTGTGTGTGTGTGTGTGTGTGTGTATATATATGTGTGTATGTGTATATATATATATATATATACACACACACACACACACACACAGTGTCTCTCTCTCTAGCACAAGAGAAACTCAAGCCATATATAACTAACAGCTGAACAAAAAGAACCATTATTATTATTATTGTTATTATTATTATTACTATTGTAATAACTCCCATTATTAATATTATTACAAATATTGTATTTACTTTATTTTTTATATTTATTTCTTATTACTGCTTTTTTGCACCAATGCATAAATTCTATTTATTTTGCTTTTTAATAAACCTGAGCTGACATCCCCAAACTGGCAGCCCTGAACAGGTCACTGACCCCCTGAACAGCAGTGAACTGTGCAGCAAAGCATAGAAAACAGTGTCATCGCCCACTTTTTGGACAGCTCTTGGCAGTGAACAGGGGTGTAATCAAGTCTTTTAAGACGCCTAGAATTATATATACCAGAGTATACACTACACACAGCCATGCCGGCTTTATCGCTCAGTGTAGTCGGAATAATTTCCCTACAGCTCTGGAAGCCTGGCCTACACGCACTAATTCAGCTTATAATATGCTAGCTAGCTAGCTAGCAATTCAGAGCAGTACGAAGCTTACTGGGATTACACCTGGAGTGATGCTGATGTTATAAATTGCAAGAGTCCCAGAAGTTGTGCCAAATCACCATCTCCAAAGAATCCGGTGTGCACAGCTAGAAACAACATGCTTTTAGTGACAAACTAGTACACACTGCTTAATAAACACATATTTGTTCCCCTATGTTTTAAAAATGGTTAACATGTGGGTTATTTGAATGGCTTTTCCATTTTCAAATATTTTAAAGAGCAACTCTACTGAATATTATCGAATTCACGGAACTGATTTGCTGCATTATGAATGTCCACACAAGTTTAGAGGCATCTGCTTGTACCTGAGAAGACAAGGTACTTCAGTATGCTTCAGAAGATTGATCTTTATATAATACACTATATTTCCAAAAGTATTCACACACATATGAACTTGAGTGACATCCCATTCTTATTCCATAGGGTTTAATATGATGTCGGCCCACCCTTTGCAGCTATAACAGCTTCAACTCTTCTGGGAAGGCTTTCCACAAGGTTTAGGAGTGTTTATGGGAATTTTTGACCATTCTTCCAGAAGCGCATTTGTGAGATCAGACACTGATGTTGGATGAGAAGGCCTGGCTTGTAGTCTCCGCTCTTCATCCCAAAGGTGTTCTATCGGGTTGAGGTCAGTCAAGTTTTTCCACACCATGTCTTTATGGACCTTGCTTTGTGCACTGGTGCGCAGTCATGTTGGAACAGGAAGGGTCCGTCCCCAAACTGTTCCCACAAAGTTGGGAGCACGAAATTGTCCAAAATCTCTTGGTGCTGGAGCATTAAGAGCTCCTTTCACTAGAACTAAGGGTCCAAGCCCAACTCCTAAAAAACAACCCCACACCATAATCCCCCTCCACCAAACTTTACACTTGGCACAATGCAGTCAGACAAGTTCCGTTCTCCTAGCAACCGCCAAACCCAGACTCGTGCATCGGATTGCCAGACGGAGAAGCGTGATTTGTCACTCCAGAGAACGTCTCCACTGCTCTAGAGTCCAGTGGCGGCGCTTTACACCACTGCATTCGACGCTTTGCATTTCGCTTGGTGATGTAAGGCTTGGATGCAGCTGCTCGGCCATGGAAACCCATTCCTTGAAGCTCTCTACGCTGTTCTTGAGCTAATCTGAAGGCCACATGAAGTTTGGAGATCTGTAGCGATTGACTCTGCAGAAAGTTGGCGACCTCTGCGCACTATGCGCCTCAGCATCCTCTGACCCCGCTCTGTCATTTTACGTGGCCTAGCGTTCCCAATCGCTTCCACTTTGTTATAATACCACTGACAGTTGACTGTGGAATATTTAGTAGCGAGGAAATTTCATGACTGGACTTGTTGCACAGGTGGCATCCTATCACGGTACCATGCTGGAATTCACTGAGCTCCTGACAGCGACCCATTCTTTCACAAATGTCTGTAGAAGCAGTCTGCAGGCCTAGGTGCTTGGGTTTATACACCTGTGGCCATGGAAGTGATTAGAATACCTGAATTCAATGATTTGGATGGGTGAGTGAATACTTTTGGCAATACGGTGTATGTCTATATCATGGCTCTGCTGTTCTGACGAGAGGTATGCATCTTGTAGTGTAGCCTCTGCATCTATTCTCGTCTTCTCTGAAGGGTGAATACTGGCATTTTCACACCCGCACACGATTTTTATTTCCTTTATTTCTAGATGGTCTATCATTTCTCTGGGTGTTATTTTGAGTTGTATGCACAGCTCTAACAATGTTCCTGTCATCAGTTGCTGTGGTCTTTTATAATTAACAAAAAATTCTATGAAGATAAAACAGTACTGAGTGTGTTCCTACCTGAATCTCCATGCCCTGCTCCAGTATTCTTTTAGCCTGGTTCTCCACCTCCAGACGCACTCGACTGATAAACAGCAGGTCATTCTCAATGACATCAATCCCAGACAGATCCACTCCCTGAGACAAGTAGTCTAAAAGATACAAATACAATGATTTGCACACTTCTTAGAATGTTTCGCATTCAGTTTCAGCATAGAATTACTTAACTTATATACAAAAGCAAAAGAAATGCTGTTAAAAAAAAAAAAAGTTCAGTGTAGGTCCATGTATCTTTCATTCATTCTACTTTCATTTCAGAAATGAGAAACAAATGGTTATTTGAAAAATAGCAGCTGCAGATTCAAAAAGTGACATATCACATTTTCTTCTTTGTAAAACAGAAAATAAAATCAGAAAAACAGAAAGAGCATACTTTTTTTCCACTCTTTCAAGCAGATTTGCACTTTTATTTTCATAGCTTCCCTACCAGTAAGTCAGCCTATCAGTACCGGGCTAAACGAAAAAAGGGAGAAGGCTCTGTCTGCAGCCTGGTGTGTTGCTGTTTACATAAGAAAGCCTTAAAAGGCAGAAAGCAGGTTGGCTCTGAAGCATATCTCTGAGTTTAACTGTTAGCCTTACATTACATTACTGAACTGGAAAAACAAAACAACTGCATGGTAATATGGATTTCAGCTGAAATGAATGTAAAGCTGTGGTTTAATTTTTTAGGTGACAGCACTGGTGTTGCACAACAATGTAACATCAGCATTTCAAAACATGTTTTATTATTCAAAAATAGTTGAGGAAAATTGACAGGTTTTTGTATCAGATGAGCAACATAACAGTGACTGCCTCAGCTAAACTAATCTAAAAGCTAAACTGCTGCAACACTGGATTCTGATGGAGACTTATCTTCTGTAAGTGTTTCTCCTTTTCAGTGGACGATGTGACAAGTTAGCTTGTCAGAGAAATACATTATAACTGTTTCTAGAGCGAATATCAGCCTAGCCTATTTAGTTATAAAAGCTGTGCTCTCAACATTCTCAGTAATGTCCTTAACAACTCGTCTTTGGCAACATGCCCGCATCTAAGCTCTCGCACTTGATAAAAGCAAGGTACAACATAACAAACTTACTCACAAACGCAAACAAAACTTTCCTGTTTTATATCTTTGTTAAACAATAAAATTGTCATTTAACTGAATTGTTAATCTATATATTTTTTCCCATCTTCCTGTGATGAAACATCCGAAAAATAATTTCAGCATTCAAATACTAGCGTGGAACAGTTAACCAAGAACTTGAGTACTTGTGCACATCCATAGGTTTGATGATGTGCTCTTTTCACACAGTTGTGATGGTTTACGCAATTGAAATCTTCACATCAAGCCTAATGTTTTTTTTTTGTAATTTTATAATGAGAATGTGGGCAGAAGACGCAAAAGAAAATAAAATGGATTTACCAAACAGAGACAGTGACAAAGTTAGCATCTTTCTTTTTTGGCCAGTGTGACTCAGACAATGGCTTACAGCTCATTCTGCAAAAGACTGGGGGGGCTGATTAACGAGAGGAGTAGGCAGGGCTAATACAGCGCTAAATGGAGGGATGGTTTGCATGTGAGAAACCAAAAACAGTGGGGAGAAGAGCAGGATTGTCTGTTTGACATAAGACTCCAACTACACCACACCAAATGCCAGAGCACAAAGAAGATACTCAAATCAACATACAATATGCTCTTCCTCATGCTTCTCAAGAAGTCTTCTGCACATTAGCACAGGTACAGAAACAAACTTTGTTTTTACTGACTGGTAGTAGTACTAACCCTTTGTCATAACTTTAAAACACTCAAAATCATGGATTTTGTCAGAAGTCAGAATAGAATGTGAAATTAATGTCCTTCATGAAGGAAAAACTGTAGGCTGTTCTGCTTTCATAAGTGCAATGTTAAAAGGAAAAAGCGATCCTGTATGTATGCTGCACACCATGCTGTGGTGGTTTAGCAGTATAATGCAAATTGCTAGATAAGTATGCTTGCAAAACAGAGTTAGTGTAACAAAACTTATTCAAAGAATTCTCTTCAACGTGAGGAAATGGGAATCATCAAGTAAAGGCTTATATTGGTTCATTGTTAAAAAGCTTTGTCCCAGTGTAGAAAAAGTAAGGAAAGATATCTGATATACAAGCATTCATGCTACATTATATAGTCAGATATGAACAGCTCAAGACTAGTATAAATTCTGCAAGCAAATGTTTTTTCCAGGTTTATTCAGCAGGAATAATTTCCATTAGAGAACAGCTTAATCAGGGGGGGGGAGGTCAGAGACTTTAAAAAGTCACACGTGTACACTGTCTTTGTTTTGCACATCTATTACTTCCACTACATCCTAGATGCAAACTAGATGCAGGTAACAAGAGGTGGAGCGTGACGCGACCCAGGAATAACAAAGGTCACAGTCATAGGCAAAGGTTTGAACACCCCCGTTCAAATTACATGTTTTCTTTATTTATTTCCTCTACAGGGAACGTAAATCTGGCATTGACATATTGGGGAAAACAAAATCAAACAAGCAATATTTACCTCCAATATGTTAATCAGCAAATAAGCATATAAACATTCATCATGCATTGAAGAAAATGCGTTCTCTGTAGAGAATGTGTACTCATTTCGCTTCCACAAAACATGCAATTTGACTGGGCTCCCAAACTTTTGCATACAACTGTAATAATGCAAAGCAATCTTGTGCTCTGAAACAAGAACAATATGAGTCTGAAGTACACTGAATGGACACTCATTCTGATCCCTTAACCTGAGGCAAGATTAATTTTTGTTTCAGTTCATGAGTCTCATTGCTGGAAATTCACTATGAACTTCTTATGATGGTACGCGCTGCCATCTCCGATTGATTGTGTAAGAGTCATTTAGGCAACACAAAGGACAAAAGGCTAAAGAAAAGGCTACAAACAAGCCAGCTTTCATGTCAAGACAAAGTGGATATTCTAATGCACAAACCCATCCAACTATGGCTGGGCAGTATCCACTGTTTTCCTACTATCAAGCTGTTCCCAAATATTACAAAGTTGAAAACAAACAAAAAACCAGACTTGCAAAGCCAGTAAAAGGTACTTTTTATATTTACTGAGCTGAATGCACTTTCAGGTGTTGGAGCTGTCCACCTCTCAGTCAGGCCACTGAGGGGCATACTGCATGCTTAGCCAAAAAGGGCTTAACAGTGCTGCATTCCACCTTCATCTAAATACATAATATGAATGCTGAGATGTAAATAAAGTAATTTGGAGTGGTTTGGTGTGAAATGGCTCATTCAAAGAGAAACTTACTCACTCTGATTTCTTTACAGTGGTGGTGATGGAAACCAGGATTGTGATGTCTACAAAAATATAGCCACTTTATTTACTATCCAAAACCACCAGTGAACCTGCATGTTTTTATACATATTATACATATTTATATGTATGTAATGTTGATGATGGTTAAATGGGGTAAATGCAAAAAAAAAAAAAGTGTTTTAGGCCAAAACCTCTCAAAACTGTCACAAAGCATTAGCATTAGTAATCACATTTGCATCACTTAATAAATGCTGAATCTAACAGTGATTGTTAATTGTTGAACCATAGTAACAGAGACAGCAGACCGAAGTTGATTGTAACTTAGCTAGCAGCCAGCTAAACACACCAGCTAACAGTCACTCCAACCAGCCAGATGAGTTTGCTTCCTCGGATTTGCGTAATTATCCTCTGAACCTGTGTCAGTGGAGCATCAGTTATCTGGAATCAAACCTGTTTTGTGGTGTGTGATAAACTAGAGGAAGCAGCACAAACAGAACCATTGTTTTATATTTTGATTGTTTACACTACTCTTCTACACAGGCATTGTTTGTTCACAAATGTAAAGCGTTGTTGGACTTGTAAACACAGTATGTTTATTTTTAGATAAACATAGGGAGGACTTGTGGCTTGGTCAGTTTTAAAGCTGAGGTATTCAAGTGTTCCTTTTTCTTCAAGAGTTCTGCACAGGCTTGATTATCAATGCCTGCATATACCCCCTTAAACCACATGTCCACTTGTGCTTACAAAACCTAGTGCCATTTTTGCCTTTACCCACACGCTTTAACCATTCATCATGCCATACATTGTCTGCACCCACCCGTCTTTAAGCCTTTGCAATCCACTGGGATAGAGCTTGCAAGCAACCGCCATGTGAATTGATAAAATATTAGTTGGATTGACCCCATCGACATTCCTGTTACCAAGACAGCCTCCCTAACAATAGAGTCTAAGCACCCTAGAGATACTAGACCTTCTTGCTCTATAGAAATGGTCTGGTCAAAAATCTAATTTACAAAAGTTTCCACTTGTCCAAGATGGAGTCGATTGGTTGAGACATATGTGCAGTCCAAATTGTGCTCCTTTAGTTTAGAACTGGAGCAGCGAGGCTAACGCTGCTAACAAACACTAGAACTCTACAGTCACCCAAGAAGTTTCTGTAAAAATACATTCCCAAAACTCTCAACCTGCTCAAACCAAATTCGGGCTTTCATTAAGGTAGGGCAGACTTGTCGATGTGGTTTAGGACACAGTATGACATACTGTGAACTATAAAATTGAACAAAACTGTGAGCAGCCACTTTACACAACAGACATCTGTATTCACAAACCACATCAGGCGTAGAAGTGCTGATCTAATATGAGAAAATAGTGACAATGACAGTCATAAATACATCAAAATCTTTGTCAATACCAGCCCTGAAATGGCTGCCTGTAGCGGTGAAGTTCTGTTCACTTTTATAGTTTACAGTAAGTCATACTGTGCTCTAAACCACATCGGCAAGTCTGCACCACCTTACCAGGATGGTTTGAGTAGCACAGATTTACTGAAAACATTTGGGTGACTACTGAGTTCTAGCTCTTTGTTAGCAACACTAGCTTCATAGCTTCAGTTCCAAACTAAAGAAAGCAAAATATGTTTTGCCTGACCGACCACATATGGGGCTCTACTACTCTATGAACTGTTCCTTTAAATGTTTGATTGTACATGTGGAAAAAGGAGAATGTGAAAAACAAAATACATGACAAAATGATTAAATGTACACTTCTAATTTTTTTTTTTATTTATTTTTTATTTTTTAAGTTTTTGTTGTCTCCACCTCTACAGGAGAATGCATACCTCTCCAGTCCAAAAACGACAAGCCATCATGAACATTAAGGTCCTTGATCGATTTTAATATGGAGCTGGACAATCTTTACCCAATCAGCTTCCAGATAACCCTGACAGTCTTCCTAATGATAGAGTGTCTGCTTGGACTGAGTAGCAACCTGACGGTATTGGTCCTATACTGCATGAAGCTCAACCTGGTTAGCTCTGTCAGCATTACTGTCACTATGAACCTGCACATCCTTGATGCGCTCGTGTGTGTGGGCTGCATCCCGTTCACGATTGTCGTCGTGCTGTTGCCACTGAAGGACAACAACGCTCTATTTTCCTGTTTCCACGAGGCCTGTATCTCCTTCACAAGTGTAGCAACTGCCACCAATGTGCTAGCCATCACCTTAGATCGCTATGACATCTCTGCGCGGCCAGCAAATCGTGTGCTCACCATGGGACGTGCAGTGGCACTGTTGGGGTTCATCTGGGCCCTCTCTTTCCTTAGCTTCCTGGTGCCCTTTATAGAAGTAGCCTTCTTCAACCAAGATGTCTCTGTGCGAAATCAGACAGTAGAACTGGACAACACCACCCAGTACTACACTGAGCCTGGCCTTTACTACCATTTGCTGGCTCAGATTCCAATCTTCTGCTTCACTTCCATCATCATGCTGGTTACATACTACAAAATCCTGCAGGCACTAAACATCCACATTGTTACCTGTTTCCAAACAACACCTAAGAAGAACACTTCAAAAAAAAAACCCATTTCTATGACCGAAACTCAGGCATCTGAGTCCACAGACATACAGAGTGGCGGTAGAAGAAATCCTCCATTAGCCATGCGTACTTCTGTATCAATGATCATTGCTTTGAGAAGAGCTGTCAAAAGGCACAAAGAGCGGCGCAAGCAGCAAAAGAGGGCTGTGCGGACGTCACTGCTTATTATCTCAACCTTCCTACTGTGCTGGACACCGATCACCTTGCTCAATATCATTCTTTTGTGTGTAGGACCCAGTAACTTTACCATGCGCCTAAGACTGGGCTTTTTGGTCATGGCCTATGGAACTACGTTCTTCCACCCACTCCTCTATGCTTTCACACGACAGAAATTCCAGAAGGTTCTCAAGAGTAAGATTTATTTCTGATTTTGAAATAAATAACATCACTATCTACATTTAATACACTGGCCCAAGAAAAGAAAGAAAAAAAAATACCTTTGAGGACACAAATGTCCAACAGAAATGTATTTTAACTGAGAATATAGAATAAGCTAGTGAGCCAATAAATGGCAAAAATCAAGTACACAATCATTAAAAAGGTAAGCCACTTATACAAGGCAATAATGTTATTGTGCATCTAACAATACGAATTCCAAAGCCCAACATTATATAACATGATATATATTTATATCAAATTCAACAATAAAAATGGCTTTGTTGTTTATTTTTATTTCAAAAGAGATTCAAGCAAATGTTTCAGCCAATGCTGAACACACACACACACACACACACACACAAATATATATATATATATATATATATATATATATATATATATATATATATATATATATATATATATATATATATACACACACACACACACACACACACACTAGATGGAAAAAAAGTATTGGGACACACCTCTTAATCATTGAATTCATGTGTTTCATTCAGGCCCATTGCCACAGGTATATAAGGTCTAGCACCTAGCCATGCAGTCTGCCTGTACAAATATTTGTGAAAGAATGGGTCTTTTTAAGCTCACTTAATTGAAGTCAGTTCAATTAAGATATTCCACGATCAACTGTGAGTGGAAAATTGAAAAGTAGAAGCATTTAGGGTCCGTGTACCGTCTGTTAATTTGATTTTCATTTTAAAAACCAGTATTGAAAAACGGAAAATTGGCCGATTCTCGTTTCTGGTTCTGTTATTGTCAGTGGAAAAATCAAGAAATAGCTTCATTTTACAATTTCACAAAGTAATCATAAAATCAAATAACAAACAAACAGCAATGAAATAAAGGATCATATGAGTCAAATGATCCAATTTTAGAATTTCCCATCATAAGCGGAAATAAATGTGCAAAGTGCAGGTATGGAAGCTCAGAAATCAGGCCTGTGGTTCTGGCGTATTGGTAGGCTACATTACTTTTTATAAGCGTTTGTATATTTGATGTGTACACACTATATGAGAAAGAAATGATATAGGGAAGAAACTGAATTCCCACCATTTGATGGGGGTTTCGTGCTCCCCAGATCAGCGGCAGATGCGCTCAAGTTCAAGACATATTGTGTCGGTGTTGTGCCAAACTCCCCTATCCCCTTCAAGTGAACTGAAGGTACAAGGACCATTTAGAAACCCTAGCAACTCAGCAACCAAGTGTCAGACCACGTACAGTTACAGAGTGGGTCGCCGAGTGCTGAAGCACATAGTACAAAAGTCACCAACGCTCTGCTAACTCAATAACTGCAGTGGAACATATTCTATGGAGTGACGAATCACACTTCTCTATCTGGCGGTCTGATGGACGAGTCTGCGTTTGGCAAATGCCAGGAGAACATAATCTGCCTGACTGCACTGTGCCAACTGTAAAGTTTGGTGGAGGAGGGATAATGCAATGGGGTTGTTTTTCAGGGGTTGGCCGAGGCTCCTTAGTTTCAGCGAAGTGAAATCGTAATACTTCAGCACACCGTGAGATTTTGGAGAACTGTATGCTTCCAACGTTGTGGGAACAGTTTGGGGAATGCTCTTTTCTGTTCCAGCATGACTGTGTCCCAGTGCACAAAGCAAGGTCCATAAGGGCATGGCTGGGTGAGTTTGGCGTGGAAGAACTTGACTGGCCTGCACAGAGCACTGACTTCAACCCCACAAATGCTCTTCTGGATGAATGGGCAAAAAATCCCACAGACACACTCCAAAATCTAGTAGAAAGCTTCCCAAAAGAGTGGAAGCTGTCACAGCTGCAAAGGGGGGGAACAACTCCATATTAATACCTATGGATTTAGAATGGGATGTCATAAAAGCTCCTGTAGGTGTAATGTGTAGGTGTCCCAATACTTTTGTGCACATAGTGCATATATAAAAACACACAGCGACCAGTAACTTCATTAAGTACACCTCCTTGTATCTACACTCATACTCTATGGGTGGTGGGTCATTTTCAGCACTGCAGTGAAGTGGTGGTGGTGTGTTAGTGAGAGTTGCGCTGGTATGAGTGGATCAGACATATAAGTGCTGCTGGATTTTTCGAACACCTTAGTGTCTCTCCTGGGCTAAGAATAATCGACAAACCAAAAATATCCAGCCAACAGCATCCTGTGACCACTGATGAAGGACTAGAGGATTACTAACACTAGTAGTACCAAACATCCTATTGGCCGATTTGTAATTTACATCTCATTATCATGACAAAACTTCAATGCATTGTCCTGAGTCATATGAAAGCAATGATAACCAGCAAGAATGGTTTGCTGCAGATGAAAAAATGCTGTTAATACAAAATGTTTGATAACACAATTTACTCTTACTCCTCCTTTTGTCGAAGAGTATGGAAAAGCAGGATTCAAGAAAGAAAGGGACAAACTAGTCCAGTTCACAGTACAGTTTAAAATTAAAGTTCTAAGATATGAACAAACTGTTTAAGGGCATTAATATTGCCACAGACAAATACAAGATCCGCACTAGTAGGAAATGTGGCTTAAATGATGTTTCAAGCTTCTGATCTGAAGGCACGTGTAAAGAAATAAATATGTGAATTTTTTACTTCTTTACTTAAGGTAGAATTTTTTTTTTCACTGAATAAAATCTGCTTCTGTCTCTAACACAAACTGTATGCTGACTTATTTTCATAGGACTGTTCTATAAAATATTGTAAATCTGTATTTGCATAAAAAGTATATCACAAATGTTCGTATGATAATAAAATTGAGCATTACTAAACATCCAACAAAGTTTTAATGGTAGAAATTTGACAAACGCTGCTTAAACTAAAAGGATCAGACTAGGGCAGAACTTTTTCATTTATAAGCAACGCAGCTGGTTTCCCGGTACGTTAAACCTGCAATGAGAGACTGTCAAACACTAAAAAGTTGCGAAGATGAAGTCAGCATCTTGTTTGAATTTTCCCATTCCACCTTAAATGGTGCCGCATTTACATTCTGGCGCCTCAGGCAGAATTTAAGGTTTAACGGGAAAACTCGAACGAGAAGCTGGAAAATGAGAAGCGACTTCAGCCTCATAAAACAGTCGAATGTTGAGAGACATTTTACAAGAAACTATTCAACTTTTGAGGAAACTTTTTCCAGCGGAGATGGAAGGAAAGCGGCTATAGCTAAAGCTTAAAGCAGAGCAAAGTAAATCTGTGCTCTCGTTTGTATTTTTAGTCTATACTAGGTCACTGGCAAATACTGAGACACACTGGACATTAAATGTTGTGGCTCCCAAGGTGGTTTGATTTTTGTTTAAAGTACAAAATGGCTCTTCTTAACATTTGTGTTGTGACTCCTAACCTAACCTGGCTTTAATGCAGAGGGTGCCAGTCGGATTTCTCACTCATCCAGTTGTGTTTTTGTCGTGTGCCGCCACAGACCGTCCGAGTGCTGCACTTACCCACTTCCAAGTTCCGCCTTTTACGTTCCATCAACATTACGTTATAAATTAAATATTTAGAAAATCGATTTTTGACATTTATGAATCGATTCAGAATCGTTCACGTCCGCATCGCGATGCATCTAAGAATCGAGTTTTTCCTGAACCCAACTACACAACTTTTAAAATTCTAACTGATTTCGAAAACAGAGAGCATCACAAACTTGACATATGAAAACATACTCAAAACTACAGTTCTCGCTGTTGTCCAGTGATACACACCAATTTGAAACTGGACTAGACCTGTTCTGGCTGGTTTCAGTACACACACAAAACATCGCAAAATGCAAACTGGGGATGAATATGTGTTTGAGAAACACAGCTCTCACAGTCAGAGCTGCAGAAATATTTTAATACAAACTGGCAGCTGATTGACACTGCAAAGAGAGTGACTCTATGCCTTTTCATGCCTTCGTCCCTCTTTGCTTTTCTCTTTCTCATAGCTCTGACATTGGCTGCTGCCTGAACCACTCATTCGGTTACATCGCTGACCAGCTCACACAGCAGGACGTTATGAGTAGTAAAAATGAAACACGTTTGAAAATATCCTCCGATTACTCCGAAGCACAACGGGAATGCTAACGACTGACTCATCCTCTCATACTGCCAAGATCTTTCAGGCAGTCAGTGGCTTCCGATTGCGCTCCTGACTTGGAAAATAGCTTTAGTTTGTGAAAATTGTTTGAAAGGGGCAAAATGGGGTTAGAACCAAGCTCAAAATCAAGCAGTGTAGGTCCAGCTTTAGCTGTAACTAGTTCTTTGACTTCAGCATGGTGTGTCACAGGGCCCTAAATCTCAGACAGTTTGAAAGTTTAGAATGTCCCTGGGACACATTAGGGACCAGTTTCTCAGACCAAAAATTCTGTTTTGCCTAGAATGGATGGTTCACCACCGGAATACAATTTAGTCCAAGACTAGGCTTAATCAATTTCTGAAAAGCTGGCCATTTATCAAACTACAACAGTCACTGTGATTTTATTATTTCAGCACATTTACAATGAATGATGTAATGATGTTTCCTGTGGCGTCTGAATGCAGTCTATCGTCATTATTGTTACAATAATAGCACTGTGTTTATTAAGTCTGGCAGAAACAACATGCACGTAAGAACAGTTTTGTGTGTGTATATATATATATATATATATATATATATATATATATATATATATATATGTATATAGTATATATATGTGTATATATATATATATATATATATATATATAAATAAAAACACAATGACCTCTAACTTGATGATTTACAGTCAGTGTTTGCCTTTTGTATATTGAATGAACACAAATATATGGGACTGGTAAATTAATCTTAAACCATTACCAGAAAACAATTAAATACACACAGGATTTAATGGCATTATATTTTTTTATCACTCAAGCAAAATAAACTAGTGTCAGTGGATACAGACAACATTGAACTGCACTCACAGAATCACTTAAGCTGTAATGCAAATCAACCATATCATCCATGCCCCAGATTAAAACTAACCTAAAAATTCTTAGACCAGTGGTCTAGAACCCTAGTCCTGGACAGCTACCTTCCTGCAGAGTTTAGTTCCAACCTCTTTTCAATAAGCTGCCTCGCCCCTTACTTAACTCTAAGCCAATCACGGGCATGGGAAGAAGTTGATTAGTTGGGGCAGGTGCAGCAAATTGTGGTTGGAACTAGACTCTGCAGGAAGGTAGCTCTCCAGGACCAGAGTTGGAGACCACTGACTTGATCTATAAGTAGCAAAACATCAAACCCTTTGAAGAAAAAAACACTAATGTATCAGAATGAATCTAGGATTACACAACTAATGAATTTTTATCTAATGCTCCTTTCATTACCCCATGAAGACTTGAATGAGCCAGAGTGATCTTTCAAAAGGTTCAAAAAAAAAAAATCATTAGTAAATGATGCTGTTCACTCACCTAGTTCGTTGAGGCTCTGGGCAGCTTTGGTCAGTTCCCGGCTGCCCCCCTGAAGCTGACCTTGTAGTCGCTTACTCAGATACAGGATACGGATTATCCTCCTCAGCAGGTCACAGGCCACCTGGACGAACAAACAAATTAAACATAGCAAATTTTCCAGTCTTTCTTAAATCAAGAAACCAAGCATTCCAAGTGTGCTGAGCAAGAATGTATGCATGGACCTAGTAACGCAGCAAACCACTGATTGGTCAAATGCAATCGGCACAGAATCGCCACTTGTGATTGGAGTCCGTTGACCACTATTTAAAAAAAAAAAACAAACACATTTGCTAGCCAAGATCACTGTCCTGTTGTTTGTGTTTACTGTCAATGCTGTATTTACATGAGACATCACCACCATCCAATGAGAACTCAATGAGCCTACTTTCACAGTTCAGGTGTGTGATGGAAAAGCGACAGGTACTCTACAAGGGAACGTGTAGTTCTGGAATTATAACTGTACCGTGCCATACTTTACTGCCTGGTGGAAAAACAGTGCAAGTAAATGGTTAATAATTCAAACTGCACCATTTCTTAATGTTCATGTAAATATTATTAACTATTAGTCATTTACAAACTATTTGACAAGGATTTAATTGCTATTTATTACTTATTATAAAGTGCTTCCAAAATGACTATTTATTAGGGCAGTGTATTTAGGTCATTTTCAGGAGACAACATTCAAACAAAAATATATTATTTGAGTCTAACTTGCATCTTTCAAGATACATTTGACAGCTTTTGCCAATTATCCCGATTTTGTATAGTTACAGGCACATTATATACTGTGCATTCCAGCTTACAAAAAAACTCTCTGATAGGTTGTAATGTGATGAAAAGTCTCGGAAATGTATCTACATCACCATCCTTTACATCAGACACAGACTCCCAAACTCCACACCTCACTTCCCTTTGAAGCACTGTACTTTACAGTGCTGTAAAACTAATTACAGTAATTTCTCCATGCTGTATAATAAACTACAATATGCTTGCTTGATTTGTAGAACTAACAACAAAAAAGCCTTATGAAAAACTAACTTTATTTATCTAAATGTGCCAAGAGAATATACATTGAAAACTACAAAAAATAACTCCTTTATTAATAATAACACAGTTTGACAATGTCATTATACCTAGAAAACATATGAATATTTGCTGTTGCTGGAGTCTGCTCTCACTTCAAGGCTCTCTGAAACACCGAAATAGTTAGACTACAAAATAATGAGAAACAATGTGTGTTAACAGTAATCCAAATATGTAGACAAAAAAACAAATATATATATTCACAAATCTTTAAGCAAAATATGAAATGACATACAACAGAGATGACTTAAATAACAACTACCGTTTATTTTTGCAAAATACTATATAATTTAAATGAGTAAGGTAATTATAATGAAACTGAATTTTAAGCTTTGGTGTTGCTAGATTTGACAAGGTGACAAAATGCACTTCAGAACTACCTTGTTATATTAAAGCCATTGTGAAAATTTGCCATCAGAAATCATATAAAAAGGTTTGAACACCCTGGTCAAATGATATGTTTTGTTGATTTTCTAAGTGAAAATAAGTTAACAAATCCTCTACAGGGAACAAACTTAAATATGGCATTTTCTGCTAATTTTAGCAAACAATTTCTGTTCTTTTAAAAATAAAACAAAAAATCAAATGTGCCTTAACTTTTGCAACTTATGTTCCAGCATGTTAAATTCAGCAGAAAAACAGTAATTCTCCATTAAAATGTGCAGAACTGTGTAGAGGACGTGTTAACTTATTTTCCAACAGAAAGTTACTTGACCAAGGGCGCCCAAACTTTGGCACATGACTATATCTATACAACCAGAGATATCACAAACAATATGGCAGACAGCACACATCTCATTGAAATCTGTGCAGAAGTCTGTTAAAACCAATGACAAACATAGGTCACTTACAAACAAACACACACATACACACACATTCAAGGCAATAATTATTACTGTGGAATGACGACACGCTTTCATTACTGATGACAAGTTTGATGCCAGGAGACCACGACCTATTGGAATGCAAATTGTCTACCAAAAAGTTTGGTGGAGGAGGGACAATGGTGTGGGGCTGTTTTTATGGGTTAGATCCCTTGGTTCCAGTGAGGGGTAATGTTAATGTTCCAGCATATATAGACATTTTAGACAATTACATGCTTACAACCTTGTGGCGATAGTTTGGGGAAGGCCCTTTGCTGTTCCAGCATGACTGTGCCCCGTGCTCAAAGCAAGAACCAAAAAGACATGGTTTACTTTGATGTGGAGAAACTCCAGTGGCCTGCACAAAGCCCTGACCTCAACCCTACTGAATACTTCTGGGATGAACAGGAAAATGATTTAAACATTTGTAATAGCATGTACAAGGACTTGAGGCACCCTTCCTGTAGTCATGAAAGGTGTAAACAGCTATAGGACGCACTGTCCACTTATGATGAGATCACAAGCTGGATGTTAATATCAAATGTCAACAGGGCAGGTTAGCTATGACTGCTACTTACAATCAATAATTTAGTTTAAAAAAGTTATAAAAAGGCATTACTGATGGGAAACATGTGTTATGATCAATAATCAATGTTAGCTAGCTAGCTACATTCACAAAATAACCTAATACAGTAGCTACAGTTAGCTAGCAAGCACCCACCTAGCTTATGTTAGCTACATATCGCATTACCTGTTAAGATTATGTTAGCAAGACTTCACCATTTAAAGGAATAAAGTTTTGGCACTTTTGGTACAAAATGTTTTTGCTGGTCAAAGGATGAAATGCTTAAACAGGAGAGACAATGCGCTTGCCCCGAACAGGAAACAACACGTTTAACAGGAGGAGAGCTTTCACACACTCGGTGAACGAAAGTAAACCTGCAATAAAGTTGTTGTTCTGATGATAACCAATAAGTGGCTGGCTACTGGTGGACTAACTACCAATTTAGGTTGAGAGAAAAAAAAGGCAGATTACTCATCCAAGGTGAAATAGGAAGCTAGCTTGCCTACGTAAAAATCCATCCACTTTTTGCCAGAGCTCTACAGAGTGTAATGTTGAACTGAAATTCAAATGAATGAACTGAAATTCATTAAAACACACAAAAGACAAAGATACAGGGCAGAATTACAAGCAGCAACCACAAAACAAGATAAATATCTATTAGCCTCCTGCACCTGAGTTTTTTTTTTCTTCACTTTTTCCACTATTTTTCCCAACTTAGTCATGTCCAGTACCACCCACTAGCTAGGTGTCCCCAATCACACAATACAACCAACACTAAAGCAACATCACTGGAAAGCTGAACATGCTTGGAGGAAAGCGCCAACTGATATTTCTGTTACGCCAGCAATGGCTAGCATCACACTAAGTGACAGGAAAAGGAGGGTGGCCACCCAGAAAGAAAGCAAGGTCAATTAGACGCTACTGGACAGACTGCTGTAACATCACTGGGGATCAAACGCGTAATCTCCTGATGATAGAGCAATTTATTACTCATTTTTAAACAGTCAATAATAATTCTGTATTCAGAGGTGCATTAAGGTATTAACACTGTATTTAGATCTACAGTAATGTATTAATTTATGTACGACACATGGAACGCTTTCACAAAACGCATTTAAAAACTATTGCAACATACTCTACACAGATTCTACAGTGAAGTACCATTGGGAATACTGTAACAATGCTGTAAAAGCAAACAAAAATCATTTACAGTGGAAATATGTTATGATGGTTTTCATGTTGTTTGTCTACAATGTGTCACACTTTATGACAAATGTAATTTAAGCTTTTTCACAAAGAGCGCAATACAAACATGCTGTGACGGTTTGTCTAAAATACAAAAGGTCTCATATTACCATTGTCAAGAATTGCCAAACATTACTAAAGTACAGTAACTAGTGAGTGCTTACAGTTATTTAAAAATACTTTAAGACAGACTCATTCTCCTGGTTTTCTTCTGTTATGATTTTCAAATGTGATGTGCTTCATGAACTCATCTTGTTACTCACCTACAGGCTGAAGATTCTGCACAAGCCGGAGTATTTCAGTAAACAGTACTTTCTTTTAGAGCTCTAATTTGAGGCTTTTGTTTTAAAACCAGGTTAAAAAAAAAAGTTGCACTCATTTCTGAGAATAAACAAAAGAATGCCAACTGGCTAGCTGTCCGAAACCATAGCAAACACTTGGACTACTTCTGACTATTCTGACTAGGAACACGCCGAGTTTAGCTTCTGTACAAAGTGGTGTTTGCGTGTCTTAAAAAGCTTTATATACAGAAATACATTCACTTATCCACTGTCTAACAAGAGTTGACAACTACAGTTTTGATTTTTTAGGAAAAAATAAAGACCATGTTTTCTTTGCTCACTACTTTTTATGAATGAAGCAACAGTAATACATATTTTTTTCCATCTAAAAAGACCATTCTGTCTGCTTGTGCTCCAACTGTTGGAAACTGGGCTGGATTTGTAAGAAGATCTACTAAATTGAACAATGTCAGGGATCATACCTGTAGTCGTGCAAGCTGGGCAGTCCGAACCACAATCTTGTTATAGGGATCAACAATTTTGGTCCTTATCCTTAGTAGCATGTGAAAAGGGGGGGAGAGGAAGAGAGTGAGGTTAATGACAACTTCCGAATACAAACCTATTTTCAAAAAACTTGTGACAGTAGGTAAAATCCAAATTAAAACAGAAAAACAGTGATTTATGAATTCACTTTGATGTGTGTTCAAATAAAAGCAGTGTAAAAACAAGATATCTAATGTTTTACCTTATGAATTTCATCATTTTTGTAAAATCATTATGAAATTAATGCTTGCAACATGTTCCAAAAATGTTGGGACAGGCAAGTTTAAAACTAGAAACATCCTAAACAGGTGATGCAATCATACTTGAGTGCAAATGGAGCATCCCGGAAAGGCCAAGTCCTTCATGAGCAAGGATGGGTCGAGATAGACATTTCGCCAAAAAAAAGCATTAACCATTCAAGAACAACTTTCATCAATGAGCATTTGCAAGGATTTTAGCCATATCAAGGATTTTAGCTATATTATCAAATGACGCAGAGAATCCTGAGAAATCTCTGTGCATACAGGTCAAGGCTGACAGTGTTGTCTGAAGGATTGAAGATCAAAGTATTTAGCTGTCATACCTTGATCTTCAATCCCTCAGATGGCACTGCTTTAAACTGACATGCTTCTGTAATGAAAATAACTAAATGGGCTCAGGAATTGGGCTTCAAAAAATCCCTGTCAGTAAACACTGTTCATCTCTGCATCTACAAATGCAAGTTAAGCCTCTACTACGAAAAATGGAAACCATATATCAACATCAGCCAGAAACACCACAGACTTATCTGACCATCTCAGCTCATCTGAGATAAACTTATGGACAGTGGAAACGTGTAGTGTGGTTTGACGAGGCCAACTTTCGGATTGTTTTTTGGAAATAAAGGACATTCAATAAAGGACAAGGAAATAAAGGTGTTCTCTGGACCAAAGAGGAAAAGAACCATTCAAATTACTACAAATGAAAAGTTCAAAAGCCAGTGTCTGTCATGGTTAGAGTGGGTGAGTTAGTGCCAATGGCCGTGCCAATTCGTGAAGGCGCCATTACTGCTGAGGGGTACATATGCATTTTGGAGCAACATATGCTGCCATCTAGACAACGTCTTTTTCATGGACATTCCTGGACATTATTTCAGCAAGACAATGCCAAGTCGCATTCTGCATGTGTTACAACAGCATGGCTTCGTAGTACAAGAGTGCAGGTGCTAGACTGGCCTACCTGCAGCACAGACCTGTTTCCTTTTGAAAACATGTGGTGCATTATGCACAATATACGACAATGGAGACCCCAGACTGCAAAAATTGACTCATAGCAAAAATTGGTGTCCAACTTAAATATAATACATAAACTTAAATATTTTGTCTCTGTGCTGTTTTCAACCAAATAAAGGCCAAAAAGGAAGTGCCAATCTGTGCTTTCCAATTTTATTTGCATTTCACTGTCCCAACTGTTCTGGAATTAGTTTTGTACAAACAATGAGCACTTAGAACATGATAAGTCTTGTTACCTGTCCACAGTGTTTTGCAGTGCTGCGATCCTTGTCTGCATCATTTCAAGGACACCTACATGAAACAAGAGAAACACTACTTGCAAAATGATTACAGCTAGTCATGGATTTACTTTTCAGAAAAATAATGGTTGCGCATTAAATGGGCAGAAGTGTGTTCTCTGTAGAGGCTATTCACTTCTGTATATGACATTTTACTTGCAATCAACAACACGCTTTAGTATCAAAAACCAGTCGAGTATTACTTTGAAAAAGAACATATTTCTTAAAACATTAATGAGAACATTGCTGTCTGATTTAATGCAGTTAGATCAATGTCCTAACAAACATCATGGGTGGGAAGTGAAAAGCAGTGGTTCCATAATGGTGGATAGTTCTGAAAAAATTCAGTTGGTTTGTTAAAATGAAAAATCGAACAAACAAACAAAAACAATCTTCAAGGAAAGTGGCCACTCGGGACACAGGCTTTACATTTTTGTGGCCAAAATGTGAAATGCTGTGGCCAGGAGCACTGGACACTAAGCAATGTTGACTTCTGTTTACCTGCCGTACTCAGTTATGACAACCAAAAACCTTCATAAGCTAGCAATGTAGTTAATACAGGTTTTCATTACATCTGCGAAGTTTGCTTAATTCATGGTGTGTATAATGTATTTTAATAATAATAATAATAATAATAATAATAATATGATGATGACGATGACGATGATGATGACAATGATGATGACGATGACCGCTGCTTAGGAAAAAGTCAGTAAGGTTCTCTACAATTAACTATCTTGCATCAAACCACTCTAAATGACAGTGATACGTCTCAAGCACTGAATTTTGCATAAACTGTGAAACATTAGTGGAATTTCATAAAGAGTACAACTGGTCTCTATTTCCCAAAAGATAACTATTTTGTTTTCATAGCTATGGTGATTGCACCCTGTTTCAGTGAAAAGAGACCTGTCTTGTGTTGTCTTGACATTATATTATTAATGTTATTCTTGTGGGTGTTGCTAAATAAGTTTAGATCAACGTTTTGAACTATTATGATTGCTGTGAAAGAATGATGAGGCTGTAAAACAAAACAAATAAAAACTACAGTCTATAGCCTTAATTAAAGCTATTTGCACACATCCATTTCCCATTAAAGATGTGGAGCAATACTCAATTGAAAACCCACTTTCCCTGTTACCTAAGCAGATCATATACGTAACAAAATCAACTTCTAACCAAGCAGTTAAAAACATTACCTTCAAGAGACTCAATTCCAGTTGCCTGAGCCAGTAGATCCTCATGCCTAGCCACTACCTGAATGCAACAAGACCAGTGTGTTTGGCAACAGTAACTGTTCATATGCGGGAACTAAACGTATTCCATTTGCATTTTTTTATCACTTTGGCGAAGCTTACCTGGCAGTGAAGCTCTTTGTCTAGCTGACTAATGCCTTGGGCGAGTTTGGCGAGATGTTCGGCGATGACTGCATGATGAATGACGTGCGCGGTGTATGTTTTCGCATCGAACTCTTCGTCCAAGAATTCCGCATAACATTCTGAAGCAGACGCAACAATCAGAGATGAAGGCACGTCATGGAAAACATCACAGCGCACCTGTTTACTCAAACACAACAGACAGAAGACATCTTTAAACAGAATTACCGTCCTTTAACTCCTTTAACAGACAATTTCTACTTGACTCTGCGTCTCCAGCCTCCATTGCTGCCACCTCATTCGTGACGTACAAATTCTGCGACATAGGGGGATGTGTCATTTAACAGTCCATTGTGTTCAAGTGTGTATATATATAAAAATATCAGTAATTAAGGGTCTTTTTTGCTTGTTTAAGTTTTATCGTATTTCGTATTTTAAATAGAATGAACAAGAGTAGAACTGCCAGTAATGTCTTCTGGGTTGGTGAAAAACGCTAAAATAACACGATGCATTTCAAATAGTTCCCTACATAGTGCACTACGTTGTAATTAATATTGGCTTTAGTACTTAAGCACTGCATGATATGTCCATACGGAATTAGCCACATGTCAAAAAGTACTTGTATTCATCTTTCCTCTGATTTTTCCGATTATTGATCCAGAAATTACATTTTTAATTAATTATCAAGAAGTTTCTAATGGCGAAATTAATGTTTTAAAGTAAACCAGAAGAAGGTGCAGGAAGTGGGTGGGCCAGGAAGTAAGTGGAGTCAGAGAACTTGTAGAGATGAGAATTACCAGGGAACTTGTAGAGAGGAGAATCAGAGCCGGTTAATGAGGAGCCTGGCCACTTCCTATTCCCCCCGTTATATCAAAAACAGGACTGCCAAACAGCAGAGGGCGCTCGCGAGTGAGTCCTCAATGAATGTGAGTAAATGGCGCTCAACGGCTAAAAACGAAAAGTTTAAATAGTTTCTAATCACTCGCCCAGAACTTTCCTTTAATTTTAGAAAGTAGAAGGATGTATTTCACTAAAAAACAAACAAATCTTACCTATATATTCCCTTTTTTCTACAAGGTTTTGGGCAGCAGGAGGCGGGCATTTCTGCTAGAGCGTGATGATTGATTGGCGAGCGGAGCAGCTCATTGGCTGTTCGCGCTCACTGACGTCATGAACATACATGGGGTGTAGTTTTAAACTCCTATAGCTCGAGTTTAAAAGCTCGTAAAAATATAACAGCGGTGTTAAAATGTTTTATGCTGTTCTGTGTTCAGGAAATTAATGTATTCTTTTACATTAAAAATGTTTAAGCATTTATAAACTATGATTTTGCTCAAATGCTCCACATCAACCCATTCATTTGGGACTCACTCAGGAGCGCCCTCTAGCGTCTGAGAAAACCGGAAGACATTGCAGAGTGGGAATTCTCCTCTCTACAAGTTCTCTGGGAGAATTACCACTCTGCAATGTCTTCCGATTTTAGCCGTTGAGCGCTATTTACTCCCATTCATTGAGAACTCCCTCGCGGGCTCCCTCTGCTGGTTAGCAGTCCTGTTTTTGATATAACGGGGGTTTGGCCAGGCTCCTCATAAACCGGCTCTGGTGGAGTAACGTTAACAGTAGTCACTACAAAGAGTATTCAAATATCAATGCAATTAATTTCTTAACACACAGATTTAATATGAATTGTAATGCTTGCAGTTTCTGTGAAGAAGACATAGAATAATTAGAACATCTATTTGTTTTCTCATGCAAGCTATCTAAAAGGTTTTGGAAAGATCTTTATGCTTGGCTAAAAACAAAATCCGAATGACCTGACTTGGAATATGATTTCGTAAAATATAGTATCTTTATTGACAATTCTAAGACAGATTTTTAGTTAACAACATCATAATTTGGGCTAAACACTACATACATGAATGCAGAATCTTTAAAAACTCAGCTGGTTAGCATGCCAAACGATTTGGCTTTGTTTTAGAAATCCTTAAAAGCCACGTGTAGTAAATATGCCCTTAAATATTTAAAAAGACCCTTTATGTTCCTAAAGAGACCGAAGAAAAGCGTAAAATAATTGTTTCTTTAATAATTTCGCGTCGTTAAATTTCGAATCAGGCCGAAACCGGATTAATTAGTGGACCGTTTGTTACTACTGGCGCACAAATTGCATTTAAAATGTATTCTAGCTACGTAACTCGACAATTTCTCCCCATGTAGTGCACTATGTAGGTCATAAAATGATGGTTTCTACATCCAAATAGTGCATTATAGGTCCGTGTCTAACATATAGAGTACTAGCTGGTGCAGAAGCCATAGCTAGATTCATGACCCATGCAGTGCACTATGTAGGGAGTAGGGAGATATTTGCGATTCAGCCTGAGCCTTTTCTATTGGCTGGCGTCATCCTGACCGAACTACACTAACCAGGAAGTTTCGCTTCTACCACGCGTTTTCAGGTCGCTTAGTGAAAAACATTCTGTGCTAATAATATGCTGTAAGCTCTTTACAGAGCGAGATAGTGCGGTCTTGAAAACGGGTCTACGATTGTAGCTATTTTACGCTGTAGCTATTTTAGCCGTGCTGTTTTATTTACAGCGTCATGGACTTGTTCGAAAGTGGCAAAGTTGTGAGAGTTTGCGCCCCAATGGTTCGCTACTCGAAGTAAGCTGAGCATTTAATGCATGTGTATGAATGAATTTGTAGGAATATTTTACCTTTGGTTACATATATCTTACTTTTCTCCTTTAGGCTGTCTTTCAGGTGTCTGGTGCGGAAATATGGCTGTGACATCTGTTTCACGCCTATGATAGTTGCAGCGGATTTCATGCGTTCTGTAAAAGCCAGAGACAGTGAATTCACCACTAACAGCTGTACGTCTGATTGTACTTTTTTTTTTTTACAACAATGCTTTGAAGGTTTTGGGCAACGCTAAGTTTTTATTGTTCATCCAAACCAGCTGATCGACCTTTGATCATCCAATTTGCTGCAAAAGATGCTCAGACACTGGCAGATGCTGCTCGTGTGGTTGCACCCTTCTCAGATGGTGTGGATCTAAATTGCGGCTGCCCTCAGAGGTATTCCTGAAGCACATTGTTGTAGGTTGACAGAAACAGGAGATATCTGATAAGGTGTCATAAATATGTGTAGCAAAAAGTTAACTTCACTGTGCTGCATTGTTCTCTTGGCCTCAGACTGGATTTTGTGGTATTTGCAGGTGGGCTATGGCAGAGGGCTACGGGGCATGCTTGATTAATAAACCACAGCTAGTAAAAGACATGGTGAGACACGTGAAAAACCAAGTAGACAAACCCAACTATGCCGTGTCCATTAAAATAAGGTATGGCTATACAGCACCAGTTTTACTTGACAAAATATATTTTACATAGAAGCATTGTATTTTTTTTTTGGTTTAGATTCTGAGTTTATATTTACTTCCAGAATTCATAAGGACTTGCGGAAGACTGTGGACCTTTGTCAGAAGGTGGAGGCAGCAGGGGTGTCGTGGATCACAGTCCATGGGCGGACAGCTGAGGAGAGGCATCAACCAGTGCACTACGATGCTATCAAGAATATTAAGGATAGTCTCTCCATTCCAGTCATTGCCAACGGCGATATCAAGAACCTTCGAGATGTGGAGTCCATACACCAGCTCACTGGCGTGGATGGTATGTGCAAAATTAATGTTTAAAAGCATCTATTTGTAGACAGGGCGATCCTTGAACTGTATAAATGGGCTAGCCATTGGGTTGCCAAGGTCATTTTAGGGGGTCCACCTGACAGAAGCACATTTTTATACATGCAGTATGAACGGTAAATCACTGGAAGGTTTTCGGCTGTAACATTTAAACAACGCTCAGCACATCGTTAGTATGCACTCCTACACACATAAAGTGCCCACAACACACAGTCTAAAGGAGCTGAATTTATCTTTCTAGCTTCTTATCTGAATTTTCTGTTCCATTGTAAATGGTACAGTAGTTACATTCTGGTGTTTGTACAGTTATAAGAATGAGAAGCGATGAAACTGTTGCATCATTTAAGGTGGAACAGAAAATTTGAACAAGAAGTCAATTTTAGCCTCGTCACAGTCTAACACGCACATTTACAAATATACTCTGTCTTTCACACAAAACATCTGCAGCTATAAAATTACAAACAAGTAAATAAATAAAAAGTTTTTGGATCTTAGCCTTGCTTAAAATGTAAACACATCTTTCCAAACTGTAAAAATATAATTTTTTATCATGGTCAGTTCCGCCTCTGCAGCATCCCTTTGGTTCAACTCTGCTATAGGCGTGGATGATGTGTCCTCGTACTTCGGTATGCAAATCAGTTAAACAACGTTACCGCCCCCTGATCACGCCCTACTTTTGCCACACTCGTAAATATGAAAGCATAGGACCCTGGAGCGAGGAGATAAACACACTCACGCACTGAGCTAAATACCCCCAGCACCACTTCACAAGGCTGCGATATGCCAGATGTCTCTAACAACTGTAAATAACTCAATTAATCTAAGCTTAGTTTGTAATAAAGATGTTGGACAGATTAAGTGAGGATTCTTGCAAGTCTCCATAAAGCTTCCGGTGTTGCATCCGACTCATGTTTCACAACTCAAACTCGGGCGCGCACACTCACTGAACAGAAATCAACGGCAAGCAACAGTGGAACTACGGAAATCGAAACGGTTCAGCAAAGGTTAACAGTAAATGGTCATTGTTACCGACTGTCTCAACCTTTCGTCTGTACAGCCTTTCTCAAACTTTTTTCCACTTCCTTTATTTCCAGTGCTTCTTGTTGTTGATTTCTGTTCAGTGAGTGCGTGGGTTCGATTTATGATGTGAATTTGAGGCGGAACTGAATCAGATGTAACACCAGTAAATGCCATGAACAGCTTGCAGAACGTAAGGATTTAGGGCCACTGCAACAAACCCTGAATGACCAGTGATGCAGTCTGCGACCTAGATGTCAAACTGAATGAAACTTGGACAGTGTTCAAAGAAATCAACTTTATTAATTCGGAATTCAGTGCATCTCAGAAATCAGGACTCGGGTTATATTGAATATGAACCTGCTAAACAAATAATTAGAAGCCAGCCGTCACGGTTTTAGGGGATGTTCAGATGCCTCTCCCACTTGCTGCTCATCATTTTCTGGCACTACTGACTCTTCGGCGGCTTGAGTTAGTGGCTCATACTGATGAAGCTCAAGACGCACTGCCTGATCAGGAACATCTTCCCTCGTCAAAGATGGAGATGGTAGTACAGAAAAATCGTCAGCCTCGTAAGACTTCTCAGTTGCAAAAGTGCCGTTTGATTCTGTCACTCTCCATATTTTCTGGTAACTAACGTACACTAGCTCTAAAAATACAGCAGCTCACCCAACCCAGTTTCCCTCGCAGCCTGACCTCCAAACCCGTACATCCCTGCAGTGCCCCTCCCATTTTTGAGTATTTTTCAAAGTTGAGCCATAGATGGACTTGTAGTTACTGGTGGGGTGTAGTTACTCTTTAAGATAAACATTAAAAAGCTGTTGTACTGTCACTGTCAAGTACTGTATTAATACACTTTTGTTCACTAAGGCACAAATAATATAAAATATACCCTCAAAGGTACAGTAATGGTTTTAAGGCTAAATTGTGTACCTTAAATTACCACTCTAGTATATACGTGTGTATGTGTGTGACAGAGAGGGGGTACGCAGCAGAAAGTTTAGAGTCCAAGGGTGTACTGGACTGCAAAAAGTTTGTGAATCACTGAACTGGAGAATGACCAACACAAACTGTGCAGCAACAGATGAGCTACTGTCTCTGATTTTACATCTACAAGGTGAACCAAAGAAGGAAAAAAGATTTTTAGGGTTCCAAGCATGAAACCTATTTTTCCCCGCTTACTCAAGGTAGTAATGCCATCCTGATTAGTCGATGGGGCTGATATGATGCATGTGTACACATTTTAATCAAGGTCTCCTAAACCGTGAGGTGTATAATCAAAATTCTTTTTGATTCAGATTCATACCAACCTGTGATTTGAATCATTTCGCACTGTGTATTTAGATCCTGAACTTTTACTTTCTCAAAAAAACATGCACATTAAAAAAAGGGTATCATGAAAATTACCCACCCTTTAAAAATTTGGCCTTAAACTCACAAGAGTCGAAGTTAGCAGAAATATTTTGATATTATATTGCAGCGGGTCACGCCCAAAATACTTTGTGGGTGAGGCCAAGCGTCACAAATAATCTGTAAATTCTCAGTTCATTACCCGTTCATTACCGAATCTCCGAGCCTGTTTACACCTTTCATGAACATGTGTTTTGTGTGTGGATTGTATCTGGATGTTACTTTTCCCATGTAAAAAGCACCCTAACACATGCATCATTTCTGGTTACTTTTTTGGCGTTGGTAAATTCAGTGAGGCTGACTTCCTCAGACTTGACATACATGTGCAGTGTGTACAACAAAAGTACTAGAGCAACCCCTTGGTGGACCTTAGCCTGTGCTTGGAACTTTTTAATCACCACTTGCAGCTATACAGTACATAGAAAAGTCACATGCAAAAGATTGAACACCCTGGGTAAAATTACATCTTGTTGAATTTTTTGAGTGAAAATAAGTTAACACATCCTCTACAGAGAGCAAACTTAAATATGGCATAGTTCTGTGAATTTTAGTGCATGGTTTCTATTTATTTCAAAATAGGACATGAAATGTGCCAAAACTTCTTCACTGGCCACAATCTCAATATGTTAAATTCAGCAAATAAACAGTAACGTACATTAAAATGTACAGAAATGTTTCTCTGTAGAGGATGTGTGCGTATTTGTCCCATTTCCTGTATGTGTTTTAATAATTTTTTCGAAACTCCTGTTTTCACTTATTTTCCTTTGACTTTCCCTTCTTTATGCATGTGGATTATCTAATCTTCTCATTTTTTACCTGGAAAAATGAACACATTTACTTAATGGCTGTTCTGACTGGAAGTAAAGAAATTCAGATTGACCACCAACTTTTTGAGACCATTGAATAATTTATGAAATGACTGCAGCGTACGATGATAGGTGAATGAAAGCTCTTGTGGTCATTCAGCTGGCTTTGATAGCTTGGCAGCTCTAAACAACCACATTTCTTGGTGGAAGAATTGTTTTTTTGTTGTGCTTTTTATTGTGATTATTATTATTATTAATTATTTATTAAACAATTATGTGTTTTATCATATTGTATTTTATGGCCACACAAAACAGAATTATGATCTCAGTTTAACTATCAATAAATGGCATTCCTTGTTAAGTCACTCACAATAGTAAGTCAAGTTCCACTATTCAGAAATGGGAGAATTAAAATAATTAAGGTCATGGTGAAAATCATTAAGCCATGTAACTTGTGTGTGTTTAAGTTTCATGTTTGTTGTAATGGCCTTTTGCGAACCAGTTTAGGGTGTGTTTACTTTACTTTAATCCACATTGTTGCTTTCTTAACCTTTGTAGGAGTGATGGCTGCTCGGGGACTGCTGGCCAATCCAGCCCTGTTTGCAGGCTATGAGTACACCCCTTTGAAGTGTGTGTGGGACTGGGTGGACATTGCTTTGGAACATGGGACTCCTTTTACGTGTTTCCACCATCACCTAATATACATGTTGGAACGGATCACTTCTCAGCCAGAGAGGAAAATCTTCAACAGTTTGTCGAGTATATCTGCAGTCACTGATTATCTACACAATACATATGGCCCCTTATAGCCATAAATAACTATTTCTTCCACCAAAGTGAACTGATGGTAATTAAAATAAAATAAAGATTGTAAATAAAACTTTTGGAAATATAATTCTGTATATTTGTCTGTATACATTTGAAAACACACCTTGGTTTTGTTATTCACCTGATTTACATTTAGATTTACATTTACATCATTTAGCAGATGCTCTTATCCAGAGCGACTTACAAAAAGTGCTTTGTCTATCCAGAGAAAGAATCTTTGCTAGCTACCAATAGGTTAGAGAGAAAGACAGTCCTAAACTTAGATACTGCTAGAATCAGAAGGTCATTGACACCTAGTGAAAAGGGACAAACACAGAACAGTGCAATACAATACAATACATAAGTGCTGTACAATACATTACAATCAATACTTAATTTAGTGCTCATTTCTGACAGTCTGTAACCTTGGGTCATTTGTTCAGCTGCGAAGAGGTAGGCCAGGCAAGCTCACAGAACAGGAGTGCAGTGAAGGGCGAGCTACCGAAAAATCATTCATCTCTGGAAGCTTCCTCACCATGCAGTCTGACAGACAAATCTGGGTTTGGTGGATGCAAGAGTATGCTACCTGCCTGAATACTTAGTACCAACTGTAAAGTTTGGTGGAGGAGGAATAACTGTCTGGCACTCTTTTTCATGGTTTTGACTCCTTACTTTTCAGTGTTTACAGCATAAAACAATATTATAGAGAATTGTGGTCTTCCACATGATGACTCCTCCTGTGCACAAAGTGAACTCCAAGAAATTGTTTGATATGCCTTATTAGAGAATGCAAATGCGTAATCACATTAAGCATAACCATGCAGTTTGAAAAACACCTTTTACTTTAAATAATGCTACTCGTAAATTTTTTAAAATATGCCATTCGGTATACTTGCATTGGCATTTCTGTGAACAGGAAACGCCAATGCAAGTAT